AGGCAATAACTCACACTAAAGATTTTTACATCTTTGTAAATAGGGTTCATCCTTGGGTGAATACAAACATTCAAACCAAGTTTTGTCAAAATCCACCAGGGAGCCGCGGTGGCTCAGTGGGTTAGGCGCTTCCACGCTAACCTGAAGGTCCAGGGTTCAATTCCGGCATAAGTCGAGATAATACCTTCTAGTCTAGTCTAGTCGTTCGGAGGCCCCGTGTGCTACAGGCTGTGCACGTTAAAGATCCCTCGACAGATGGAAATATGTCAAAATGATATATTATTGAACAAATTTCACATTTCAAGGGATGTTAGCAAACATATAATGAAACCAGTTACCTACTATTGACTGGCAGGGGTTAAAAAAAAATGTGTTTTCATGTTATTATAAAATGTATTAAAATCATATATGGTTGTCATGTATGATTATACATGGACTTAAATGGATAATGCATTTACTATTTGACACTATAATGATGATAATAAAACAGGATATAGCTTTCTTTTTACAAAATCTTGAAAGGAGCTCGCTGTGGATAAACTAAATCATAATCACAATGAACCAAAACAAATTCTGAAATATTAAAGGAATACCAGCAAAATATAGACAGATATCAAAATAAGAACATTCAATTAATTATGTGGAATTTCGTCATCATCGATGGGATCAAGTTGGCCACGGAAAAGAATATCATGTAGATTTTTGTTTTTGGAATAAGCTCTAACTAATTTGTTATAAAAAATAGTGGGGATTATATTTTCGGGATGCTTGGCAAGAAATACTATTAAATGGAGCAACAAATGGGATAATTTTAGAGTCATATACTAAATGTTTAGTCCAGAAGTGAAATAGTTTGTAGTTGGTTCATCCTAAAGCTCTCTCTGTACAGTCTGGAACTCTTAGGGTTTATGTCTTCTTCAGAAACGACTCTTTCAAATGGTGCAACCTTTAATTTCGCCTACGTATTGAAAAGTGCATTTGTCGCATGAAATTTGATAAATAATATTCGTATACTGGCACAAGTTGGCCGTTGATAGTGAATTATTTACAATTATGTTTATTAGAAAAGTAATTAGTTGTTAAAATATGGCCGCAGATCCTACATCTTGTAGATCTGCACGGCTGTGATCCGAAAGATTGATTAGAGTTTATCAGAACGAGGTTTGTATTCCAAATCTCAATTTCTGAAAAAGCTTTAAATGCTGCGGAGATCCCCGCTCTCACAATTTCTTAAAAACTTATTGACACGCATTATCAAAATAGTCTATGTTACCGTTAATAGAAAAATCATTCCGTTAAATTACGAGTAATTGAAGAATTTCAGAATCAGGTCGTTTAGGATCAGGTATTCTATCAAAACATTTTTTGACTGCGTTCAAACCCGCTTCATTGTCAAAATTAGTTCGAATTTGATGATTTTTCGATGAATGTTTTTGACACATTGCCCTTGATCGCGTCAAAAATTTGTTGTGCGCACAATAGACGCTACAATTTTCGATGGATATTGATCAAACTTGGTGTGAGCACTGGGATTGATAAGATGGCAATGAAGTTTTAATTTGACGATTTTTCGATGAACGGTTTTTGAGTTAATGTCCTTGCTCTTGAAAACACGTTAAATTTTTAGCTCGAAACACTCCAGAAGGCAAAATTCTTGATGGATTTTGACGAAACTTTGGTGTTTTTTGTTAACCACTAAGGATGAATCCTATGAAAATCAGAAGAATCGAAAAATATTTAGTTTGAGTTATTGCTCTTGTTCTTAAAAACAAGTACATGTTTTAGCCTGTATTCACTCTTGAAGGCCTAATTCTTGACAGATTTTTACAAAAATTTGCAATATTATACAGTATTGTCCCAAAAAGTTCAAAAGCATTGTAAGACTGAAGGCTGAATATTTCATACCGGTAATCGTTGCTGTTCTTCCAACTATTTGGATAAGTTTGAATTTGGCTATCTTTCTATGAGCGGGATTTATTGCCCAACGCCTCAAAATTGGTTTGTAAACACAATAGAGAACACAATTTTCATCAGATTTAAATGAAATTTGGTGTGATCAATTATAATGAAGAGATCTTAGACAAAGTTCGAATTTGACGATCTTTCGACTGTCGTTTTTGAGTTATTGCTCTTGATGTATGAAACAAGTGGTTGCTTAGCAAGATACGCCCACTTTCCTCAAGATTGAATTTGACAATTTTTCGATCATCGGAATTTGAGTTATTCCCCTTGACTTAGTAAAAACGCATCAAAATCTGTTGGCGATAGAGGTGATAGTTTATGTCAGAATTTTATGAAATAATGTGTCTGTTTAAATCGACAATATCTTGCACAAATTAGATTTTTGGTATGATTTGACACAGATAGGTGACCGCCCTTGACATACTGAAAATGTATCGAAGTCGGAGACTTTTTCGGGACCCGACTCTCGAAGGACCGCAACAGATCTTTTCAGAAGATATTTTATTTCATATTTTATTCTGGGTCATTACATTGAACAGGCAGGTTGTAATAGGAATCTGCATACATCAATTTATTACAATTAGGATTCCTATTACAATTTCTTCAATGTAATGACCCGGAAGCTCGCCACTTGAGGAGAGACAGTCCTAGTATATCTTCAGAGAAGATCTGTTGAGATCGCCTCAGTCCTTCGAGGGTCGGGTCCCGAAAAAATCTACTGTTTCAAAACGTATTCAAAAACACTAGCCGATCAAAAACTGACGACCTGTGTTCGCCGTTGTCGATCTGGATAAGTTTGGTCGGCGGAAGATCGTTTACTTGCGACTCCCTGCTTTAGCACTCCACGGCAAATTGCGAACAAATCGCAAGAATGCACACTAAAATTAGCGGGTCTCTGCGTGTACCGCTGCGTGTATCCTACTATTGCCCTGGGGCCTACATAAAACCCGTCTTTATTATTACCTCTATGGATAGTGTCTTCAAGGGAGATAACTAACATTTGACGAACTAGACAGGACCATAGAGTTATAAATAGAACTACAGTCCACACTTGTCACGTGACGTTGTGCCGATACTGGAGGACGGTGGCCATTTTATATGAGGTCAAAAGGACGTTATTGACAAACTTGCCTTAAAATAATGGTGTTTGGTTTTAGCCAACCAGAAAAGTATAGGTCACCGTTTAGAAGAGTTAATCGGTCATAAATAGACATAAACCTACCTCATCGAATTAAAATAGGTTTTATGCAACAAAACAAAAAACGCGCTTCGAACGTCGTCTGTTTAGGCCTACGCTCTGCCCCTGTCCGTTCCTGTCTCATGTAGAATTCGTCTTGTTATATAACTCTATGGACAGGACACAATCCGCGAATTCATTTGTCATCTGTTTCCATGTTAAATCACGAAATTCAACCTTTTATAACTTTTTCCAGAAATCTCGTTGAAAACTTTCCAATGTGTCACATGAAATCCTGGCCAATGCTTAGTTTCTGGACAAAAATGCAATATATCATGACCATGAAAATCTTGAACTGAAAATAGACCACTCCATTTCATCAACATCAGCTTGCATGACCGTCAATGCACACAAAACGACTATTTTTGAAATTATCCTTCCGCATGAAAATCTATTATCTCACAAAATCCGAAAGAAAATGCAATTTAAGACATCAAATTCCAAATCTAGACAATTAATTAGTCAAAAATAGGCATGCGAAACCCTTTTTATTTGAATTAGAGATTTTAAAGAATCGTTTGCGCTGTGATCGTGACAAAATTAAACACGACTTCAAAATCATCGTCTTGTTTGTGGTTGGCGACATTTTGAATGTTCGCGGCTCTTTTCGCCTCCACTGAATGGATAGCAGGTGTATACTTGATGACTTACCATTCTGGTCCAGTGAAAACAGTAGGCCTACAGTGTTCAGTGTTAAGGTCAGTGTAACTGCACCGGCAATCTGGACCGAGTACGGTTCATTTCAAGCGTGCCAATTTTTATGGCAAAGTAAACGCGGCTTATGATAGACCTACGTTTTTTTAACCAGTGGCGGAGCCAGGTTTACGTCCCAGGGGGGCGAGATATCTGAGGTTGCACGAATTTCTAACTTAATGAAATCTGTGCCCGAATTGCCTTTTTTTGGTTGTGTAAAAAAAAGTTCTAAACTCTACTTTCGGGCTGCGATTTCAATTTTTGAAATATGTAAAATATAATCATACGAATGACATTCGGGTAGTGATTTCGATCCTTAAATAATATGAATTATGAAATATTATTATAGGAGAATACAATCGGGCTATCAATTTAAAAAAAATATAGTTATAGTATAGGATATTCGGGCAAAGATATGATTTCATTTTTAAATTCCACAAAAAATAAAATAAAATCGGGCCGATCTGAAAAAAAAAATTTTTTAATGCCTTGCCCGAAAAACTAGCCTTCGGGGCTGCGAGGGGGGCGGAACTATAATGATTACAGTTTTATGGCCCTAATGATGCTAAAGCAAATTGACGTCAGTTAGTCCTCTAGTCCAAAGCCCTACATATTATATAGGCTTTGCTCTAGTCTTTTTCCAATCCAACTACCAACTACTACGACTACCAACAACTACCTAGTTTGCGATACCAGCATTCGCTGGAAGCGAACGTTAACTTGTCATCTACCAACCAACCAAAGTAATTTTTTTTTATGGCCTCTATGTGGTTTGACTACGTACTATGCCAAATGAAGATGATTACTCGTTACGTTGTATAGATTGGTCGAATTGACGTTGTATTTCCAAATCTTATAATTACACGTAACACGATTGGGTATTCGACTGTATTGCCCGACTAACAGTTTCTGTATTATTGATATGATGAATTGCTAGTATTATAAGCACGATCTTCTTTTCCACTTAAATTGCAAAATTATATTTAAAACTAGTGTGGGACAATTCGCTGAAGTTTATTAATGGACAAATCTCAGACCGTTGATAAACAAGGCCAAGGTCACAAGAACAGTCTCTGAATAATGCATCTCGAATGACTAAAAATGGATGGTGATGGATTCATGAAATAGATCAATGATAAAATTATATTTGATTAAACTATTAGTATTGCAGAGCCATCAAAGCTAACAACTAGGGTAGGCTGCGTTAGGGATGTAAATCAGGAGTTACTTAGAGGGCATTGCCTGGCACTTGCAGTTGCAGGTGAGGTGCATGTTCATTTAATTTCAATCATTACTGATACACTCAACAACACTTCTGTAAGCCAAATAAAAATTAGGTTTTGGCCTTTCTTTGGAAATAACCTAGTCCTTATTATATTACTAAAATGCGTATACAGTGGTGTAACCTATATTAGAGCATACAAGGATTCAACACCAATTTTAGTCATAATTGAAAAACAGATTTTTTTTTTGTGCCTTATTAGATCAAATGTTTCTTTAGATATTCTATAAAGTAATCAAATTCAAAATTGGTTTGTTTCGATTTTCTCTATGAATTGCTCACTTTGATGAGTATCTAATTTGACCATTGCTGCAAAATGCGTCGCCTATTTTGTACAATGTTACATCTATAAATAAGTAAAGAAAAACCCAGAGATTCTCAGTGGAGAATTATCATTTCTTAGTATTTATCTTTGTAATCTATTCATTATTACTAATCACAATTCCTTTGAAGAGCAATGATTTGAAAAAAAATAAATACTGACAAAATTAGATAAATAAAACATAATAGTAATTTATTGCTAACATTCATTGCTTAACAACATATGATTGTGGCCTACATTGTGTTCCAGTTCCATAGAATTTTTCTGCTGTCATGGAATCTTCTAGTTTGTCATGTGACTTGTTCCCTGGAATATTATATTCTAGCAGACCACACTTGGAATTCCGATTACAGCTGGGGATTATAAGGAAATTTGGCCAATAAAAATAGTGACAATATAATTGAAATTCGCCATTTTGTATGTATGCCAGAAGTAGATAATAAATTTGACACTATTCTGAAACGATATGAAAAATTCTGCATGTTGATGTTATAGAGATAACTTATGTTTATCAAAACATGCAAATGCGGAGGGCCCTCTAGGTCACACATGTAAATTGTTCATCATTTTTGGAGATGCATGAAATTAGGTTACGTGACTAATATTTTTTCAAATCACTGTGTATGAATTGAACTTTCAACTTTAAAAAACTATTGAGAGTATTGGTCTGTGGGTCGATGAAATGCAAATGCCAAGCAATTAAGAAATCAATTATTAACCTATTGAAATTTAGATTTTACAGAAGAGATTCTTATATGGATCATTTCTGGTAGGGAGTTTATTTGAGGACTGAGAAAAAGATAAAATGAAAAATCAGTGAAATGTAATTAACTCCCAATATCATTGTCATTGGTGATTGGGTTGATATTATTGTGATGTTCAAATGGCTTCATGTTACATGTAACCTTTAAGCTAACTAATTTTTATACTTTAAAAGAAATAAAATGGAAATAATTGGTTTGAGTAAGTAAAAAAATGAACCAAACATTTGTAACATCAGCAAGTAATTATTAGATCCTATTTAATGATACTTTTAATATTTGATACTTTAATGATCAATGAAGACTACTATATAATAAATAAATAAATATATCTTTTATCATCTTTTACAGACACTCTTGTAGCAAACTCCAAAGATGGAGAGACAGAATTGTGAAGATTGCATTTCAACTGAGCCAATGCCTGCTCCTAACAGACGTAGACCACAGTATAGAAACTATGTTGATTGTCAGCGACCATGTTTATCTATGAAATGTTCTAAACAAGGTGGTTGTAGGCTATGGCGTCAAATGATGTTAGGATTTATTACCACAGCATTTATAGGACTGATCTTATTATTTTTGGGTTCCATATTTATAGCTGATGCTGTTCATGAAAAGAACTCTGTAGCTATAATGCTGTGTGTTATGGGAATAGGTAAGTGATTTAGCCTACATATATTGTAACAATTTGATCAGTTATGTGCAGGTCACTGTATTGGAGAACTTCATTATATTCAGTCACACTAATTCTGAGCAACGCTTAAATAAGTCAAATTATTTGAACTTGTTGCTCTTTATGAATAATATTTACAAAAACATTTCATTGTCATTGTATTCAAGTTTTGGTAGTATTGAATTAATAGATTGTTTCTTGGGTTTTTTTCACAGTGTGTGGTGGTATTATTATTATGGCTACTATAATACTAGGTAAAATGTGTAAACTATGTATATCTAGAAAATCTAGAAATGATGACGAAGCACCATTTCCACATCAGCAAGGTGCATGTTTTCATACATGTTCAGGTAATCAATATTTAATATTCTTAATTTTAGATTATTTTAATTTCTCATTTAAGATTAGCAGGTTGTAAAGACTCCCCCCAAACGTATTGAAAATGATTTAGCCAATTGAAGGGTACAGTTGAGCTTACATAAAGCTTTCTATCTGTTGGTCGGTTTATTTCTTGTGAACACAATAGAGACTACAGTTTTCAACTGATTTAAATGAAATTTGGTGTGATCATTTATACTGATGAGATCCTGATCAAGTTTGAACTTGACGATCTTTCGATGAAAGGTTTTTGAGTAATTGCCTTTGACTTATGAAAAACGTGTCAAAATTTGTTTGTGAACACAATAGAGACTACAGTTTTCAACAGACTTTAATAAAATTTGGTGTGATCATTTATATTGATGAGATCTTGGACAAGTTTGAGCTAGATGATTTTTCAATGAACACTTTTTGAGTTATAGCCCTTGACCTAGATAAAATGCTTCAAAATTTGTTCTAGAACACAATAGAGACTATTTATTTGATTTAATGATTTGATGAATTTGGGTTATTGATATTGATTTTTATAAAAAAAAAAAATTTGTGGAATTACTCAGCATAAATAACTGGCAGTAAATATATCATTGAATTCAAACTTATAAAATTTACTTTAATATGAGAAAATTCGTACTTTAGTCACTAAAGACTGTTTTATCATTTCTGACAGCTGCCAGTGGGCGTATGTTACCTTGCCTGGCAAGCTTTCTTTACATTTTGAAATTTCTGTTGTACAGAACAACAATCGCAAATTTATTCTATGAGTTTTGTATACAGAGAAGCTCTGTTGAATATACTTTATTGTTTCACAGATGAGGTTTCTTGTCTTTTATTCTGTGTCTAGTATCATTTATTTCTCTTCATTACATATTGTGTACTAATTTTTTGATAGTTTTGATTGACATTATTTTCAGTTGTTTACACCAGATCAACTGATCAGATACCAAATGCTGGTATAAGTGACCCCCCACCATCATATGATACTGTAGTTACCAGTAATACTCTTCATGACGATAACATTCACCAATATCAACAATCCACTGAACACCAGGCAGTTGTCATGGTATTACCACCTAAATATGATGATATCATTGGACCTTTACCACCGTATAAAGAAACTGAATAGTTTTTAGCTTATATGTAGATATTATACGATTTTACAATGAGCAGTCTCAAAAGGTTGATGTTTTTAACATTTGAAGAATTGTGTATCAATCTGTAAAGGGCAATGATAAAGGTTAGCCAAATGATATTGTTTACTACCAAAAAAGCCTTTTGTCCAACTTTCTTGCTTGATTTCCTCTTGATATTATTTCATTTTCATAACACTAATTTTTGATAATGTTATGACAACAATAGTATTATAATGTGAAAGAAAATTGAATGAGTCTTATGAAGTGTTGCAATAAACTGAAAACATACTTAAACTGTTGTGGTAAAATGTGGCTTTACATAGTCCTGAAAAGCATAGTACAGATTGATAGATACCTGCAATGATCATTTTACTAGCTATTTAAATCAAAATCTTATATTAATTGCATTTTAAGGATAGTAATTATATTATTGTATAATACCGGTTGTTATGGATATTGTGATATTGATTGTCTTTGTGTCACTTATTTGTTTTTCTTTATCATGTTTTGTGTTAATGTTGTATATTTATTTTAAGCACCAGAGAAGTACATAAGATCTGCAAAAAAGAACTGAAGGGATTGCCAAATTTGCTTCTATATAATTTTTATTGCTGGTAATGCCAGACCAATTTATTTTCTTAAAATTTGTAAATGCAGGAGAAAAAAGGAAACAAAAAACACCAAAATTTGTGTGAAAGGCAGGAGAGAAAAAAAAAAACCTTACGAAGGCCAGGACTGATTTCTGGATAATCAAAGTAGGAAAATCCATAAAACAAGATTAAAATTGGTGTGGCCTAAGCATCGTTTCACATTCCAATGATAAGTGGTTGAAGCCATGTAATATATATATATTCAATATATATATATATAGAATTGTTGGCATTACCTGTTCTTACTGTAAATAATGTTTTAAATATTCACAATATTTATGTTTTTAAAACAATTTTTAAACTGTGTTATTTTTGTAAGTAATCACTAGAAATATTAATATATGGATTGTTATAACATTTCTAATACATCACAGCATATAAAATATTTTACACTGAACAAATACTTAATATTTGATATTTTATTATAGCAACCCATCATGTTGTGTGTGTTTTTTTGATGATAGATATGCACAAAAGAGCAGTGCTGTGTGTGTAATAGTATTCAATGAAATATTTATGTTTGTATTAAATGATTATTGTGCACTTCATAGTTTTCACTTGTTGGATATTTCAGCAAAATAACTCTATTTCATAGTTTGATAATTATGTTATTTCAAAATCATGTTATTAATCTGAAAATGTCAAAAACCACTTGATCTCAATTACATGCATGGTAATTTTGTGTTATTTTTATACGCCCACATTATAATGTGGTCGTATATTGTCGTTTCCCCGACTTTGACGTTCTTTCTTTATTTTTTAGTAAATGTCCTTGACAAACGCGTCAAAATGTGAGCACATTGGAGACTAAAGTTTTCATCCGATTTAAATGAAATTTGGAGTGATCATTTATAATGATGAGATCTTGGACAAATTTCGAAATTGGCGATCTTTCAATGATCTTTGTTTTAGTTATTGCACTTGACTTAGGCAAAAAGCGTAAAAATTTGTTTGTGAACACAATAGGGACTACAGTTTTCATCCGATTTAAATGAAAATTGATGTGATCATTTATAATGATGATCACATGGTTAAGTTCAAAGGAGACGATCTTTCGATGAACGGTTTTTGAATTATTGCATTTGACTTAATTGTTTGTGAACACTATAGAGAAATTAAAATCTTGACTAGAGAAATTTGATGTGATCACCTATTACAATGAGACTTTAGTCAAGTTTGAATTTGACGATTTTTCGATCAACGGAATTTGAGTTATTGCCCATGATTAATAACATGTGTTTGTTTAAATCAACAAATGGAACGATTTGACGCAGATCGGTGACTGTCCTAGATATACTGAAAATGTATCAGAGAAGTGGGCGTATCTTGCTAGGCATTAATTAGTTTGTCATATTAGATATGATGTTTTTACAATTGTGATAAACCCTCCCTGCTTCATCAGTGCAATCTAGTCATATTTTTATACATATGATCCTATCATGTTTAATGTTTATGAACTATGCCTGTCAATTAGTAACATTAATTTTCCATTGAAAGAGGTATCTGTACTGTTTTCAATGTAATTCCAACTCAACTTTGTGGTGTTGTAAATTTATGTTTTTGTTTCATATTCCATATTTTAAATGAAGAATTGATATAAAATTAGGATCATCAGTCTATGATGTGTTCTTTGATATTTCATCCGAAAAAAAACAAATGCTACTGTGGCGTTTCTACGGGTAGGGGAGGCTGGCTCGGATTTGCCCCCTCCACCACCCACTTTCAACATTTTCATCAATTTACATAGTGTAAAATGTTGTGGCCCCTGCACGGCCCCTCAAATAATGTATCTTACGCCACCAAACTGCTATTAACTGCAACTGGACATTTATTCATCCGGCGCTACTTGCATCGCTATGACCGATTACATTTTTATGTGAATTTGAATATCAGTAAAAAGAACAGTACTGAAATGACGTATCATCGTCGAAAATGTTTTGTTATATTCGGCAATTCTAGGCAGTTATCTTAAAGCAGACATTCGGTAGATGCCCAAAAGCTGAATCTGCCGCATAGTGCTTTTTCAGTATGACGTTTGGTTTTATCTAACGTCAACACCTTTCTCTTCCGAAAATAATAGCCTATAAAGGCCAAGAAATTTGCTGACAGTGGCGTATTTATGGGATATTTTTGGCCATGACGCCCCAAAGGCCCGTGAAAGTTCTTATTTTGAAGTGACAATTAAGCCCTCTAAATGCTCAAAATTCAAATCAGGCCATCTGAAACCCGTTAGCTACTTGGGGCTCCAACAGATGCACGTCTCAAGGGGACATCTCTCAGTTTCTCATACACAGCTGTCGGAGTACTCCACCAATATCAATTAACTGAAATTAACTACGGTATATTATACAACATTATATTACAAATTACAGACAGAATATGAAACAATATTCTAATATTAAAACACTACATTGCCCGTCGTTATGTTACCCGTTCCTTCCCAACATTTACCCCTCTTTCAACTGTAAAGAATAAATCTCCATTTCTAATTTACGATTCTGTAATTTCAAATTCTCGATCTGTAATTTCAATTTCTTTTTTTGAAGTGCAACCATTTCTTTATCAACATAATGGACGTTCCAATCGGGCTGTAGTTGTGATAGTTGAGGTAGTGGACTGAAAGGTGATGATGTTGGTGGACTTGATGGTGAAACTGCTGTTTCCCTGTGTTCAGGTGGTTTCTCCGCCTCTCCCTCCATTTCTGAAAGGTTATTGATAATGGTTATTTCGAACCTTACCCACTTGCGCACTCTAATTAGCATTGGCTTAATTAAGTGAAAAATTATTTCTATGAAGGATTTCTCAATCACTTGACATTACTATTACAGAGAAATTAGTCTGACTACTTAGTCTCTTCAGAACAATAAGTATGACAATTCCAGGAACAGTGCCAAATAATGGTAAGAGGCTATTGGACTCGGTGGAGCTTTCTTGATTCTCTCAGATTTGAGAGCTTCCAAAGCAAAAAATTTTCTAAATCAATTTGACCGACTTAAGAATGAAATATGATATGACGTTAGATGGCAAGAATTGGAACAAGGTAAGGTCGTACATACTATAATTATCACTTGTGTAATACTTAGACAAAATAATATGCTTTATAAAAATAATTCACAGTAACATGGAAGAAATATTGAAGATTATATTTTGTAATACTCGGGATAAGATAGCAATCTTTGGCTGGTTCACAGTGGCTCGACAAAATAATTATCTTATATTTATTACAAACTGTAAACATAACAACATTAATCATAGTTTACATATTTTTAAATATTTACATTACACCGATATGTTACAAATGGTATATACATCGAGAATAAGAATTAATATGGCGTTTACATTCGACTTTCAGTAAATACACAATGGTTAAAGAAAACAAATAAATACTTGGCAGAGGAGAAGGAGAGGTTGCAAATATGTTTTAAAATATTTCACATATTGTTCGATTAAAGCCCAATACCCAAATTTACTTCAATCAATTTTTTATTGGTGGATTAAATGTTGTTATATAGGAGCCGGCTATGCACAAACGATATCTCTGTACAAAAGGGTCAATATTCCCCATCCCATTCCCATCCAACCTTTAAAAAATATAACACACCCTGACTATGGTATAAACATTGTTTAAGTCAATGATAAGAAAAGAATTCTATGGATCACAATGTGGGCAATATTCTTTTTAGTTTCAATGACTTTAAGTAATAAATCACTCTTACGTTTTAGGCTACTTATCTAATTTTGTCAGTAAATTTTTTCTTCTTAAATCATTTATCTTTGAAGGAATTGTCATTAGTTATTATGAAATATTATCAGAGATATATACTAAGAAAAGTTATTCCACATCGCTTTGCAATTCTGAATTATTTGTTTATCTTGTAAAGTAGGTAATTTCTATCAAATTTATGTATTTATTCCAATGCTGAAATCCACAGTCTATACTTGTGACCTAGGCCAGTGCTTCTATCAGAGAGTTATTTTCATAAAACCTTATACTGGATAGCCATACAACGGGGTTTTCTCGACTTATTCATAGATCAAACATTGTACACGGACATAGGTGACGCATCATGCCGCCGCTGTCGAGTTGACGAAGTCAAAGTGTCCATAAAGTAAATCGAAACAAACCAATTTCAATTATTTTATAGAATATCTGAGGAAACTTCTAAGACATAAGAAATAAAATTTCCGTTTTTTAAATCTGACAAAATTCGGTGTTGAATCCTTATATGCACGAAAATAGCTTACACCACTGTACGATAGAGATTCAACTCCAGATCTTGATTAGTGGATGAATTATTGTCAGTGAAGACGTTTCCAGATAAGGCGTGTTCGATTTGTCTCCCTTTAAGAATTAGTTTCTGTAGTGTTATAGCATTAAAGAAAACAACGAGTAATATAACGAACCCTCGACACACCTTTACTCAATTGTTAGAAATCGCAGCTTGTGTCAAGAAAAGTTACTGTATGCGACCAAAGCGCCAATTATTTAATGCAGAACTTGTTATGCTGGTAGAGACTTGCACTGTTATAAGGTATGTAACCATTGTTACTAATATTTTCCTCAGTTATTGAAAAATTTATTGATGTCAGATGGGACAATAATTATTAACCGATTATTGTATTGTATGTATATAAACTTTCGTTGACTTTGACGATGTACTTACATGCTTTCTCATTGTTTCAGATCCCTATACGGAGCCCCTTAAGCGCAATAATAAATAAATATGTTTACAATTGCGCCTTAGGGGCTCCGTTTCTCTAGTCAAGCGCTTGTGGGAATACTTTGATGCTTGAACCAATTGAAAAATTCCTATAGAAAGGCCTGTATTTGAGTAGGCTGGGTTCTAGAGATATATTTCTAGCATGTATTGTAAATGGGGGGGGGGGGGTGATTAGACAGCGATTTGCGATTCTACAGGTGCATATCCCTGTTACTTTGGTGACCGGTAGATGGAAGTGATATCTTTCTCTCTGGGTCTTGAGATGAGAGCAGATGTGTATATGTGTGTGAGGGTGTGTTGGTACAAGGATAGCTACCCCATTTCTCCTGCCATCAACATTGATGAGTGAAGTGAATTAGCTAATGTCTCTTGTTTTGAGGTGATGTTGGTTTGGATGAGGACTGCCCAAAGTATGGAAAGAGTATCGGAATCCATCGGCAGGGTCGAAGATTAGGCCTTACAGAACGAAAGTTGAGCTTGACTGATACTTGCTGGAGATATGGTGTTCTTACTGATATTGGGCATTCATGGGGTTGAGCTTGAGTAAGGGTAATAGAGTAGGTCTAATTACTGAACATATCTTAGCTATTAATTAGTATTAAGAGTGATTGAGTGAAGAAGTTCCTAAAACCTAAAGAGATCTGCTAGATATAAACTAGGGTGGAGTTAACAGAGTTGGTATTTAGTTTTGAACATAAAAACAGTACCGGTAATCTATAATGAAAAATATATAAAATAAAAGATGAGAGCGTATGACTAGGTTCTAAAAAGTTATAAAAAGAAAAAGAAAACGAAAAAAAAAAAAGGGAGAGAGGAGTCAATTATGAGAAGATTCAATTGGATCGAGTCTATCACAGACTATATTGCATGGAGTTCAGAGTTTGTCCATCCAATATAGCTTCCTTTCTGTAGTCTTTTAGTGAGGTGTTAGGTAGGGAATCATCTCGCATTGAAATGAGATCTGCTACAGTATGTAGCTATCCCTTACACTCACATGTTTCTCTCTTTCGATTTAGATTGTGTTAGGTTGGGTTAAAGGTTGGTTTCTTCTCATGTATAGGCCTAACATCATTCATTAGAGCTTCTGGCCAGCAATTTTTTTTTCAGACAAGATTATTGAGCTGGAATGTGGCTAATTGAAAATGCCTTTGTGTTCCCAAAATCGTGTACATACTGTCAAGATCTCCCGTTTAAAATTTCAATTCGGAGGCAGAAGTAGACTCGTGGAATTCTACTTAGTACACATGGTTTTTATATATATATTTAAAGGTTTAATTTTAGATATCTGAAGATTATAGTCATGAAATTTCAATATAAATGTTATAATACAACTTAAAATACATAACATTCCACCAAAAACAAGCCATCATACAGCAATCGATGAAAATATGATTTGTATCTTTAAAAAAAACTAAAGGTGAAACGTGAACAATTTAATAATTGTCATCAAAGGAATAAATGGTAAGTTTTTCTGACTCAAGACATTCCTCAATCTTCGGAAGGATTAGCGACTGTTAAAGATGCAAAAAATGACAGTTTTAGTATTCTTCTCTAGACTGGATCCTCAAAATTTATAAATATCCATAACAACGCATTAAATACCACCTAAACCGAAATGAAAATAAACCTTTATACTATATATACCCTAAATTGAACTAAATCCATCCGAAAAATGTGGCGAGTTTAGGTTAATAACACATCTATATATTGTGCCCACGGCAAATAATTTGATACCTCGAGAGAGTGTATAATATACGTATTTGTTCATAAATATCTAATATACTTCAAAAAGAAAATAAAATCATGATGATGTCAACAGAAATTTCGAAATAATGAGAACTATGCCATTAAGAATGAGGCTGCAGCAGTAACAATCAGAGTCAAATGTCGATATTGGCAACGGCACCGAATAATAAACGACTTCCAGTGCTTCAAGGTGCACTATAGAACCAATTGTTTGGTCAACTGTGATGTTGTATTTTAATGACATCGATCGCAGAATCTTTGTGCGTGGCATAATCTTGAAAATAATCGACAATTACTAAGCCTTAAACAAGGTATAATTTTAGAATTGTATAGAGAATTGAGTAAATAACATACCTGTTAATATCGTATTTCTCTCTCAATGTTAATGTAGTACAGCTTCAGTCAGCGAGGAAAGGTGTACAATTATATATAACAGGTATTTGGTATTTCCTGCTATTCCTTTGGAAGTTTCTATTGCCTGTCATCAATAATAATACTAATAGACTTGAACTGAAGGCGTAATTAACGCGTCTGTTATTTTCATTTACTGTCTTGGCTATTTTTATCTTTAACTTGGCACCTATTGGACTAGAAATCTTAAAAAGTCATAATAATATTTACAATTTAGGTTTATTTATTTAAATAAAGATATACCCGTGGTGGTAGAAGTGGTGTATACATTCATTGCTAACCCAATTAAAAGTATCTAAAATAACAAAATTTAATCTTTAAGATACAATTACAGACATGAAAACTTTTGCTATTCCACACCCAAATATAAAACAGAAATATAACGCATAAATTCAGTATGATGTAAAATCTTTTAAGTACTAAACACAATTTCGGAGAAAATGTGATACAGAAAAGGGTTTGATAGCAGGGATGATGCTAGTAAATTTTCTTGTTCTTTTGAAATGCACTTAGCATCTTCCATCTATTTTACGACTTGGCAACACCTCTTTTAGCGCAATTGTGAATCTCCAGTCGGGCTGGTTTAAAACCTTAAAGGTGGGTTCAAGTCTACTAGGATGTCGCAGATGCCATCCACTCAGTTCAATGATTAGGTACAAATTTGCTAGAAAACAGAAGATGAGCAATTGATTGCATCTGCTGGCAATCGTAGAAGTCATCGGTGGGGTATGAGTATGAATTTACAATCTTTTGTGATACAAAAAAAATATTCTTAATGTCAATATTTGAAATAATTGTTAACCTTATTTCCCCCTCATGTTTATCTGTTGTTCGTAACACATCAGATGAAAATACACATCAGATGAAAATACATTCTCGTCTGAAGTAACTCTATATGGCTTGAATTTAATACCTTTAACAACTAATCCAGAATTGCTAATTATTGATTTAATCAAACTATTTGTTTACTGTTATCTAACTAATTGAAAACTAAAAATTCTCTTCAAACATTTTAGAATTGTCATCCCCCAAAAGTCAATTCTGCGATGTCTATTTATTAATGTATGAAACAAAAGGCTCCTATATTTAACAAAGTGGCATAAACAAAGTTCCTATTGAGATTTATTTATCTACTTTAACCCAACTCCTCCTTATCCTTGATATATATTACTTAATGCATAAGGGCATTTCATTGCAGGATGTTTTAAGCAAGATCCTTGAGTTCAGGAGGGGTTATTCGGCAACAAATAAACATGTTTATTCCCAACTTTGTGTTGCAAAAGTATTTGTAAGTCAAAAGGTGGAGTATACGCTACTGTGCATCTATCGATTTATCGATTAAGGCCTTTGATCGTATAAATAGGCATAAATTGTTTTATCTATTACATGGTCCAACGTCATTGGTCCAATATTTAAGCCACGAGCATAAATAGGATTGTATTATAATATCCATGATTGTGTTAAAGATGGGTTTCCTTATTTTTTAGCGTCAAATTAAGCGAACTATTTGATAAATCGGTGTTTTTAATGAATTATCATATATTCTTAATCATGTCATTATGTTCTTATTGTATGTACAGTCTGGATAAACGAAAAAAAGACTTTTTGACCTTTCTTGATCGGTCACTCATTGGAATTCTGATGATAATTCTCTTTTAATTAATCTAATTATGAATTAATTATGGACATCTGAGACAAACTGGTATTTTTCCAAGTCATTAGAACACCTCTACTTTCTTTCGTATAAGTATTAGCATTTTCATTTTCATAAATAAAAATAAGGGAACTCATCTTTAAGCATTGGCGGCGCCAGTGTGAGTACAGGGGGGGACATTTGCCCCCCTATGAAAGTTGAAAGAGAACCCCACTTTATTTTCAACAAATCTAAATGTCTACCTTTCTTCTCCAAAATATGTGTCAGAATGCACAAAATCAATTCATTTTTCCTTGTAAGAATCTCTGTGAGAGGCTTGCGACTATGACACCAACACAGAGTAGCCAAAATGTGAATTCAGCCTCAGCAATTGTCACCCCATTGAGTCAATCTGCCCCCTATTTGTACCCCCAGTCTCAGAATGCTGACGCCGCCACAGTTTGAGCAAACTATGGCATGAATAATAGCTTTAGCCTTTAACTGCAGACACAAGTTATCTTCAAAAAAGTTTAAATTTCTTTGAGGTATTTTGCAATAAATGTCAGTAAATCTATAAAAATCCAAAGTTGTGGTTTTTTTTTAAGTTCTTTATAAAAAAAAGAAAAATAGTACCTTGGGGGTTGGAAATAGGCCTATATTATAGCTCTTTATATTGTTCACGACTTAAAATGATATGCGTCTTTTAAAACTATATAACATCGTAAATGATGCATTGTATATTATGTTAGTGAATTTAGGCGTTTTGCTTTATGGTCAAATGAATAAACTTACTATTTAACGATCTATCTTTGTGATCTCTTTTCGTGGCGCTGTGCTAAAAATCACATCTAGACTAAAGAACGAAGTCTAGGGCACAGCAATTTAGCCTATTATGGTCAAGTATAAACAATTCGTTCGCAATATTCTCGAGTGATGGGGGATTCGGTGTGGACCCAATGTATCTTAGGTTGGCATACAGTTTGTGATGCAATTTTTAATGTCTGGAAGATAATACACGAAATAGGTCTAAGGTCCTAATAAGCCATTTTTTTCTCGGCGGATTTCGTCTACAGCCACATTTGTGTCGGGTGAAATGCTGCCCTTTGACATTATATTTTTGAGGGACCAAAATCAAGAAAACACAGCACATCAGACTCTGAGCATGAGATTTCTTATTTTCCAATAACCGCTGTCCTTTTAGCTCATTGGGGCGAATTTGATTAGATAAGTTCAGAAAAAATTATGCTATGTACGAAATTGATCAGGGACGAAATAACACGCTTAAATAATCCATTTCCAGATATTACATGTCACTCTGTATTTCAAATGACGTCATTTTTTGTTGATGTTTTGAGGAAATTGTTCCAGAAATTGCGAAATTTATAATCTTAAATCTTATAGTGCTGTATCTTAAGAATAAAAGATGTCCCTAAACACAGCTCATGCCCAAAATAATGGGGTTGTAATATATGCAGGGGAAAGGTAACATCTGTTTAGTCTGTATCAGTAAGGTGTAAGTGTAGTATGGATGGGTAGACGTAGTAGGAAATCCAACTGACTAGCTTAGAAAAGATTATTTGTTAAGTTATCATTCCTTTAAGTTCAATTCTTAAAGAAAAGTAAAGATGTTTTCTGAAAATTTTATTTGTATTGGTGACACTGATAGTATCAATTTACTATTGAATTAATTGATGCTGCTATAACAATAATAATATTAAGAAAACATCTTAAGGCTCCTTACAATCAATCCCTTAAAGTAGTGGTAATGAATTTATATGCATCATCATTATTTTACAATCTACTTGTAGATCTACTACAGAACCATAATTCACTATGAAATGAAAACTTCCAAACAACTTCTGTTCTGTTTTGTTAAGATTATTAAGATGATGATTGGTAAATGTGTCATTTAAGTTCTACATTGAATTGAATGAATGTTGATTACATGATGTCATTAATTTTTTCTGCAGGATTCTAATTTTCTACAATGCTATTGAGATGACATTTGAAGGTCCAAACATACCTCATTTTAAAGGCAAGAAGAAAGGTAGAATCTATCTTACCACTCACAGAGTAAGTTTTATTATGGTACTAGGTATGGTATTTCACATTCACGAAAAAATCTAATTAGAATTAGACGTTCCCATTTTTATAGCTTTTATTTTTGATATAGCCCTTTCAGATGTAATGACAGCCCTCTTGAACCTTTTGATCTAACCTGATAAACGCTAGGTCACAAAATACCAGCACTGGAGAGGGTAGAAATTTGAACAGTTTAAAAGCAAATGTCATCAAGTTAGGTCAAGAGGTTAATTTGACTGGTGAAAAAATAGAATTTTAATGTAAGTGAATGGAAGTTTTGTTTGCATACCATGAAGATCTTAAAAACCTATCACTAAATTCTCCAAAGGACATTGTTTCCATCCATTTGTATTGGAAATTGAGGTCAAATATTGATGAATAACCATTGTAGATGATATTTACCAGTACAGAAGGGAAAGATGCTTTACAATCATTTAGTTTTCCATTCCTGAATTTACGTGAAGTGGAGTTAGAACAACCAATATTTGGAGCTAATTACATCAAAGGAAGAATTATTGCAGAGCAAGGAGGTGAATTGTTTTTTTTATTTATTTTCTTAAAAGAAACTGTTCTAGGGAAAAAATGGTAGATGTGGACTGTCTAAAAGTTCCAGTATTCACTGTATTGCAAATGTTTCAGTGGAGTTCAAAGTTTTTATACTAATTTATGGCATATGATAACATATTACAGGCAACTGGAATGGTGAAGCTAATTTTAAGATGCATTTTAATCATGGTGGAGCTATTGAATTTGGTCAGTGTATGTTGACAGCTGCTAAACTAGGTAGATATTAAATTTTAAAAATGACATGTTATAGAAAATGATTCGAGAAGCTACGTGATTACCGGTATGTTTTAAAGAGACAAGTACTTTAATTAATTGCTTTAATGAACTGAATAGCTGATTTTCTTCCTGTGAATCAGTAGCTTAACTTGGTCAGCTGGAAAGGTGAAAAATGAAATTGCCATATTTCTTCTATTAGAAATTGAAGTTAGTCAGAATTTAACTTTTAATTATTTCATGGATACTTATACGCAACACTTTGATTATGCATATCATCCTTTCTAATGTAACATTTTGTTTTCAGCATCTAGAAATCGACCAGCTCAGCCACCACCTTATTCACCTCCCACAGGACCAATATACCAGGCACCACCACCAGCTTATGAGGCACCACATACACAATATTATGATTGGGTTCCTTACCAAACATTCCCTACAGCTCCACCAGGTATATTTTTAACAGCTACATAAAAGGCACAAAATTTTGGTTATAGATTTCATGTTAATACTTTGTGAACAAGTAACTTATATTAGAGGTTCAGCCTCCATTGCTATGCAGTCTATCATCCTAATATGGCTTTCATAGCAGAATGAGATGAGCTTTTGCCTAAAATATAATGAAACATACTTCAAAGAACACCTAATAATTTGAGATTTCCTTTTCACAAATTGATCAAATGGAATTGATTTTTTATGAATGAAACCTGAATCATGTGATCCTAAAATTTCATGATGAAATTTTTTTTTCAATTGTTTAACAGCTGAGTATGTTTATACTTATGATGCACCGCCACCTTATCCTGGTGTAGATCCTAATGCAGCTGTTTATCCTCCGCCATATGCTGCTGGCAATGCCACAGGTAATTTGAGAAGCAAGTTTTCTCTCTTTATTTTTGTCAGTTTTGAGTGTATTAACAAAATTGAAAATGACAAGCAAACACAATGGACATCACTGGGATAGCATGAGTAAATGTATATTTTATGTTCTAACAGGCATTTAGTATTATATTGAGGTGGTTTTACTTTCATAATCAGTTCTTGATATAGTGAGCTTGAATAATTCTCTTTTTATATATTGTAGGTAATAATGCTAAAGAGAGGGAGGCTGCAGCGAGCGCTTATTATAATCCTTCAAATCCCCATAATGCTTATTTACCACAACAACAGAATGGTTTTAGTCAGCCACCTCCAAGTTATGATGATGCTACTAAAAAACAAAATTAATCAATGTTATCATATCTGATTCAGATATTGATTATTGCAATATTTTATCAAAATTTCATTTCTGGATATAGTTAATTGCTAAGAGGTGATATATTTATGAGGGAAATTTTATATGTTGTATTATCATAATTCATATTCAACTCTTAATTAACTGTCTGAAGTCAAAAATGTGATCCTTCTCTGTTTCATATCTTTTCTTTCTATTTGACATGATCCTTGTAAAGTTATATCATGAAGAAATATACAAGCTCTAAACAACTAAACAACTTGATAAGATACTGTATTTTTTAATTGTTAAAAAATACAGTGACACAGTATTTGAAGATGTTGATGACCTGTTTGTTGATATTAGTTATTATGTAATTGTACATAGATTGATAATTATTATGCATCAGTGAAAAAATTGTTTATTATGTGATAAGAAGTCAGTTTTTATTTTATTTGTGTAAGCAATGTAGGATTTGGAATTCTTTTGTTAATTTTTTATTCTTTGAATGAGGTGAAATAAATATTAACTAAAATATTAGCTTATTTTTTGTCTGTGATATGAAATATGCTGTAGAATTTTGGCTTTGACAATGATTAGATACTTTTATTTTTTAAATTTGTAATGCGTTAACATTTGCTTAATAAATATACTGCACCCAGTCTGTTAATTTTTATTATATTAACACGCCATTGTGGTCTGCCGTAAGTTATCTCCCTTTACAAAATGGCTGCGCCCATGATTACTCAGAAATTATTAAATAACTATGTTCAAAACTCTCTAAGGAGGTTTGTTTTCCTATTTTATTAAGCTATATTAGTAATAATTACCATTACCATTTCTTTCGCTTAAAGCATGACATGTGGGCAAACTAGAACATATATTTTAAATAGATAATGGGACCGAGTTCACGTTGGTGTCTGTAAATTCCAAACTCAAATAAGAGTTTCCTGTATCGTATAAATCGATGCTTTATAACCAATATGGATTCATATATGTCATCATGGTAATCCGAATCTTGGTTCCTGTTGCTTTTTATCTGCCTTTGCTAATAATGTCATAGTGACACTTGTAGCTATCCTGAACTACAGCTGAAGCCAGTGTCACTGCATAAGTTAAGATAATAGCCCCTACTATTTATGCATGAGAAGGGGGTTGACATGGAATGTCAATGGGAAGAGTCAAACCAAGGCTCCTGTGTTTCGGGCATAGCACGGTAAAGATCCCTCGACAGTTGCTAAAGGAAAATGAGTAGCCTAGGGATTAGCTAGAGTGGTTGATAGGAAACAAGTTACTATTCATCTTAAGGATGAGGGAACATGTCCCCTCAAAGCTGGTTTCACTTAGTTAGTATTAGGCTAGTGTTGAAATGGATATTAGTAGTAGTCCTAACATAGACCTAAAAATCAATGATTTATCATAATATATCATTATTATTACATAAGCTTATAATCTCTTTCATGGTAATACACGCTGCATTGCATTGCACGTCCTCATTCTTCAATAGTGGAATGTAACAACTCAACTTTTTTTTTTTTTTTTGATATGCCACTGGGCTTAAATATGGACAAGGGCTGCATATTGTAAGAAACATTTTACATATTGCATATATTTTTTTTATTCTAAATCCTGTAGATTAATTAGAAGGTTTTCAACATCTACTCCGGCTGTGGGTAACTTGTTAGATGTCAAGTCTAGAGGATTGTTTCAATACATTCATCCTGAAAATGGGTAAGGAATCAGTATAGTAGTTGAGACTATGAAGAAAATAAAAAAGATTTATACCTAGCCTTATAATCTTGTATTAAGAAATTTCATGAATATGCTGAAAGCAAAAAGATAACTATTCTGAGTGCAAATTGGGTTTGGATTACAAGAACAAATTAAAACTTGTCTTCAACCAATCAGGGCTTAGCACTACAAATACTTCTCAAATGGATTCATTTTAAATTAATGTTCATCTTATGTGAATGGCGTATAGTTCTATGGGAGAACAGAAACTATTTCAAATACTGCCGGGGAAAATGACAAATGACATAAAATTGTTGTATTGTAGGGGTCCTGCATTATATGATAAACTATCATCAACTCAATGTATATATTGTGGTTTTGATCCAACAGCAGATAGTTTACACATTGGGAATCTACTAGCTATAATTGGTCTTATACATGCACATAGATACGGTCATATGGCTGTTGCTTTAGTAAGTATATAAAAAGTATTTTTGACAAATATCTTGACTTTTTATAATTTGCTTTTTTATTCGTTGATAAAAAAAAACAATCACTATATTGTAAGACTGTCATATTTGAAATTTAGATCCATGCCTTCTCTTTTATTTTCTTAAAGCATGAGGTTTATTCCTCATTATTTTCTTTTTTGATTTTAGGTTGGTGGTGCTACAGCTCAAATAGGAGATCCAAGTGGTAGAACTAAAGAAAGAGATCGCATAGACTTACATGATGTTGAAAGAAATGTTGAAAAGCTTACAGAAAATCTACAAAGAATCTTTGATAATCATTCAACTTGTTTTCTACCTAGATCTCACAATCTAGAGAATATCAGGTAAAGTTCTGTATGTTGTAGAATTTCGAAAGGAAAGCAACCATGTTTTAGTGGGTATATTCGCCATTTGTTTGGTTTATAGTTATATATTTGAAATATCAACAAAACCTGAACGGTTTTGGAGTTATTGCCCTTGACTTGGTAAAAACATGACAAAATTTGTCTGTGAATACAATAGAGATTACAGTTTTCATCTGATTTTAACCAAATTTGGTATGATTATCTTTTACAATGAGATCTTGGTCAAGTTGTAAATTGATGATTTTTCGTTGAACGGTATTTGGATATTGCTCTTGACTTTCATCTGATTTTGATTAAATTTGATGTGATTATCTATAACAATGAGATCTTGGTTAAGTTCAAATATTTGATGATTTTTCGATCAATGTTTTTTGAGTTATTGCACTTGACTTAGTAAAAAGGCATCAAAATTTGTTTGTGAACAGAAGGGAGAATTCAGTTTTCATTCGATTTAAGTAGAATTATGATGATAAGATCTTGGTCAGGTTAGAATTTGACAATTTTCAGATAGCCTTTTTTTGAGTTCATCAAAATTTCTTTGTGAACACAATAGAGACACGTTTTCAAATGGAATTTTTTGTGATCATTTATATTCTTGTGGAATTTGAATTTAACAATTTTTTTGTTGAATGGTACTTGTGTTATTGCCCTTGTATTAGTAAAAAATTTGTTTATGAATACTATAGAGACTATAAAGATTTCATCTTGTGAATGCAATAGATGTGACAGTTTATGTCAGAATTTTATGAAAGTTTGTGTGTTTGAATTGATCAACAATATCTTGTACAAATAAGATTTTTGATACGATTTGATACAGATTGACGACCGCCTTTGATATACTGAAAATTTATCAGGGAAGTGGGCGTATCTTTGCTAGGCAGTCGGCAACCACTTGTTTATTTTTTTGATATGATTTGAGAAGAAATGAACATAATCTATTTTATTCCACAGGATTGTAAATAATATAAGTTGGTATCAAAATAAAAATGTGATAGATTTTTTATCAAAGGAAGGTAAAAAGTTTAGAATGAATGCTATGTTGAACAAAAGCAGGTTAGTTTAATATTTAACCTCTTTGTGTATTTAGAATGTTAAAAAATTTCCACCTTTATTTTTCTGTTCAAATTCTTGGAAACAAATGCGATCAAGGCTGAAAAGAAAAAACGTGGCAGTGAATATTTAGGATGTTAAAAAATTCTTTGACCCCAATATCTAATTTATAAAACTGTCAACCTTGTTTAATTCTGTTTGTATTTTCTCTTAGTGTACAAAGTCGTCTGTCAAAACCAGAAGGAATGAATTTTTCTGAATTTACCTATCAGATATTTCAATCTTACGACTGGTATCAACTTTATAAAAACTACAAATGTACAATTCAAGTAAGTTACTTTTACCTATGACTTTTCAATTGAAATTTCAATTAATGTATTGACTCTAACATTTGTGAATTTCAAAAAGATAAGATTTAAAGATCAGTTCCCTTGTTTTCATTTCAGAAAATAAAAATGCTAATATTTATATGAATAGGAAGTAGAGGAGTTTTTATGACTAGGAAAAATACCAGTTTGTCTCTCATGTCCATTATTAATTCTTAATTAGCAAAATAAGAAGAGAATTACCATCAGAATTCCAATGAGTGACCGATCAAGAAAGACCTATAAGTCTTTTTTTGTTTATCCAGACTGTACAGTGGACACTAATGATTGGTTAAAACTTAATGATTGATTAAGAACACATGATAATTCATTAGAAATACCAATTCATCAAATAGTTTGCTTAATTTAACACTAAAAAAATAAGGAAACCCTTCTTTAATTAGTTTGGCATGATGTATTTAAATCAATTGTTTGAACTCCTTTGCAATTCAACATACTGAGTAAATGACGTAACAGTTTGTAAATGAATCATTTTAGATTGGTGGTTCCGATCAGCTAGGTAATATCACAGCAGGCTTTGATTTTCTTCTGAAACAAGTTGACGAGGACAGTTTCTTTGGTAAGAATGATTTTGTTATTTTATACATCAAAGTATTCCTTCATATCAACAATTTGTATGTCAAATTTCTCCTTGTGATATGCAGTATCCTTAAAGTCCTTATTCTCCAAAAATTAACTTAAATAAAATCCAGATTTTAAGTTGTACAGAAACTGATTGGATAGTAGAAATTGATTTTAAAATTTTTTAGTTATTGACCGATTAGATGACTGGAACGCTTTAATCATTTTAAATTCAGTTTTCAAGAATAAGGCCACTGGTGAATGGTGATAAAAGAAAATGGCAGAATTTAACTAGGAAAAAAATGAAAAGTAGAATAATGAATTAAACATCAAAATTATTTTAGGTCTGACTATACCTTTAATAACAGCATCTAGTGGTGAGAAACTGGGTAAATCTACTGGTAATTCTTTATGGTTAGATCCTTATAAAACATCAGCTTACCAACTATATCAGGTAATAACTAGCCAATTTATAAAACAGATGATAAAAAATCCAATATCTACTTTACAATAATAAAATATTCTCACTGTTAAAATTGTGCTCAATACATCAATTGTAGAGTGAAACTCTGAGTAACAACATGTTTTTTTAGGTTCTGTTTTAATATTTCAATTTCTACTTTATGTGAAAGAGCTTATTTTAACTTCCTTATTTTAAACATACACAGAAACCTTTAGTTCTTATCTACTGAACTGAAATTAACATTTGAAAATTGTACCAAAATATTGTACTATTGTATTTGATAAATTCTTGAGAGGTGACAGATCTGTGTATTTAACATATCAAGAATGATGCTGTTATAACTTCTATTCTTTTCAATATTTCAGTATTTCTTTAATTTTGCTGATTCTGATGTTGAAGAATATTTAAATTTGTTTACATTTCTAACTGACCAAGAAATAACCCAAATATTAGAAGAACATCAGGTAAAAATATAAAATTGTTTAAATTTATCATATTCATTATCCAATGGTTTTACTGTATAGTTGAAACAAAACATACAATATGCACCACCCCCTTTTTTTCTCCAAATACAAGGAAATATCTTATCCACTGTGATTATGAAATGTTTCCAGATTGTCTTTGACAGGTTAAACTCACACAGACTGCCAAAATGCCAGTATCTTGGCATGTTCTAAAAACTTGTTTTACTATTCCAATGGCATTGTTGCAATGTATAATATTGTCATGGGGTAATAGTCTTAGATTTAAATGTAATTTAATGTGTCCTGGTATACTTGTATTTGTTGTTACTTTTCTACTGTTTGTAGAGTGCTCCTCATAAAAGATTGGCACAGAAAAGACTAGGAGAGAATGTGACTTTACTTGTTCATGGAGGTTGGTATTTGTATCTATTCTTTGTAACAATTTAGTCATTGCAACGTAACATAGATAATAATTTCTGACTGAAAATTTCAGAATGTTCCAAATCATTGTGTTTGTAAGAAATTTCTCCAAATATCTTATCTACCACAGCCTCACAATAATTCTAATAACATTGTTTTTAACCAATCAAAGTTGATTGTTTAGGACCCGTTAGTTGATAACATTGACGAATTATCAGCTAAATCCAAAATATAGCCTCATTGGGATTTTCTCTCCCATACCATTGTGGAGATGAGAACTATCAGAATAACAAAAAGAGATGAAATTGTAATCTAATAGATTGATCTATGCCAAGCTGAATTAATTTTTAGTTTCAAAGTTAACATACTTCATTTCATGATAGTTGTGGTTTCTTTGTAACTAAGCTTCCAAATTTGCATCGATTTAATAAAGTAATATATGTTTTGTATAGAAAAGGGATTAAATACAGCTAAGAAATGGACTGATGTATTATTTGGTGGAACAGTAGAATTGTTACAGACTTTAACTAAAGATGATTTACAACATTCACCAGAATTATTAGTTACTGAAGTACCAGTATCAGATAAAACTAATTTAAAACATTTATGTATCGACTACTTAAAGGTTCATCCATGTAAGTATGTATGTCAAGTGATTTGGAAGTTTAAATAGGACTAAATTATGTATATCATTATATCATTACAATAATAACTGCACTCAAGAATGAAAGTATTGTGTATTGTGTTTGTTTCTACATAAACTCTCATGTTTCAGTTATTTAATTATTTATCATTTTCAGTACAGTTTGATAAAATATTAAACACTGGTGGTTTACATATTAATTATGAACGTGTTAATGATAACATAACAATAGATGATAGCCATATATTACCAAATAATATAACAATGATTCAGTTAGGTAGGTTGATTAAGTTTTTAATTTGGTTTTTTATTGGATATGGAACCTCTTTACAGTAGGAAAAGGGAAACACATACAAGAGCTAGATACCGATCTGTGCACATTTCAAGACATTGCATGTTTACTTCCTCTGTTTTATATGTCAAAAGAAAGTTTAGAAGTAAATTGTCTCCACTTTCTGTCTATCTGTTCATATAATCTACAATAATGGAAATATCGTGGGTGACCGCTTGAAACCTCGAATATGCAATATTTGGTCATTTTGACTTTTTGGTACCTTTCGAAAGCTCGAAAGCTCGTAAACGCGCAGATCTTGTGATCAAAAGCTTGTATTCTTAGCTTGATTGTAAATAACTCAAAAAGCACTAATTAAATAACACGTATTCAAACAGTCAGATTTAAAACCTCGTAAAATTATTATTTATTATACAAGTTTTTGTTCAATAGGCCGGAGATTTCAATTTGTTATACGAGGTTTATAATTTCAAAGAATAAAAACCATGTATAGCAGTAAAAAAAAATAATAAAAAAGATTATAACAAAATACGCGGACAAATAGTTTTTGGCGTTTTTCTCAAAAAGTAATCCCGCTTCATTTATCGAAGTTTCAAGCGGTCACCCACGATATTCTGTTTATTTCTGGTTTGTTAATTAGCACTTATGCAAAGATAATTTTCGTGATGAATAGCAATGGAGCAATAGTGACAACTTGCTTTAGTTCCCTTGGATGGTTGGTTAGATAACCTTGCTACATTAATTAGATTTTTTGTATTTTTCAGGTAAGAAGAACCATTATTTGTTGAAATGGTCAGATGGATAAATCATATAATGAACATATAGCACATCAAAATAAATCATTTATTCACCCATAAGTTTTCCTTTTTACTACCTTCATTTGCTTGTTACAGAAACTGCAGTTTTTAAAGAATTTCAACAAAACAAATTGCTTGAATTTGAAGCAATCAAGTGAGGAAAAAAACTACGATGTTCATAGCTTTTACATGCTGACCAGTCCACATTGATATTTTGCACAAGTGAAATTTTTCAGGTTAAACTGTTCCTAAACATGGTATCGACAAGATCTATTCCATAATAATATCTCAAGAATCTAGTAGTGATTCAAAGTTAGGTGTACAAATAAGTCTATGTTTAATATGACCTAAAACACACATAGAACCAGTACCATCAGCTGTATTAACTGAAACCACTTCCTATAAATATAAAATATCAATCTATTAGTTTTACTATCAATTCACATTCAAAAATCATAGCAGTTTATTCAGTTTTTGTGAAATGTTTTGCTCTTGATCTGACCATGATAAGGACTGGGATATGCAATGAGGAAACTCCTATAAGCAGGGGAGTGTAACAGAAAACTTTATCAAAAGCATTACCTGTAAAAATCCACTTGGTGTACCAGCAGTTACATCTAATTTGACATTACCTATTAGTAATTCAATTTTTCCTGATTTTCGTATCTGTAGTTTACCTATCTGACCTTCAGAAAAGTCTGCCAGAGAACATGTTGAAAGTCGATCTGAAACTGTTTCCTGAAAATGATCCCAGAAATGATTGAAATAATGAGATACATGATTTTCAAAAAATATTAACAAGTGGTTGCCTAGCAAGATATGCCCACTTTCCTGATACATTTTCAGTATAACAAGGGCAGTCACCTATCTGTGTCAAATCATACCAAAAATTTAATGTGTGCAAGATATTGTTGATTTAAACAAACACACATTATTTAATAAAATTCTGACATAAACTTTTGATGTGTTCATGGTCAATGACTCAAATTCGGTTGATCGAAAAATTGTCAAATTTATAAATGATCATACCAAATTTCATTTAAATCGGATGAAAACTGTAGTCTCTATTGTGTTCACAAACAAATTTTGATGAGTTTTTCATAAATCAAGGGCAATAACTCAAAAACCATTCATCGAAAGATAGCCAAATTCGAACTTGTCCAAGATCTCATCATTATAAATATTCACACCAAATTTCATTGAAATTGGATGAAAACTGTAGTCTCTATTGTGTTCACAAACAAATTTTGACGCGTTTTTCATAAGTCAAGGGCAATAACTCAAAAACCGTTCATCGAAAAAAGATAGCCAAATTCGAACTTGTCCAAGATCTCATCATTATAAATATTCACACCAAATTTCATTGAAATTAGGTAAAAACTGTAGTCTCTATTGTGTTCACAACCAAATTTTGACGCGTTTTTATAAGTCAAGGGCAATAACTAAAAAACCAAGATCTCATGAATATAAATGATCACACCAAATTTCTTTCAAATCAGTTGAAAACTGTAGTCTATCGCGTTCACAAGCCAATTTTGACGCGTTTTGGCTGAGTCAAGGGCAATAACTCAAAAACCGTTCATCGAAATATCGTGAATATCGAACTTGTCCAAGATCTCATCAATATAATTGATCACACCAAATTTCATTTGAATCAAATGAAAACTGTAGTCTCTATCACGTTCACAAGCCAATTGTGGACAGATGGACAGACAGACGGACATGGGTGAGTGACGACAATATACGTCCACATTATAATGTTTCAAAAAGTTTGAGTGGATAAAGAATATAAGAAATTCTACAATCTGATTGGTCAATAAAGCTGCATTTAAAATCAATTCACAAAAGTGGACACTTAGATGACTGCAGCACTAAACCAATCTAAATTTAGGATTCTGTAGAAATATTTTTGGAATTCAGTTTTAAACAAGTTGTAAGGAATAAGTAACAATAAAGAATATTGAGAAACAATAATTAAGAACTACAATCTTACAGTGTCAGTTTTATTAGAATCTGTTGTAGTTGAAGTATCAGAAGGTTTATCAGAATCTTGTTTTCTAGTTGGAGGTAGTCCTGGTAAAGTATCTGGTAGTTGAAAAAATATCAGTTCACCTTCTTCTAAATTGGTACATGAAAACATTTGATTTTTTTTTATTAGTTTTTAGCTGTATTTCATATTTTCTTACCATGAAAACCAGATTACAAAAAATTTGGAGGAAGCAAGGGTGGGTCAGCTTGTAAGACACCTTGCTAATCCACATGTAGGTCCATGGTTTTGAGGAAGTGCAGAGTTTTTACTCCAGTTCCTCAAGTCTGTGGAACTGAGGTATAGGTTGTGCATGTTACGTGATCCTTTGAGAAACTTTCCTTCGTTGCACTTACCCTGCCCCCATCTTCAACAACCTTACCAGAAACTCTTTAAGCAATAGAGTACTCGAATATATACCTGCTTTTCCAAATTTAGAAAAAATACTTTTGCAAGATAGGTCATCCATAATTTCATTTTTAAATTTTCTTGGGCTGCTTGATGTTTTCAACTTTTCATCACATTTCATTTCTGTATCATTACTGCTCTTTGAATCTTCTGAAACAATTTTTATTAATGTGCTTACTGGCATATTTTACCATTTCAAAATTTGTTAAGACATATGGTACTTTAAATCATTGGAAATGAAACTAATAAATTTTCTTTTAAGATACTTATCATAAATCAAAAATTTAGTGAGCAATAAAAAAGTTGGGAATAGAATTTTCATGGATGTCCTCTTACCTTCATCTTCTTTTTCCACTTTAAGATCAGATTTAATCTCAATTTCCTCTTTTAGTTTACATGATAATGGTAACATTACTGGTGGCATATCATCTTGTATATCACCATCATCTATAAACTAATACAAAATATATCATGATATTGATAACACCTAATCAAATTATATATCTGGAGAACATTTTAAGAAACATTTTGTATTGATATAAAACCATATAGTTTTAAAAGAAATATTGCAGGCCCTCATCAAGCCAATATGAATCAAGGCAGTGCATAAATCAGGGATCCCCGAGTTCCTCTTTTTCAAGGAATTCCTCTATTCAAGATATAACAACAAAAAATTTGGTTTAAGGGATGAACAGATTTCTATATATATTTCTAAGAAATGACCTCCAAAGCATCTTGAACTGGTAAAATCTTCACCTGTACCCTTACACGAGAGCCTGTCCTTTTGCATTTCCTCTATTGTTTGTTCTGGGATCCCTGATTAAAATAAAAACAATGGACATTGCATCATCATTTTTAAATATCATATTTAAACATAGTTTACAATGAAGCAAGGCTCATATATTTAAAAGTGAATACATACATCATCTCTCAATAGAAGGTCTAAATCCTTGTGAGAGACATTCTTCTCTTTTTTAACGCTTACTTTTGATGAACCACCTCCATCCTCTCTATATGATATTCCACTTCCACCTGTTACAATAAAAACACAAGTTTTAACCAGTGCTTATTATTACTGCCTTTTAAGATGGGGACAGGTGAAATTTGATCTCCCTTGGGAAAAGGTCTATTATATCATAATCTACCTATATTGTTATATTGTGTCATTTAACCAACAGTTCTACTTTATAACTAATTATAATTACTTCATCATGGGGACCTTATTATTTACAAAAGAATCTTATAGGAGCAAACAGAAAGTGTTGCTTAATTTTAAAAAGTCGAGGGTAAAACCAATCTAATTAAAATTATATGACTATTCAGTTTGGTTATCTTTGTTTTTATGGAGGTCAATTTGCACCATTAATCCATTCTCTACCGATTTGTCTAATTCACTGATTCAAAGACAAATGTAAAATATCTTATTTCCTATTACTTATCATTCAAACAACATAATGATTGAAATGCTAAAATCAAATGTTTATATTCACATGTAACTTAACTAAAGTCCTTTCAAATAGTTTATTTAGCATCTTCCAAAAATCTTTAATGATAAACCACCGTCTTTTTTGATAAATATCAGAAGTATATTTTAAATTGTAAAGTGTCATTTCTAAATTGGAAAATGTTTGTAGTAAAATGATAAGTGCAACTTCTTTAGTGTATTATGAAATTGACCTCTATATGTTTTTGGTCTCCATTGTAATTTTAATAGATTTATATGTTGATACTCATGTCAACTGACCACAACGTGTTATGCAGAATCCGTGTCTAAATATTGACTATGAATTGTGGGATGGCAAAACCTAAAGTAGGGCAATATGACCGATGACTTATGAGACTGGTCATACATGCTTGTAAAAGTTATCCTGATGACCTGTGGTGCATGATTGACTGCTATAAATAGCCAATAGCTTGACCACCAGAACACAACCTGGGTACAAAGCTTGTTAGATTACAATGGAGAAAAAACAACTATACTTTGCAAAGATTCAAAACATATCATTCTGATAGAATCTGTATATTTGACTCTACAACCAAACATTGCTTTGCAATTTACCTCTACTCTGTTTCTGAGCTGGACCCTGTTCAAAGATAGAATGTGATTGAACTAATGTATTCTCTCTGCCACGTCCACGACCTCTACCTCGACCCCTCTCATTTCTTCCTCGGGTAGAAGTATTAGGTTTAGATGATTTCTGTGGGGCTGGACTGAAATGGTAAAGAACACTTCCTTAAAGTAATTGTCTATTTCACAATACAGTTGCCAATGTATACATACTCAGGAAAGTACAGTTATAAGCTATACTGTACATTGAAGACAAATCAAATTTCAACACATGTGGCACATTTCAAGTTTTCAAAAAATAGGTATCTTGGGCATCCATTTGAAAAACCAGAAACAAGACTGTAACATTGACATCAAAAGTTAGAAAAAGAAAACTCTAAAGTAGAGACAATTTAACTTACTTTTCTTTAACTTTATCTCTCCTAGCAGGTATAGTTGGTGTAAAAACTTTCTTAGGAACACCACCTAGTGTTAAATCTCTTGGACCTTTCAAAGATGGTAACCTAAAAATGAATGCATAATGCAAACAAAAGGATTCATTAAATTAGCAACATAGGCCCTATTCTCACAGTGAAAGTTTTCGTTATAAATCAAAAGCCGCTCCGACAAAATTGTATTAGAAGACATTTTAAGTATGAACAAGGTACATACTGTGGATATCATAATCCAAAAGTTCCTGTCGAAAAATAATATATTCTTGTATTTTACGTTTTTAAAAGGGACTCTTTACTTATAGTAAATCAAAAACTACTGAACAGCTTAGAAAATACATGTACCCTTGCCATACCTAGCAATCAATTACAATCCAACTTGCTGATTGTTATAAAACTTTTCAGTTTTTTTAACCAATGTAACCCATAGGCTCCTTGTAGATTCACTTCCGATTTACTGTTGCTATAGGTGTAAAAGGGCTTGTAATGCAGATATTGTATATGTGTAATGGATCCTTTTTTATTTATTTTTAATTTACCTCAATATAAGTCATTTAAATATTGATATATTTATAGCAATTCTTTCATTAATAAATACTTTCCATTAATTATCTATTCACTAAACCACCCCATAGGATGAAAATACAAAACCATTGTCTAAAATATAGTGTTATTATTTATTTTTTTTAGAATGTTTTAATTTGACCAGAAGGAGGGAAAATATTTCATGTAAAAAGTTCCTATCATCAACATTTTATTTGAATTAAATCATCTATTGAGAAGAGATTAAATCACCCTATTTACTGATTCAGTTCAAATTTATTTTACTTATTTCTATCATAAAAAGAAATCATTTTCATATGTTATAGGTACTTAGATGTTTCTTCATTACATTAATACACTTTTAGTATTTTTGGAAAGAAAGACAATGTATAAATTTAACATGCAATATTAATTTCTTTTTTCAACAAATTCTGCTCATTCATTTTTTACAAACTGCATTGGATGCAGTTGTTGATGCAAAAACTGATAACATTCATGCCATATAGCCATATATATGCCTTTTCCAAGAAAACCTTATCACTACGAGAAAATGGTGACTATACACCGCAATCAAAGAGTTTGGTACTTCGATGCTGGGAACTTTCTAAAGCTATGAAAAATTTGTGGGAACTTTTAAGTGCGAGTTAACCAAGCATAGTTTTACATTTCTATGTGAAGCACATGTCGCACGGATTATGTCGGAGCGGACTTTAACTTTACGCGATCAGTGAATGAGTACTAACATGGATGAGTAATGTATGATTATTAGTTATTGTGATTTGGCAAATCTAAATCAAACACTGTAATAAGTAGACTGCTCTAAAGCTAAAAAGCTTAAATAAAATATGGTGATCATAAGGTTAGAAGTAATCTAAATTCCAGGTAGCCAATAATAAAAATAGTAACCATAATACCTTGCAGATTTTCCAGACGATGTTCCTTTCCTTCCAATCAAGCCTTTTGGTAGCTTTTCAGCTTCTTTAGCATTTTCAGACATTTGCGTTCAATATAAACCCTTGTCAGTTATTATAATTCCTTGCATTGGTACCTGCAGAAAATGTTACGAAAAAGAAGCATGATAATTCATAGACCAAAACATCTATCTTTAATTCAGCCTCTGATAGCTATTTGGACAGATGTCAACTGGTGTAGACAGAAATAGTAAGTCCTGTTAAATGGAGACATTCCGCATCTCAGGGGTGCAGGGGTTTTAAACCTAGTTAGATACTGCAGATCTGCAAAACCCAGATATATTTGGAAAGATGAATATTTTTGTAGTTCAGTCATACATTTTCTCCCTTCACCATTTATGTCATGTCTCTGGTTCCATCAAAGTTCTTTTTGGCGAAACTAATCTAGCATCAGCCATTTAAAAGTTCAAAGGTCACAGAGTCATGGGATACTAACAAAACGAAAGTTACGGTGATGGCCAACACTAATTTACAATCATTTTAAAGGTACCGGTAATTCAATATTATGTTAGAGAAAACACATCTGTATAGTTTGGTTAGCATTTTCTTCTAATTCTACTCCAGCTATCAACTATCAAAATATCCATCAGAGGCTGGAATAAAGGCAGATTTTTCAGACTAGATAATTCACTGATGTTATTAGTGATCCAAGCAAACATTAGTCAATGTGAATATTTTGTGCTTGGCTACAGACCACAGGCATCTGTTTCTATCAATAGTCGACCATCTCTATAATAGTATATAAATATATATATCGATCAAAACAGATGCCTGTGCTACAGACCATAGAACAGTACTGTATACAGTTCTATCTATGTACACACTACAGACATAGATAGATAAACTTACACAAAATATTATAACAAAAAGGCCTAAAAGATATCAATAAAAGATTGTTTTCAAAGTGACTCAATACTCAATGTCGACAATGTCTCATATTTTATCACCAATGACTTCATTACTAACTGTTCTAGACAAACATACAACCTGCAAAAACATGTGATTGCATTCGACTGCATCAGAACTTTACTTTCACTTTATGACTGGACAATGTTTCTTAGGGATTCAAGGGGAATAACCAAGTTCCATTTAAAAGGCGCCACTGGTAATGACACCCACTGTAAAGAAAAAAATTGTGTTTATTTACATATTTTGGAAGGGATAACAACCATATCCATGAGGTGATATTAATTATATTTTCTAGAATTCAAACCTCAAGTATATTTTCCACCTGTCAAATTTCAAAATAAAATATAAATATGGCAATGACATTGATAGATTTCAACCAGTGAGTGAGTGACATTATAATTTACATTGTCCACAACAGGCACAGTCCTTAATTCTCTACAGAGGAAAATTTGTTGCAATAATTTTGTACTGTTGAGTCCTTCGAAAGAGTTATGAGGTTATTTTAGTTTAATTAATATTAATGCAAAGTCTTTCTAAGAAGAGTGCAGTGGTGTAAACTGTATTATTTTGTGACTATGTCTATATACAGTGGTGTACTGTAAGCCTGTAACCTATTTTCATGTATATAAGGATTCAACACCTAATTTAGTCAGATTTAAAAACAGAATTTTTTTTTAAGTCTTAGAAGTTTCCTCAGATATTCTACAAAATAATTTAGATTGGTTTGTTTTGATTTTCTTTTTGAATCCCCTCTTTGGCCCATTTTCATGAGTAACCAACTAGACAACAGCGGCAAAATGCGTCACCTATTTTCGTGTACAATGTTTGATCTATGATTAAGTCAAGAAAATCCTGCTGTATAGATACCCAGTGATATAATTAATTTTTTTAGTATTTACCTTTAATAATATTTCATTACAGTGGTGTAACCTATTTTCGTGCATATAAGGATTCAAGACGAATTGCAACAAAGTTAAATAAACAGAATTTTTTTTTATATCTTAGATGTTTCATATCTTTCCAAGGCATTTAGTAATTGATCAATATAAGGAAAACAAACTTTATGTACATACAATTACTACATTTATTGACTGTGATGTATCAAGCAAATAATACAATCATAAACATTGGGCATATAGAGAGCTAGTAACCATAACTAATGACAACTAATAATTATAATAATGATTACAGGATGAAGCCATATAGGTGTTCTCTTTGATCTGTTCTCTTTAATCTGTGGATTATGGTTTCTTACTGATAGTCCATATCATGTCATTTTATTCCCTAAATGATATTAGCATATACACTTGGTATGAAATAACCCCAATCCCTATTCAATTCTGGTTTTATTCTTTTTATATAATTTTCTTGGTTTCATGTGATGTTGATTTTTGGCCAATATCTTTGTGTCTTTCCATGATATTTGATGTCTTTGGTTGATACTGTGTTCAGCAACTCCTGTAAGGTTGGGTAGATTCAGATTCTTGTGTTCTTTGAGGCACTGGTCTAGAGGGCGTTGCGTTTCACCACATGTACATTAATTTTTATCTGGTATATACAACCTTTGGCTTGTGGTGCTGTCATTGATGGCGCCTTTCCATGTGTATTAAGAATATTCTGTACCGTTCTTCCTCTCTTAAAACTAATATCTACTTGAAGTTCTTCTGTTAACAGTCTTTTAATCTGGTAGGATATTGATCCTATAAACGGTATGCTAATTCTGATCCCGCTGATGGATGGTGGCTTTTGTTCAGTACTTTGGGTATTCCTGGATTTGGTGATGATTTTGTTGATCACATCTTCAGGATATACATTGTAGTTTGTGAATACATTCTTCAGGTGGAGGAGTTCTGGTTCAAGGGTGGCTTCATCACAAATTTTGGTAGCTCGATTCACCAGGGACATAACAGTCGATCGTTTTATGTTGGCCGGATGGTTTGATTGGTATTGAATGTATTAATCAGTGTGAGTTGGCTTTCTATATACTGTTGTTGATATGGTATTATTTTTCTTGGTTACGAGGACATAAGGAATGGTAAGAGTTATTGTTTTCTAATTCCATGGTGAATTTTATTCGTTGCTTTTGGTTGTTGAGGTGGTTTAATAAATTCATGGGATCTTCTTTTTCTTGAATCATAACGAAAGTGTCGTCAACTTTCCTCAGCCAGCAGATCGGTTGGATGGTGGAGGTTTTAAATTCCTGATTTTCAAATTCTGTCATGTAGATTTCTGATAATAAAGGTGATAAGGGACTTCCCATGTATCTGTTCATAGTAGTCATCCCCTCATCGAAAGTAGGTTGAGGTTATACACATTTCTAACAGTTTTACTATACCTTCTGTTTTTATGGTGGTTCCAAGTGGGTCTTGTGAGTTATCCAACTTATCTTTGATAATGTCCAACGTTTCTTTTTGAGGTACATTTGTAAACAGGTCAGTAACATCATATTATGATATAGGCTTTCTGTTAGCTGGGAGTGTCTGTATCTTATCACAAAATTGGGCAGAATCACTTACATATGAACTGGCTTCCTTAACAAATGGTGCTAAGAGTTTGGACAGGTATTGGGCTATATTATAAAACACTGAGTCTCTGGGACAAATAAGTAATCTGGCTTTGATAGGATTTTTATTAATCCTAATATTAGCTTTGGCGTATGGTGCTTAGATGTTTCCTCGGATATTCTACAAAATAATTAAATTTGGTTTGTTTCGATTTTCGTTATGAATCTCTCACTTCGACCCATATTTCATGAGTAACCAACTCGACAACGGCAGCAAAATGCGTCACCTATTTTCGTGTACAATGTTTGATCTATAATTAAGTCAAGAAAAACACGTTGTATGGATACCCAGTGGTATAATTAACTTCTCTTAGTATTTATCTTTAATATCAATTCATTATAACTACTAATGACAATTCCTTCAAAGAACCATGATTTAAAAAAAATACTGACTAACAAAATAAGATACGTAGCGTGAATTATTGCTAAAAATCATTGAAACAACATAAGAATATGGCCCACATTGTGTTCCATAGAATTTTTCTGCTGACACGGAATCCACTAGTTGATCACGTGACTTCATGCTTTGGACTACATTCTAGCAGATGACACTTGGAATTCCGATTACAGCTACGGATTATAAGAAAATTCGGCCGATAAAAAATTGTAAAGTTTGGTAATAACTGAAATAGATTTTACCATGCTTGAGGTTGCACATGTAAATTATTAATTCTTTCCGGAAATGCACGAAAAATAGGTTAGCACCATATTAGGTTACTTGACTATAACTAATGACAATGATTTAAGAAAGACAGACAAAATTAGATAAGTAAAACGTAATTGTGATTTATTGCTATTAGTCATAGAAACTACATAAGAATATGGCCCACATTGTGTTCCATAGAATTTTTCTGCTGACATGGAATACGTTAGTTTGTCATGTGATGTCGTTCCCTGAAATATATTCTAGCAGACGACACTTTGAAGTACGATTACAGCTTGGGATTCAACACCGAATTTTGTCAAAATTATAAACCACAAATTGTTTTTAATGTCTGAGATGTTTCCTCAGATATTGTATGAAATGATTAAAATTGCGATTACAAATTGGGATTATAAAGGAAATTCAGTCGATAAAAAATTGTGTTATTTGGTAATAATTGAAATCTGCCATTTTGTATACGTTAAAATTAATAAATGAATTTGACGTGGCCTTGAAACGACAAGAAAAATTCTGCAGGTTGACATTGTAGAGATAACCCATGTTTATCAAAACATGCAAATGTGGAGGTCACTCAAGGTCGCACATGTAAATCATTCTCAGAGATGCACGAAAAATAGCTTAGCACAAAATAAGGTTACTTGACTGTATCAGTAGTAGGAAGTAGGTTACTATCACTATCAGTAGGGCCTACACTAGTAGCTGAGAACCATAAAGGTAGGCCTATTATTTTGAAGCTGATATTTCAATTGAAATAATTATTGACAGGTAAATATCATCTATAAGTATCATTATGGTACAGGTTCTTGTTCATTCAGCATATGGCTGGTCATTTTAGAGACTATATTTGGTTATTGGTGTTTTATTAGGAAATTATAATAAATAAACGAAAATTACTTTTGAAATACATATTTCAATGCAAAAGCAATATTATACACTAGTATAATTTACAGTTCGACATGTGTTTAACTTGATTTATTTCATTAAAAATAGGACACTATTCCCCTTTGATGATATGTTACTTGCTGATTCCTACCCAACTTCACAATTTCCATGCATTATGAACTTTACTTCACTTTGCTTGTATTAACAAAAGTTTGTAAATGCTGTGATTTGATTGGATTGTAGCTTAGCAAATACAGCCAATCAGTGCCCTCAACAAGACTATGTTATATACAGCTTACTTGATTACAGTATTTCTGTCAGGGATTTGACAATAAGATTCAGATTGCAGCACCAATTTATTGTCATCTTCAATATTTTAGTTTATTCAAACTATGGAGAGTAAGCTAAACAAACGGAAGTTTTGAATATGAGGTTTACTAGAATAACTGGAAACATTTTATATTTTCTTGATGGACGGAATGAATTATGTATTCAGACAAATTGCAAAATACAGGACATTTAATTGAATGATGAAGAAGATAAGAATTGAATATATATATATTTTAAATTTGGGTAGAATAGTGGTTATTATTTTATAAAATTCTACTATGAAAGATATGGTAGTTTAAACTGTTTTCACATGTTTCAATGTATCTTGTTGCCATTGATTTTCTCTGTATCTAAGCCAATAGCTTGATCATCAAACAAACTTGTTGACATTTTGTTTTAGCCCCTTTTAAGTCAACATATTGTTCTAACAATCTCACTACTTCTTTTAGCCTAATCAAATAATCAGCTTTTTACTGGACCTGTATTTTATTTACTAAAACTTTTCTACCTGTACTTATATCAAGCCAAGCTGAACTTAAAACAAGTGTTTTGACTTGTTCTGTGTATTCTTTGATTTAAACTAATCATATACTGGTACATGTACTCCTTGGTTAGTCCGTGTATGAACAGAACAGGTTGGTAGAGTGTTGAATTTTTTTCTTGGTACTTGACTTAAAATGTGCATGACACAAGACAGTCACAGAAGTATGTGTCTGGCATTGCAAATTGTGTAATTGACATAGATTAATAAATAGTTTTATTGTTGTCATGTTGTTTCTTCAATTATAATGGTAAGTAATTGTAGATAACAATTTAATTGATAAATTATATTGTATATAGTTGTAATGGTAGTTGCTATTTTACATCCTTGGCACTGGCAAAATCATGCAAAGGCATCAACTTGTGCTTTTAATGGGTATAATATATATATAATTATTATAATAATTGTGCTTGACAGTGTCCTTGACAGACAGCTTATTCATAGTCATACAAGTAGAAACAGTAGTCTGTGTATGCATATTCATGATTAACCTTATTGTCAATTATGAGAAAAACTTGATACGCTTATAGGAAAGTTATTTATAATGTAAGGTATTTAATCAAATCATCAAGCATAAACATTTACCAATGTATGTGTTATATAAATGTTTTATCTTATTTATATTGTGATTTATAAAAATGCACATGAAGCAAGAATTGTGTATAAAAGAATAGTAAGCTGGATGGTGTAAGTACAACACAGAAAACAAACAAATTATGCAGAGATTTTTTAATCAGATAATTCCTTCCAATGATAGTTTTATTATATCATACGATGAATTCTGACATTCAGTGTACATATCAGTGTACATGTTGGCTTATAATATTAAAGTTAAAGTTGTATTCATACTTTTCAAAAGTGAACAAAAGGTATATCATGCGATTGCACTATTCCAAAGACCCCCAAATTTAGATAGTTCATTAAAAATACACATCAGAATCAATTACTGAAATTGAAATTTCCTCAGCTCTTTCTATAATTATGTAGTTTTTGAACAAAAAGTATGTAAAAATAGCCTCAGTAGTAAGTGTAATCTTTCACTTCTACCCTGGTAGCTAGAAATTAATAGAAAGTCGAGATGATAACATGAGATAAAAACCCTGTAATAGCAGTAATCTGTTGGAAACATTACTAACAGATGTGTTTTTATCTCATACCAAACTTTTTCTTTCTCATTTTAAACTTTCTCAGTATTTCCAAATGATTGGATTTTGTGCTCTTAGACAAAGATTGAGGCAATAAAACAGATCATCTGTCAACTTAAATGTTAAAAGTCTGCATATGTAATTTAATGGTAGAGTTTGCTAAATGTTCATACCTGAGTTAAATGCAGGTGTGTAAATGTTAAATTAGGTGATATGTAAATCATAATATTGATGTATAGTGTATCAAAAGTTTAATACTTGATATTAGAGGTAACTTTTACTGGCATACATAAATATGAAATAAATTATAGAAATATTTATTGTTACATTTTCACAAGTGAATAAAGGCTTTCATCATTATGTAAGGAGGTAAGGTTTTTTGTATTTATATGAAGTGACTTTATTTACACGAATACCAGTAATAACTGTTACAAATTACTATAGACTTTGAAAGGGTATATTAGCTTGATTGTTTGTGATCAGGGGGATAAGGAACAATCAAATTTAAGAATGGACTCACATGCTGAAAAATACTGTAGGCTAGTATTATTAAAGAAGAACTACATTGTTACAAAAATCATAGAGTTTTCCCTTAAATATTTCTAAGAAGATAAAATGACATTAATTGCGTTAAATTGTCATTTACAGGCTTTAAAATATATGAGATAGTGAGTCATAATTCTCTTAATGGCTAAAGAATTCTAAAGATACCTTGGAAGCTAATATCTTTTTGAAATCAATAGTACAGACATCTAAAAAATTAAGTATAAAATCAGCTGTTAAGGACATTGATGTGTTAGGACATTTTAACCATGTCAACATTACTCAGGTATAACAGTTGACAGTTCACTCCTTAATGATAATTGATTTAATCCCTGACTTTTTTTGAGTTCCCCTTCATATTATCTCAGACCAGATCAAGTTTTATGTTGAATAGGGAGTTATGGTTGATTGACATCATGTCTATATAATAAGTAGATATAAAGTTCAAGATCTAATTGATGTTAATCATATTGACAAGTTGAGTAAAATACATCTTGTGATATATTTATATAGACTATGATAGTTTATATATTTGAAGATCATTCTGTCTTGTCCATGTCAGTTTCAAGTACTATATTGCATTGTTTCTTTGTTTGACTTTTCTGTAAGGCATTTTTAAGTTGAAATATTTTAAACTTGTCACTAACATTTCTAAACATAGATTGATGGTGTTTTGAGGTGAAAGAGGTCACCAGTCTGTGGCAATGATGGCTTTTTGACTATTTGATTTTTCCTCTTTTTTTTTTTTTTTTTTTTTTGCTTAATAGTAGTTTATTTTATACAAGATCTTTTTCAACTCATCTTAACAGTTAATGTTTTGTATTTTCCAGGGTGTTAGTTTAACCCAATGTAAGATGGGAGGATGTTATTCTGCCAATAGTGCAGAGGCATTTAAAAACAGCAAATTACCACGAGACAGACCGTTCAGAAAGTCTGGAAGTAAAAAAAATGGTAAAGTTGAAAAAGAATCATATGCGTATGGAGATAAAACAGCTAGTGAAGATGACAAGTTAATATCAGCTACTGAACTAGATACAGAAGAAAAGAAGGAAGTGGTACCCTCTGACAGTGGTATTGAAAGTCTTGCTCCCAACTCTGTTAAAGATGATAGTGAACTAACCCCTTGTCATACAGAACCTGTGATTACAGAAAATAAATCATGTGAAAATGATTGGTATAATACACCATCAGATAATGACATAGAAAAACCTCCTTGTGAAATAATAGATGAAAACAATCCAGAATCTATCCAAACCTACTGTTCTTGTGGTCCTAGGCAAGCTGGAAATACCTCAAGACACAGCAGTAAGTGTCCAACTCATATGAGTAGTCCAAAGTCTAACCGAAATTCTGATATCACAGGTTTGAAATCAAGTTTTAAAGATTTTATGCGTAAAACTGAAAAAAAAGTTAGACTTTCTTGGAAGTCTTCAGACAGTTTAGATATAAATAAACAAATGAGTAATCATTTAGATCGAGCCAAAAGTGAACAATCAGAAATATTTCAAGATGACATTAGCTTTTGTGCTCCATTGGCTCAATTTGATTCAGTGGGGGGTAATTTAGATCGTCCTAATTCTAGAAATCGAATGAGTACTGTTAGCACTGCTAGTGAAATAGAAGCAGTAGCTAGAGATATTTGTAATTGTGAATTTTATGCAAATAATCTGGTGAGTGAATTGGATGTGTTAGTGCCAGAGAGAGATGAAACTTGTCCTCTCCAATCACCAGATACTATAACTAGTAAACCAAATAGTTCTAATAAAAATTCAGATACAGAGAGTGTATATGATAATGATCCTAAATCTGAACAGCAAGATATAAATACTAATGATAGTAAAGAGACTAAGGAATGTGAACCATATACAGCTCTACCAAAAAGACTGCATGAAAGCCATATTGTTAAACAAATATCGTTAGCTTCTTTATCTAGTATCAGGTTAGTTTACAATACCACACTAGTTGAGATAAACGCATTACCAAATATTGTTGTGACATCTATTCTAAAATGTGTTGGAAGATTGTTGATGTAAAACTCTATTTTGATTTATTTTTTAGTTTTGTAGTGTGACAATGTATGTATTTCATGCAAAATATCATATTTTTTTTTGTAGACCCTCATTATCATCATTAGGTGATGTTACCATGACAACATATGAAGGGCGTGATATGGTTATGATAGATGTTGAAACTTACACTCAAATACTAGAAGAACTTCAATTGTTAAAAACTAAATTGAGTCAATTAACTACAATAATACAGGTAAATTTATTACAAAATCACAGGCATCTAACAAGTTATCGCTTCTCACTCTTTTTATTAAGTAAATGATTCAACTAATCAGATGAATTATTACACAGTGATTCTGTAGAGTCTGCCAATTTCTATAAATCATGTAGGTCATAGTGAATGACTGAACATGTAGAACATAGAAATAGAGGTTTACTAATAAAGACTAGGTATAACCCCATTTTTAGGCTATACAAGCATAAACATTAAGGCTGTCAATTTTTTAAGAAGGTATATTATGATATTTGATAAAGGCTCAGGGAAATTGATTTTATTTTTTTTCAGGAAGATCCTGTTTTAGACCAGGCCTTCCAGATGATGGATGCTTGTCAATTAAATTTTGAAGATAGTCTACTAGATAATGAAGATTCTGAGGTACATTTAATTTCCCTCAGGCTCATTGGCCAGTCAGTTACAGAGATATTGTCCTCAGAACTTTCATTTGGCTTTCCCTATTTTTACTTGAATATTATTAACAAAACAGGCACTTATTAGTTATTGCTTCAACATGTCCAGCGATTTGAGTAAATATTTGAAGAATGAATATATTCTCATCACTGTGTTTATTTTTTATATTTCAGACTGAGTAACCTATCAGAAACAGAATGGGATTATTGAAAATATTGTGCTATAAGTAAAATATCAACAAAATTACATTCCTAAAATGGGTCTTTATTTTATGAAAAAAATTATTCATGAATACTCATTTGGACCACCTGAGTTTTTTTATTGTTTTTATTTTATTTGTTTTAAGATCTCTGACATTTACATGTTATTATTTTTATTCTAATGATGTGAACCATTTCATCATTTTCCCCCTTGCTTATATTTTTTGAGCCACATTGAAATGAAAAGTGATTAAAAAAATATATTTCTATGACTGATTAAAAATTGGAAACCGGACTGAAAAGATCAGTTTCTTTTTGCTTTACTTGATCTTATTCAGGATATTTGTAATTTAGTTAAGTTAAAGAGTTCACCTATGGGTATCATGATTATTATTCATCATTTATTAAAGCATTAAAACTTTATATTTCTATTCTCTACATACTTGATTATATTCAAAAAAGCAATTGTGAAAATTAATCATTTAATTTAGTGTATAGTATTTATTCATCAAATTATCAATTAACAAAGGTATGATAGATAAGTTTCGTTGTTTTAACACACCATCAAAATCATACATATTATTATTATTAAACTATTTTCATACTATCTATTTATTGTTCGTATATCTTTCATATTCCATCCATGATCAATTATTTTTATACTTCATTTTATGATTAAAGGGAACATTTTATTTATAAGCGTTAATTAACTAATTGGTATATAGCATTGACTGTATTTCCAATCAGAATTGTGTCAACTATTTGTAGTCTTGTTATATATGAATATTACCTGCTCTATTTGATAAATATATTAATTGCTATAAATATACATCTAGTCATGCATGTAGTCTTTCTGAATAATAAATATGTTTAAATAGAATGATTATAGTAAATACATATAGATATATTACCAAGTTAATGTTTCTCATAGTAAGTACTGTATTTAACAACCCTCAGATGCCACTTAACTCTCTATAACATATCATTATTTCATTTACTCAAAACAAATTTCATTTTCATCCACAATTAGTATCCTTTTCGGTTATAGACTTTTCCTTGATTCAAAATTAACCAACTGGATACGATATAACCTTGCAACGTAAAGAATATGGCGTTGTTCTGTGAATATATCACAGAAATTGTAAATAAAATCATCTCATGAATGTCAAACATGGGTAGTACAATGAAATTTTGTATTTAATGAGACTTCACTTGGCATCTGAGATTGATAATTTTCTTGAGTTTGAAGAAATTGAGAATTGTACTGTCAATTTTTTTCCTTTCGGCAAATTTAAGATTCAAGCAATAATTGATACTGATTTCATGATCCTTAAAACAATAGTATTTTATAATATAATTGAAAAATTTGTGAATTTGGTTGTTTTTAATAATTTTTAGTGTGTGTTTATTTCATTCTATTGTGTTTTTCTTTTCTGTTATTACTCTGTTAAATACAGTCATGTTGGTTTTTAATTGATTCTTATTTGATTTAGCTGCAGCAAGCTTATTTTGATGCTATATTTTGTTTTTTTTAGACCAATTGCTACTTGCACTTTTGCTTTACCAATCACATATTTTTCTTTATCTTACATTGATACTGGGTTATATAAATGGGTATTAAGTTTGTGATTATTAAAATCCATTTTATATTTTATCTGTCAAGAAATAAATTTATTATATTGTATTAAATGTGTGGTACATTATATTCTAATATAGACATAATCAGTTTATCATGGGATAATGCAAGTCATGGTGTACTCGACTTGAAAAAGCATTTCTTCTGGTACAAAAAGTCAAGACTGTGAAATATGTTTCTCGTAGTTCATTTGTTAATGTACATTAGGAAAGAGTGGTGAAATATTTGTCTTCAATTACTATATGTTGTGTTCACCTGTATTTGATGGAAAGGTACCGAAAAATGTGAAGTATAATCCTTAACTTATGCCCCAGCAAACATCACAACTTCGCTCAATCTCGGCACATCGGCCGATGTCAGCTATAAATAGGCTTATTGATATCGGCTCAGAAGCTGTCGGGCCTATTTTAAATACAGACTATCTATATAACGATGCCAAGCCGAAAGTTCACGACCGACGTCCGATGTGCACATTTCTATCATAACTGACGTGATACAGATATCGGGAAGATATCGGCATTTGATAGTGGATAAATAGGCGAATTGATGATATAGGGCCTATGTCGGGTCTATTTTAGATATCGATGATCTACCTAACGATGCCAAGCCGAAATCTTGCCGACAGCGGATCCTTGTTAGTTCACGACCGACATCCGATGTGCACATTTCTATCATAACTGACGTGATACTGATATCGGGAAGATATCGTCATTTGAAAGTGGATACATAGGTGATTTGATGATATAGGGCCTATGTATCGACGATATATCTAACGATGTCAAGTCGACATCGGGTCATTGTTAGTTCACGACCGACATCTGATGTGCACATTTATATCATTAATGATTGGTAAGATATCGGCATGAGGTAGTAAACAGATGACCGATTTGTTGATATAGGGCCTATGTCGGGCCTATCTCAGAGATCGACAAGATGACAATCTACCTCACGATGTCAAGCCGAAATCTTGCCGACATCAGGTCATTGTTAGTTCACGACCAACATCCGATGTGCACATTTCTATCATAACTGACGTGATACTGATATCTGTCATTGAAAGTCTGTCACTGAATAAACAGTGAAGTTGATCTGAAGAATTCAAAGATTATAACTCAAAAACATTACTCCACTTTCCATCAACCAGTAATTTACAAGCAAAGGCATATTAATCACTGAGGGTAGCATTTTTGTGCAACCCCAAACTTCAGAAGTCAAATTTACATGATTGATCATTTAGAAAGTTAGCTTATGAAGCTTCATGTCAATTTAAAGTGTGACAAAAGTCCATTATAGACATAGTTTCGAACTATGATGTTTTGTCTTCTTCATTCTTGAGATAAATTAAATGGATTCTCTGTTACTTTTTACATAAAGTACTGCCCGTAAAAAAGGTTACTGGTAGACCTATATTAAAGAGTCGTCATTATTTCTTCATAAAAGGATAGGTAGAAAATCAGGCATAATCAAACTTCAAAAGAATAAAAGAGAAATGTCAAAAAATTTCAACAAAACAAATATTTGCAACAGAGATAACAGCTGATCTGTCAGACGTGGTACAGTTTATCCCACCTCTCCCCTATTCGGTTGATTCAAAATAGAAGGGAGATAACTGAGTATGTTGACAGCGGTAAGGTTACTTGTTCAAATTTTATTTTTTTTATCATCTAAGCATAAGGGAACCCAACAAATTTCCGTTTAAAGTTTTAGGTATGCTTTTCAACTTGTGTAAGTTAGTCACGATTTTTAATTAAATGATAACATGATACTCTTTGATAGAGTCAACAAATTCATATTTTGTAAAGAAACAGTTAGGGGAAAAAAAGGAAGTTACGTCCAATGTTTGTTTGATGTAATGACAAATGGTATTTTATGCTTAATGTTGCCTGCAATGAATTTATATCGAATATTATCCTAGGAATGATTTGAATACTTTTCCTATTGATAGAAGTAACAAAAATGGAGAAAATAGATGAAAATATAATAAAATTAATGCAAAATGAAAGTTTGCAAATTGAATCAGTGGATGTGATAGGTGATGGTGCAGGTAAGAATTTTACTCTGATCTGACATAATAATAATAATTCAAAGTCTAGCTTCCATATCAAATGGGTCTACATTAATGAAAGTGTGCATTGAATTTTAAGCATATGTCATGACTAGTACAGTCAAGTAACCTAATTTCATGGAAACCTATTTTTCGTGGATTTCCGGAAAGGATTAATAATTTACATGTGCGACCTCGCGTGAACCCCGCATTTGCTTGTTTTGATAAACATTGGTTTTCTGTACAATATCAGCTAGTAGAATGAATTCAGTAGTTTCAAGCAAGGTAAAATATATTAATGTATACTTTGACAAATACAAAATGGCAGATTTCACTTATTACCAAACGTCACAATTTTTTATCGGCTGAATTTCCTTAAAATCAGTAGCTGTAATCGGAATTCCAAGTGTCGTCTGCTAGAATGTAGTCCAACAAATGAAGTCACGTGATCAACTAGCGGATTCCGTGTCAGCAGAAAATTTCTATGGAACACAAAGTGGACCATATTCTTATGTTGTTTCAGTGACTTTTAGCAATAAATCACGCTACGTATCTTATTTGGTCAGTCACTATTTAATTTTAAAATTGTGGTTCTTTGAAGGAATTGTTACTAGTTATGATGAATTGATATTAAAGATAAATACTAAGTGAAGTTAATTAAACCACCCGGTATCCATACAACGTGTTTTTCTAGACTTATTTATAGATCAAACATTGTACACAAAAATAGGTGAGGCATTCTGCCGCCGTTACCGAGTTGGTTGCTCATGAAATATGGGTCAAAGTAAAGAAAATCGAAATAAACCAATTTTAATTATTTTGTAGAATATCTGAGGAAACATCTAAGACATAAAAAAAAAAATTTCTTTTTTTTAACTGTGACGAAATTCGTTGTTGAATCCTTATATCCACGAAAATAGGCTACACCACTGTATTTGATATTTGTTGGCCTTGCTTTTGGATGAAATTTGAAATAATTGAATCTAGAAATTCTCCATTTCGATACAAGGCCTACAGGTTTTGTGAAGTTACCAAGGCCATATTATATGTAGACATGCTACTGTAGCATATACCTACACATTGAATGATTCAAATTCTCCTCTTTTTTTTTTACTGGAATACCATCTATGATCCCAAGGTTATAGATGAAGTTTTAGCCTAATTGAAATTTACAAATATTTCAGGTGAATTTATACCAAGAACAAAGAAAAATATTGGGTATATAGTTGGTGGAATTGTATTTAATGAGAAAAATGAAATCTTAATGACCCAGGAATCTAAAAGATCATGTTATGAAAAATGGTATTTACCAATGGGTAGAATGGAACCTGGTGAAACTCTACAAGTAATTACTAGTCTATTAAATGTGTCATGAATTGATGGAACTATCTATTTGGTGAATTTCTTCTTAACAATTCTTAACAAAGTATCCAGAATTTTAAACTTTTGCACCTACAGGATAGATGCCTTGGCTTAATAAACTCCAACCAAAGAATATCAATCAGAAAGTTGTCGTCTGATTTATTGTATATGACTATTTTATTAATATTCATGTATTAAAGGAGGGTGCTATAAGAGAAGTGGAAGAAGAAACTGGTATAATATCAGAACCTGTAACATTATTAGTTATTGAATCTGGTGGTTCTTGTTGGTTTAGATTTTTATTTATTATGAAGCAAACAGGTAAATTATGATACAGAATATTTTGTATCCCGTCTGATAATGATGATTCAAGGTTCAAATATATCTGCAGTGGGAATCAACAAAAATATGTGAAAATTTTTCATCTTGCAACAAAATAAATATTGTTTAAATATTATGATGACAGGTGGTGCATTAAAAACAAAAGAAGATAAAGAATCAATTAAAGCTGAATGGTTTCCACCTGATAAGATATTGAATAAACAAGTGGCTATCAGGTAACTGAATATTTTGTTTTAAGATAAATTTCTTGACCATTTATTCCTCTTTCTTTCATAGCTTTAGAGCGTGTCAGGAAAAAAAACATCTTAGTCTACAGTCTATTCACGGAACTCTTTATTTGTTACGTTTGCATATTAATAACATTTTGGGGGGATTAGCCATGTAGTAAATGATACTTATACCTGGTTTCAGTGAATCATAAAAAAAGGAATAAAAAAGTTTTCTCGCTCACAGAAATGTCAAAAGTAGCAGTTCTGTTATAAAACAATTTTAGACCAATGCCATTGTTCTGGAAAACTTTCCCTCCTCGCACACTGAATGGTTTTGTGTTGCATTTCATTTTTAAAATGACACAGTTCTATTTGATTTTGAAGACTGTTGGTCTTGAAAGTAGAATTTTGTTGACAGATCAACAGATATATTTCCTGTTATTAAGAGAGGAGTTGATTTTATGAAAGACGAAGTCATAAACCAACCCAATATATTACCAGTTATAGTACCTCATATACAAATGATATATAGATTTCTTCTAATATCAAAAACACAAGATGGGCAAGTTTGTTTTATTATCATTATTTGTAACTAATCAGATAAAGCTTATCACTTTTGCTTCAAAATTAGTACATGTTAACTGTCAAAATTGAGATAAATATAAGATATATGAAACAGTATCTTTTTTATTTGTCTATGGATATATTTACTTTAAAAGAATTACTTGAACAGTAACAATTATATGACTAATTCTTGTATGTATTCCTAAACAATTAGATTTAATATTTTACTGTTTCATGATCAGGGATTATGGTGTACTAGTAAATATTAATAAAGATGTACATTTACCATGTTGTATGGTAGGACAAGCTGATATGTCAATCATGGTTTCATTATTTAAATTATTTAAGGTATTTTAAAACTTTCTCTTTTATTGGTCTGAATTAGTTCATGCTTATCTTGGTGGGGATGTATCATTTCTATGCACCCTCATTATTCATGTTAATCCAGCTGTTAATTATTCTTGATTTCAGCTTAGAAAACAGATTTGTCCACAGAAACTTTCCAAGCAACCATTGTTTTATTCTTTTAATACAATGAAGTTTCTTTAATAATATATCTTTAATTTTGATCTGAATGATGTAGATATGTCACCATTACCAATCATTTGTTGTGGTAGTGTATATTTTGTAATTTTGTGTTAAATGAGTCTGCATACATAATCTATTTTTATCTGCAGGAAGTGTTTGGTCGAGTAAAAGAAATTCCTAAAGTATGTGGTATCATTAACATAGAATATTGTGGGAAACCTGCTAATCAACATGATGGAATGTGTATAACATGTCTAATATCATTAAAAACATTACCTAAACTAGAGGGTAGTCAAAGACAGTTTTATGATTGGCATGTTATAACTCATACACAACTGATAGAAAAGTTGCATCTAATGTTACAATGTAAAGCTATTTTACCATTTACTGATGTACATGCTAAAGTAAGATGATAGGATAGCTAAAGTTAGATGATACGATAGTTATGATACAATACGATATGTATACTGTGATCTTTGTGTATGTTGAAAATGTCTCTGATGAATAATTTTCATTAAATCTGTCTATATATGTTTTGAATTGCTGACTTGAATCTAGACTGGAACATCTGTCTCTATTCCAGCTTCTGATAGGTATTTGGACAATGACACATTGCTGGCTGGTGTAGAGACAGAAAAAATAGGACCTTTTAAATGTAGACTTTTTGATCTCTGCAGGTGTGGGTGTTTTAAACTTATTTAGATACCTCAGATCTGCAAAAGACGATATTTTTTTGTTCAGTCATACCATCATTTTCTCCTTGCACCATTTATGTCACATCTCTGGATCCATCAAATTTTTTTTTAATGGAACTGATCTCATCTTCAAAAACTTCAAAAGTCACAGAGTCACATGATACTAACAAAACGAAAGTTACGGTGATGCCAAAAAAGGTAATTTAATATTATGTTAGTAAGAATGCATTTTCGAAGAGCTTTTAGAAGAAGACATTAAGTCTATATTCAAAGAAATACAAGATGTTTGCTGTAATATAAAATCTAGAAACTTCGAATATAAATTTTTAAATCGCATTATTTTTACAAACGATAAATTATGTAAGATAGGAAAAGAAAGTTCGACTCTCTGTGATTTATGTGGTTCATGTATCGAAAGTTTCATTTCCTGCAGCGAATCACAAAAGGTATGGGATATCAAGTGTTTTCGATAAAAATTGTATTAAACTAACAACATCCTTAAAAGTATTTGGTTTATATAAAAGTAGCTTAATTCCTAGGCCTTTATCCGATTTTATCAATCACTCATTAATTTTGACTAAATATTTCATTTATTCTACTAAACTACAAAAAATAAACATAAATACTAATAAATACAAAACATACTGAATATAGCACAAACGGAACTTAATACGTTTTCAGATATTGAAATATACAAAAATATGTGGTCATTTTTGTCTTTTTAAGTAATCTGTCCTCTTACACTGTGACAATGAAATATCTCTCTGCCACCAAGTTGAAGTATGTATACAATATGTTCAAAACTACTCTTCAAAGAGCTAAATATATGTATGAATAGATGTATAGAAATAATGTATTTGTGTTATGTCTATCAATTCTATTTAATGTAAATGATGCTTTAATGTGAATAAAACCGATGTATTAGACTAAAATAATAATTTCCCTTACAGGGAACATTTTACGATTTGGTGCATTATATCATCCAGGAAGTAAATAACAATATAACACAGTTTTGTAAGTAGAAAAGTTTAATCGGAGAATTCAAGAAATTATTTTTAAATAAAGGTGATTACAAGGCAGTTATTCTTTCATTGTTGTCACATAGGCACAGTGAAAATTGTTATAACAGAATACAAAATCACAAAGTCATTGTTTAGCACTAAAAACATGTTAACCGGTATAATATGATGGAATCATATCTCTTAATCATAGCATAAAGAATATGGATACAACTTTATTTTTAAAAAATCAATCAATGCTGCTCTTAATTATAACCTATGTATGTATATACCAGAACTGTAAAACACTTGCATAATTCCTCAACTGGGGATTTCATTTTTATTGTAATTTTATCTCTGGCTGAAAATTGTAGTGTCCAAAAATTGTTCATCTAGTTGACAAAGTCTATAATAGTTAATATAGTGTATAGATAATATTTGATTTACCTTCTAAATTAAGGGGGTTGTGACTATGGATAATTGTGGACACCTGGCTAAGAATGCAAAAATTTCGTTGGTATGTTCTTAACTCTACTACTGATTATATTAGCTTAACACGTCTTGTTCTGGTACAAACTGATATCTGAAAATGGTGAACCCTGGCCTTTTAATGTATACAAATAACAGTAAGATGATGTTTTATCAGAAGTATAAAGAAACTATCATTCTGTCAAACAATATACATTAAAGTTTATATCACAGCCTTATTAATAGCAACTTATCAAATTTTATTATTGTAAATGCATTTGATTTATACAAATAAACAGTTTCTTAAATATACAACATGATCAAACTTTAATTATAGATTTGTCCAAAAATAATATAAATTTCCTTAGAAATAACTGTAAATATATATAACAAACTTTTAATTTACAATAACATTATATATATAGCATGCATATTTTCGTGTTTATTTACATTATAAAATGCTTTCTATATTCTACAACAATAAAAACTAAAAACTTTCTGTGTCTGGGGGTACAAGAGAAATATATTCCAGAACTTATATACTTTAAAATATGAATAAAATTCAATATTAAAAGAAAATTACACCTTGAAAATATTTTCACAATCCAAAATTGTAACACAGGCCATGTGTTGTCTTGAATCAGTAAATACTCAAAAAGTCATAATGAGGTACTGTGTAAAAGAGACAAAACAATCCAAAAGACACTAAGTTAAAAACAAACAAGCATATTTCATTATTAAATCCATTATTAGTATCATGTATAAACTATGAAGCGGGTCAATGATATAATGGTCAAAATACCTGTTTCCTACTCTGTTACTGTAAATACTTTTAAAGCAAGTAGACTAGAGAACACTAGGAAATAATTTCTACTACTTGTATAAGACTACCAAAATCAAACACAACAAATATTGAACTATTTTGGATCTAAAAAAAACTTTAGACATTTTACACTTGCCATTTTTACAAGCATATAAAAAAGCCACATGCCATTTTATAACTTGCCATTTCCAAGCATTGAGACTCATTGTACACTAACAATGATTAATCATTACAAATTCTCAACTTAATCTTTGGTGTTAAACTAAGTAAAACAAATATAATCATTACGAAATCCATAAAAAACCATTGTATTTGAAATAGGAACTGTAAGTGACAGCAGTAAACATATTTTGAATACATAGGAAAAGAATTAATGGGACTCTGGAATTGTGATGTCACTATTTCAGTGAAATCTTCCATGATGATTTTGGGGATTAGTAAACTACAACCCCTTCTGCAAAAATTACAATATTATTTCTTTAATTTTCAGTTCAGATAAATGAGAAGCAAGTCAAACTACTAAAAGCTAAATGCACTAAGGGAAAAATATTTACAAACATATTTTCAAACAGAAAAATTTGTAATATAATATTTATATATCCCTGATAGGTCAGTTTATATTTTGTGTGAATGTACAAATGAAGGTATTTAGTTTAAATTTTCAAACACGAGATTTATTAAATAATTGCTATCTTCTTTTTGATCGTGTGTTTCTCTTGGATAGGATTAATCTCCACAATCTACATAAAACACCACCTCTGTAATACAATTAAATATTTACATTAGCTACCTATAATCAATTATATTATAAGTCAGTCTCCATTATAATTTAAAAAGATTTATACCAAGGTCATATACTGTTGACATTCATTTCAATCAATTACAACGTGTCATGCAGAATCTGTGTCTAATTATAGACTATGTATATGAATTGTGGGATAGCAAAACCCGAATTAGAGCGATATGACTTCCAAAATTATGAGTCTGCTGATATTCGCTTGTAATAGCGATTCTGATTGGGGAGTGACACATGATTGTATGCTATAAATAGCTTGTAGAGTCACTGACACAATCTTGGTATAAAGTTTGTTAGATAACAATGGTAGCCGAAACGAAATTGTATTTTTATTTTAATAATATTGGTATTAGGTGAATGGGATATCAAATTGAATATGCTTAGGCTAATGACCTATACACTCATTTCATTTATTATGAAAAAACAATCATCTTGAAATGAAACTTTGATGTTATAATAAGTTTAGTTAGCATGAGAATAAAGACAGTTACCTTAAGTTTAAAGAAAAAATTTACCTTAATTGGAGACGTTGTAAATCTTCGTAAGTGACCAGTTCAAATAAATCTTGTAATGTATATTCTTCTTCACATATGCGACATATAATCTCAGGATAAAAATTATTATCTTCTAACCATTTTACTACATCTGAATCTGCATTTATTTGAATATTTGGAACTTTTCGTTTTAATACTGCAAAAGTACATGATTAATTACAGGTTAGTCACTTTGTTTTGTTTCAGATCAGTATTTAGAGTAGTTTTCAGAAGACAGACATGTTTACATCTAATGAAAATAATAAAATATCTATATATATCTATTATATTGAATATATACTTACCTACAGATGATGATGAAGATGAAGAAGCACCATCTGTTCTTTGTATAGATCTGGTGAAAAAATGAATAATCAAATACAAGATTTTATCTGGATAACTGAGTGGTTACACAAGTATATTTTATTATCTATTATTAAAGGTTACTTACTGCAGTTGGCTTATATGTAATTTCTTATCCTGAACAGATTGCTGTAGTAAAGATTTATAAGCTTTCTGGGCTTCAATAAATTCTTCCATTAATCTGAAATATTAAATCATGTAAATAAAAGCTAGAATGGCAATATATTTTGTGATAAAATCAGATAGACATTAGAGGAATCTTTAATATATCAAAATGGACTGTTCATAACTTACTTTATATTATCATTCTGTAAAGAGTCTAGTTGGCGTTGTAATTCTTGAATAGCACTAGATTTGAATGGTGCAACTTTATTAGAATTAGCTGATGAGACACCAGATGTTGATACTTCTTCATCTTGTTCTCGACCAGCCAAGTTAGCTCCTAATTCTAAAAATATTATGAACAAACTAAATTAGCTCCTTATTCTATAAATATAATGAACAAACTTCATTAGTTGCCAATTTTCATGAACAAGCCAATGCCAATTCTATAAATTTTATTAACAACAAACTATTGCTGCTAATTCTACTAATTTACTAAGAGAGCTAAATTAGCTTACAAATTTACAAATATCATGAACAAACTAAATTTGGTTTAAATTCTAAAAATTTAATCAAAGAGCTGAACTAGCTCCAAATTCTACATATCAATGAGTAAAATACATTGACTTCCAATACTCCAGTATATAAAACACCCCTAATATATCAAATAATCTAAATTAACTTCTTATTGTATAAATAAAATAGATAAGCTAGTAAGTTAGCTCAAAATTATTCAATTATATAAAACTTCATTAGTTCCTGTATAAAACTGGTTAAATAAGCTCCCAATTAATAAGTTGTAATATAACAATAGAAATAAGAAACAAAATAATACTGATGTTAATTGTTCCGACCTGGTGATATTATGTATATTGCTGCAGTAACAGCATTGCGTAACAAATTATCTACTGCAAACATCCAATGGGGTTGTATACTATGTGTTTTTAAGCTACTTCCAACCTACAAACAATCAAAATACATTTAGCAGTCACTGGTTTTAATTCAAATAGATTTAGCAGTCAATGGTTTTAATTCAAATAGATTTAACAGTCACTGGTTTTAATTCTAATAGATTTAACAGTCACTGGTTTTAATTCTAATAGATTTAACAGTCACTGGTTTTAATTCTAATAGATTTAGCAGTCACTAGTTTTAATTCTAATAGATTTAACAGTCACTGGTTTTAATTCTAATAGATTTAACAGTCACTGGTTTTAATTCTAATAGATTTAGCAGTCACTGGTTTTAATTCTAATAGATTTAGCAGTCACTGGCTCTAATTCAAATCGATTTAGCAGTCACTGGCTCTAATTCAAATAGATTAAGCAGCCATTGGCTGGAATTCAAATAGATTAAGCAGTCACTGGCTCTAATTCAAATAGATTAAGCAGCCATTGGCTTGAATTCAAATAGATTAAGCAGTCACTGGCTCTAATTCAAATAGATTTAGCAGCCACTGGCTTTAATTCAAATAGATTTAGCAGTCACTGATTTTAATTCTAATAGATTTAGCAGTCACTGGTTTTAATTCAAATCGATTTAGCAGTCACTGGTTTTAATTCAAATCGATTCAACAGTCACTGGCTTTAATTCAAATCGATTTAGCAGTCACTGGCTTTAATTCAAACAGATTTAGTAGTCACTGGTTTTAATTGTAATATATTAGGCAGTCACTAGTTTTAATCCTAATAGATTTAACAGTCACTGGCTTTAATTCTAATAGATTTAGCAGTCACTAGTTTTAATTCTAATAGATTTAGCAGTCACTAATTTTAATTCTAATAGATTTAGCAGTCACTGGTTTTAATCTTAATAGATTTAGCAGTCACTGGCTTTAATTTAAATCGATTTAACAGTCATTAGCTTTAATTCAAATAGATTTAGCAGCCATTGGCTTTAGTTCAAATAGATTTATCAGCCATTGGCTTTAATTCAAATAGATTTAGCAGCCACTGGCTTTAATTCAAATAGATTTAGCAGTCACTGATTTTAATTCTAATAGATTTAGCAGTCTCTGGTTTTGATTCAAATCGATTTAGCAGTCACTGGTTTTAATTCAAATCGATTCAACAGTCACTGGCTTTAATTCAAACAGATTTAGTAGTCACTGGTTTTAATTCTAATAGATTAGGCAGTCACTAATTTTAATCCTAATAGATTTAACAGTCACTGGTTTTGATTCTAAGATTTAGCAGTCACTGGCTTTAATTCAAATATATTTAGCAGTCACTGACTTTAATTCAAATATATTTAGCAGTCACTGGCTTTAATTCAAACAGATTTAGCAGTAACTGGTTTTAATTCAAATCGATTTAGCGGTCACTAGTTTTAATTCTAATAGATTTAGCAGTCACTAGTTTTAATCAAAATAGATTTAGCAGTCACTGGTTTTAATTCTAATAGATTTAGCAGTCACTAGTTTTAATTAAAATAGATTTAGCAGCCACTGGTTTTAATTCTAATAGATTAAGCAGTCACTGGTTTTAATTCTAATAGATTTAGCAGTCACTGGTTTCAATTCTAATAGATTTAGCAGTCACTGGTTTTAATTCTAATAGATTTAGCAGTCACTGGTTTTAATTCTAATAGATTTAGCAGTCACTGGTTTTAATTCTAATAGATTTAACAGTCACTGGTTTTAATTCTACTAGATTTAGCGGTCACTAGTTTTAATCCTAATAGATTTAGCAGTCACTAGTTTTAATTAAAATAGATTTAGCAGTCACTGGTTTTAATTCTAATAGATTTAACAGTCACTGGTTTTAATTCTAATAGATTTAGCAATCACTGGTTTTAATTCTAATAGATTTAACAGTCACTGGTTTTAATTCTAATAGATTTAACAGTCACTGGTTTTAATTCTAATAGATTTAGCAATCACTAGTTTTAATTCTAATAGATTTAACAGTCACTGGTTTTAATTCTAATAGATTTAACAGTCACTGGTTTTAATTCTAATAGATTTAGCAGTTGGTGATACAAATCTTACTGGGATAGAGAGTTTTGTCATTATTTTATACTCCTGAGAGTAGATGATTATAATTACACTTTAAAATACAAATTTTATTTTTTACACTTACAGCTCCTTGAAACAAGTAGAGTGCAAGCTGAATCTCCATTAAAGCTGTAACATCAAACTCTACACCATCTCGTAATTTATCTGTAATAATAATAATTTAATCTCAAGCCTTTAGTATACATTCAATATCCAAGTACATAACAAAATAATAATATGCTTATATCTTTAGATGTATTTGTTGGCGATTTGATTTGGTTAAGATTTGTTTTTACAATTTGGTATTTTTGTATACTGGGCCAATTCTCTCGAAAGCACGAGTTAGTGCGAAGTCGATTATTTTAGCAGTGGTCTACAAACTTTGATATTTGAGATTAGGATGATTAGCCTAATTAGTTCAAGGAAACTTTCTCACAAATGTACCAATTTGTCTGAACTTCCTGGCTCCCAAATGCACAAAAAATCTAATCTATCATTTCGAATCAGCCTGCCTGTTTTTATGATTAATGGTTTAAAAGTTGTATAATGTAAGAAAACAGAAATGGTTTAAGCAACTGGCTACCCATGTTGACATTTATTTTTAAAAAATTTGACTTACCTATTGCTTCACCTATACTACTACTATTGGGATCTTTAACATGACCCATCAGACCTATCAACAATATCTTTAAATGTTCCTGAAATACAGTTTTTAACCTAACCATTAGCTTAGAGGTAACTAACAACAATCTATCTTTAGAAAAAAACAGCATCTCCAAAAGGAGATATATTCACCCAGAAGCAAATTTCATGGCATGAGATTTACTCAAGATTATGACAAGAAAGACTGTTTGTGAGCCTGCAGCATATCTACAAGTACAACGCAACCACAAAATTTTCATTTACAAATCTAATCTGATATACAATACCAGGCTCATCAACATGTTGAATTTTGGATAACTAAGCCAATTAACCAAAAACCCAAGTTGGACAACTGAACTGCATTTTCTACTGCCTTAGTTCTACGATAAATAAATATTAAAAAAAAGATAGTGGACCACAGCGATATACGCCCACCACGGCATGCAGATGGTAAGTATTCAAGATTTTGGGGCAAGGGCAATAACTCTGCTTCTAACGGTAGAAAATAGCTCAAATTTGATCTTCATTTTAAAAATATGTATACCCCTACCGAATTTTAATCTAGTTTTTAGAGCGTCTACAAGCAAATGTTGACGGACCGACAGACCTTCGTTTCACGAATAAGTATATTTTCATTAGATTCCTTCAAACACTCTAGTTTTTAGAGTGTTTACAAGCAATTGATGTTGATAGAAGCACTTACTGTATAGAGGTTAAAGGGCGATAACTCCTCAAAACTGACATAAGAGGCCTAAATCTTAAAAAAGTCTTAAATTTAATCAGAAGTAAACTAAACTTTCTCAAACCTTTTGATTTAGGTCCAATAACATTTTAAGTTTCATCAAAATTGGTTGAAAAGTAAGAGATTAATAGCATATTTAAGATTTTGAGGCAAGGGCAATAACTCTGCTTCTAACAGTCGAAATTAGCTCAAATTCGAACTTGATCTTCGTTTTATGAATATGTATATACATACTGACTTTCATTTGATTCCATCAAAAAATCTAGTTCTAAGGGCGTTTACAAGCAAATGTTGACGGACCGACGGACGGACAGGGGTGCCAACAATATACGTCAACATAGAGAGATGTGGGCGTCTAAAAACAAAGATACAAACCGAAGTTAATTTAGGGTGTGATATTGTAGCTTCTTTATGCAATGATTCCAACCATGCATCACATATCTACAAAGAAGTAAAGTAAGCAAAATAATAGCTTAACATAACATGTACTGGTACATTAATTTGAGAATTTCTTGTGATTGTTGTCATATACATATACTGTAAAGTTGAGCAAAGATAACTATATGTATATACAATAATAATACAATACCTTATCTCTATCCTGTGCCATTATTTGTACCAGAGTATTACGCCTCTCTGAATCTTTTCGTAATAAATAGAAACCATCTTTAGAACCACCTGTATCAGGAGTAGATTCTATATCAGGAGATAGTATATTAGTTCCACCACTGGCATTGGATAAAGCTGAATCAGTACTAAAATATACAAAGTTACAAACAGAAATGAATTTAATTAAATTTGAAGAGAAATACTCGGAAGAGACACTACATAACTTACATAAGTGAGTTTAAACTATCTGTAAAATAATGAACTTTTGTTTTAAACCTAATTAAGATATTGGTATAATATGAGAAAACTTAAGATACAGTTTGTAACAGAGTGATCAAACTAACATTATATAATAAACATAGATATAAAATCAAATTTACTTTAATTAGCCTTTTCAACTACTTGCATATCTTTAAAACTTTCTAGATTTTTTGGTTTAAGTTTAGTTTTGTCCTGTTTTTGGGTCCAAATAAACCAAGCAACATCTTACTTTCCCATCACTACCCAGTATTCAATTATAATGATCTATCAATAGACCTCCATTTACATTTATTACAAATCATTTTTAATATCCATTTTAAATATACATCCTGTTATAGCTAAAGTTGCAGTAAGGGTGAGTTATATATCTTTTATGTATAAATATATATATTGCAATGAAATACAGTTATTTACATATATATTTGACAAAATACCAAAGAATTTTCTTCACTTGTGCTGTCTTTTTTTTCATTCAAATACTATTTCACTGTAAATTAAATATCCAAATATCAAACATTTGAAAAAGTGTACAAGAAACTCTCATTATGAGTAAAATAAGGGCTGTTATTTAAGGTTATGGAGAACTGCAATATTTCATTCATTTTTTGTTACAGCAGCAGTGGGTGCAACACAACTATTCATCATCAATTTTAAACTGTCTACAGATCACTGCCATGATTTTGTGACTCAATTTACTTTACATCTTTGCCATTTTTATGTTTTGTTTCTAAACTTCAATGTAAAATCAAAAGTTACTTATTTATGCCTAGATTACAAGTATAACAACATTAAAATATTTAATCCAAAATAAAGGAAATGTCCAGATAAATTGGTAGGGAATTAATTGCATAGAGCATAAATATAGTAGTAGGGTAAGGAATATGAAATTGTGCTTAAATATTGACCTGAAGAATGATCCAAAACTGAAAATGCAAAATGTCAAAGTTCACAAAGTTTAGAAAAACCATGAAAGCCATTATATAATCATTCTAACATTGCATTTCGTTCTTATTCTGTTGGTTGTCTCATGAAATCCAGATCCAATTTATATTTTTTATAAGAAAAAGTGTGTTCATCAAAAATCACTAGTCAAATAATTTGTTCTGCTAACAACACTCATTACTGAATTTGATTTCATCCTTTACAGGTTTATACTAATTTGCAGGGCAGTTGATTTTACATTTTTCAACTTGATATCTGTTCTTAATTTTCCCTTAAATTTATAGTTCATCTTTTATTATATAGAGGTATAGATATGGGAGATGATCCTTGGCAAAAGAGGAATCAACTGTGTCATTTTTGTCTAAGTCTATCACACATTAACTTATATCATAGTACAATGGCTTATTTCACAATTTTGGGTTACTTTCAGAGAGTTTTAGACAGATAAAGGTGTTTTACGTCCTACTTTTGTGGACCTGATAGGGCAATGAAGACAGACAAGTATGTATTCATGTGCATTTAGCCTACTCCTTTTGATTTCCATCTGTCGATGGATCTGTAACATGAACAGTCATGAAGCCTTAGTTTATTGTCCCATCTTTTTAAACTTTGCGCATGTCAGCTCTTCCATTCTGCTTACAGGAAAAACCAGGCAGAAATCTCAACCTATGCCAGGATCGAACCTTGGACCTTTGGCATCCAACTCACTTAGCTATCCAATAATTAGACAATAAGATATGTGTATTATGAAATTAAAAAATGTTAATATTTGGAAAGAAAAATTTCTGTCCAGGTTTCAAATGACTGAATGTCTACAACTGTTTTTTAATATATCTACATATGAAGATTCCCTACTTTTTAACTCCTTACTTCTAACACATTGGGATTTACTGATAACTACTATTTCATATCAAAAATAATATCACAGCGTTATCCCACTGAATCATGCTATTATAAGATTATGTTTTAAATAAGAAATATCTCTAAAGTCTGAAGATCAATACAATAAAAAATCACCAGCATGCAACATAATTAACAAGAATTGGGCCTTCTAGAGTGTTGACACGCTAAAACTTGAACCCGTTTTTAACAACAAGGGTAATAAATCATCATCGATTTTTCAGAGTGAACTCTCCATTTAACCGGTTTAAAGGTAATTTTGGATTTCTCAACTATCAGAAGAAATTTTTTTTTATTATTCTCTAATTGTATTCTCTTGCAGACAGAAGTAATGTTTGAAAGTATGATAACATACCTTGGTGTTCGACTATAATGAGGATCAGTTGTATGGTATAATCTACAGGAAATAAAATACACAATGAAATTGTTTTTAAATGGCAGAGTATTATATACCCATAAACAATCAATACATGTCATACACTGTGTAATAATGTGTTTATAAATGTGCCATTCATAGAATATAAGAAGATCGAACTATATATATATATTCAAGCAGAAAAGAAATAGATCTGAATAATACCAATGTTAGTCAGGTAAGAGAGAATAAACCAAAATAAAGAAACTCAAGAACCATGTGAACAGGTCATAGGTTATATTCATATACATGTAAATATGTACCAGTATGTAGATTATAAATTTGTAATAAATATTGTTATCACAACACATTAAATAACACTTGTACTAAATGTCTCAATAATATATTTATATAATGATTTTTCAGAATCTATTTAGAAATAGTTAATAATAAAAGTGTGCATTAAACTTCACCTACAAGATTGACAAATATGGTATTTCCTAAGATTACATTTAAATTTTTTGATAAAAATGCAGCACAATACATCAATACAAATCACATTATGCACAAAACAGATATTTCACACAGTTTACAGCAGTATCGTATAGGCTTACTGTTAATCTTGGAAGAATCATTTAAACAAAAAAGTAGTTTAATAAATACTCCAATATTGGTAATAAACGATCATCTAATCTAACCTGAACCTACATGTAATATGCTTCAATTCACACAAAAAGAGATCATTTTATGCTGCTGCCACTTATGACTTTAAACCTTAAAGATCAGTTTCACCGTTATCTTTTTCCCACAGAATTCACAGTATTTCCATTTTGTAGGATTTTTTCATCGGGTTAATAAAGACCTTAACTTTGTGGTGAAATGTATATTTGTAGGTTATCCTAACTTTGTAATGAAATTGAAAACTATATTAGACAGATATTCATATGTCTTTATAATATCAAATCTACATATCACTGTGAATCACTGCTAAAAGAATTAACTTTAATTTTTTTTTTTTTTTTCATCCAAATAATTTCTACTGATAAGAGACTTATTACAGTTTTATATCTTTATTTTATTAAATATCTATAAACTTTTGAGACAAAACCCTAATGACTGCCAATGTTTTGACGTAAACAAACCAAAAAAAATGGAAGGTTCAACCACCAAAACTGACTGACCGCCCTTATGTCCTGATAACAAACTAAATTTATAAATTTCTGTAATAACATTAGTACATAATTAAATTTATAACCTATATTTAATGTAGGTTTCCTTTCAAATGCTGGCATTAGTCCTATTTCCCCTTAAAAAATTAACTAAATTGTCTATTTGATCACATAACACTGTACAGTGTACATCCATAAAAGTAAAACTATCGTTACTGTATGAAAGCATGGAATATCCAGACACCAAAATTTCCTTTGTATACCAAAAAAATACCTTGTGGTGACTATTTTCAACTCATAGCTTATAACTCAATTATATAAATCTTCCAACAATAAGAAACAGGGTCCAAGCAAAATCTTTAAACAACTATTAACTAATAATCATTGAGATAACCTCAGTAATAAAGACAAAAAAAACACTTTAAGGATAAAAATCAAACTTAAGTCTGACTTGTTATTGATATATAGAAATAGGTAAATTTTTAGGGAGGGATGTGTGAAAGAAATGCAAAGAGAGAATAGCAGAATTGCCATTAATATACCATGAAGCCATTTTTAATATATATCAGTGCTCAAATGATAACTGATTTTCACTGTCTGGATATTCGTGGTTAAATCAAATAAACATTCATAAATGTTATACCCATATGCTCATTACTCTGTACGGTATACAGTTCTTTTCAAATTTTGTTTTGTTTGTTGGTATGTTGTGTCTATCAAAAATCTAAAACAAAACTTAAAATGAGAATTTTTTAACCACAAATGTTTTTTTGTTGGTAAATTTATCCACCAAATATGTTTGTGGTATCTGATTTCTTGTTTGAGCCCTAATATATACCATATATTGATAGCATGCCCTACATAACAATACTACAACATTCACCCAATCATAAACTATTGAGACAAATAATGCTACACAATCATCACAATTTAACAAAATATTCTATACCCTGTTTCAATCATTAATTTAGCTAGTGTTGGATATTGTCTACTTTTAACTTTTGGTAGACTATCAGCACTGAAAAATTGCCAAGTTAATAATTCATTGTTAGTTTTATAAGAAAAAAAAAATAAATAAGAAAATTTTTAAGCTAAATTTATATATTTACCCAAAAAATAAAAAATACTTTTAATTAAACAAGAACCCAGTTTCCATGACAATTGTGCTATTTATAAATGGTAAGCTATATTAACTCAATAGTAAATGATATAAACCCACCTTGCTGAAGGATGTATACTGTCAGAGTAACAGCGTTGTCGGTATGGTTTTGGACCACTGTAATTAAGTTTTAAACTCTTTCTAGTATTCAACATCAATAATTAGATTTATTCTCTTTTTATTTATTTTTGATAACAGTTACTATGGTAACATGTTTCGACAAACATTGTTTGTTTACTTTTCATGTAGAGATGCATAATAACTGTATGTGCCTGTCTTATGCACATATAAAGAGTCAGGAATTTTTTCAAAAATTCATAAAAAGAGAATAAATTTATTCATTCAGAGAAAATCAAAAGAAAATAATGAGATTAAAATTAATGAGAAAACAAAGTAAAAGCACACTAAAATTAGTAAAATATTAATCCAAAGGGCATGCTACAACATCTAGCATAAACTGAGGAACTAAAATTTGGTTATAAATCATAAAATAAATGGGAGATTAAACTAAATCCACTACTACTGAACAAAATAAACAAGTAAGGATAGGGGCACTACCAACACAGCAAAGTCAAAGTCAGTCTAATGAGGTAAAGGCTTCTAAGGCCAAATATGTTCTATTTGTACTAATTACTTTATGTAATTTTAAGGGGCAGTATATAAAATTTTAATTTTCAAAAACGTCCGAAATTATATCTGTAAATATTTCTAAAGTATGCTATTTATATCTATGTATCTACTTGATCAATCTGAATTTGTTTTAAAATGGTTAATAAAAAACGGAGATTACTAATCATTAATTAAGCAATTTAACCTAGATTTGGTGTTTGCTTTTTAATGTAATTCCCCTTCAAGCCAAAAATAATATTGTGGCAAAATGAGATTAGATTTACTGTAGGGAAGCTCAAATAAACATTAAAATAAAAGAGTTTTGAAAGTTAACAGAAACAAGTAATTAACAAAGGTAAGGGAGGGATCAAACATAAATATAACTACATAGGGTAAAGGTACACAAAGGATGGTTTCAAGATCTAGTAACACCACAACTGGGTTTGAGACCTATTTATTTAAATAGCATCACTAAGAAAACTAACTATAAATAGAAAATTTGGGGTCAAACACAATATAACTACAGTAAATTCACAAAACAAAGGAGAAGTAACTAGCATCTAAACTGGTTTGGTATCTAACTGACCATAGAAAATAATACCTACCTCAAATTATTATCATTAATGTCTAAATAATTAGATGGGGGAGATAGAAGATGTCTGAAAACAATTGATAATTAACTACAAACTATTCACAACACTAAATACATGCTATAGAGCACAACAAAGTTACATGCACAACATTAGGGTAGTCTTTAGACAACATATCTATGATGATGCATGGAAATAATTAGACAGACAATCCCCAAATACTTGATGCAGAGAAATAAAAGATCTGACAAACTATTCACAGCCAAAATCTAAAGGAACAATTTATTATGTGTGTGCAAATCAACAGGATCAAGTGAAGTTAAGCTATGAGACAATAAAGTAATGAATATTCTGTCTTACCCCTCTTCTTCTACTGGTTCTAAACCATCTAATAAATTCTCTACACTATTAGATAATCCTTCTCTTTTTAATCTAAAATACAGATAACCTACATATTATAAGCTTACATATATTTTCATAATCATGCTTTCCTAAACTATAAATTTCTTTAACATTATAGTTTTCGTATTTGAAAAAAACATTTATATGTCATGAGTGGATTCAATGGCAACTTATATGAAAATATGAATACAAAATTTGTGAAAAAAAAAAATTTTGTGACATATAGAGAATCAATTTCTGTTTTGTTCTTTTTTTTACTAATTTTTTTGTGCTTAAGCCCATAAAAGATATAAAGATTTGACGATTAAAGGTAATTTTATCAATCATTCCTGTACTGTAATCCTGTACTTACACTGAAACCCTAGGAACATTAACATTTAATTTCAGGGCAGCACTTTTTCTGTCAAAGGGTTCTACAATGTGAAAAACACAACAACTTAAAAATCATATTAATTTAGGACAGAAATAAGATTTCATACAAGTCTGTATATTCACTAGCATCATTTTATCAGGGCTAAGATTATCCATTCTTAAATCCTTGTAAATGGTAATGGAATTATAGTTTTGAACTGATTTCAATCAAAAATGTTAATACAAAATTTATTTGTAAAATAATATATCTACCTGAGGTACTTCTATGTAAATCGCTTTCTGGTACTTTTTTTCTTTTCTTCTTCTGATAGTTACTGAATATAAAATAGATACATTAAATGATTTTATAAACATCAAATGATTTCAGATGAAAAAAAAATTAATTCTGCTCAATGTTATAATTCAAAAATTTCAAAATGTCATTTTTTTTTTTTCATAAGATTTGAAAAATATCTTTATGATCAAGGATTGGATGAAATATAAACGAGCACAACAAAAAATCAATTATATCTTACTCAGTAATAAATTTATGTTGTAATAATTCAGCTGCTGTCGCTCTTTTATCAGGAACGGGTTCAAAACAACTACAAATATAAATTTATAATATTATAAGAAATCATTTATTACAATAAATTTTATATGAATTATATTCTTTATTTATGTAGAACTGAAGAAGTAACATACTACAATACTTACTTGAGAAGAAACTCATGTGCATCTTTAGACATGCATTCGGGAATATCAGGATGCATTTTATAAAAACCAACTTTAAACATGGCAGCCTCGGCAGAACCCAGCTAAAGAAAAAAAAAATATATATGATCGATTTTGATCAAGGGAAGACATATTTCATCTAAATACAATGCATGAATAGTTGGTAAATATTTTTTTCCAATCCCTCTTCACCACTACATCTAAAAACTTACCTCTATAAATGGTGGTTTGCCTGTAGCCATTTCAATCACTGTACAACCTAATGACCAGATGTCAGCCTGAAATATATTATACAAATAATAATAGAACTATACAAGTAACACCACTAAAAACAGATTATAAAACTCTGGTGTTAATCTTCAATATTATTGTCTACAAAATATATTTTAGCATAGATACAACTAACATCTGCCATACAATTATATAATGACTTTATAAAGCACAATCATTTTCTGAAATGAAAGTTAAAGTAGCTTAGAATTCTATGGTAATCTAAATGGTTGCTTTTCTGATAGAGCTCAGATAGCAGAAATTAACAATATCATGGCATTTACGATCATAAGTATAACCTTCCATAGGAAGTTATATTGAATTAGAAGGAGAACCAAATATCAGAAATAAAAACTGAAAAATGACACGGATGGATGAAATTTAGCTTTTATAGCGAGTTAGAAAATCTATATACTCTCTTTAACAGTCAATTGACAAAAGTATGAAATAATATTTACCGGTGGTCCATAACCTCTAGCTCCTTTATCTATAACTTCTGGAGCCATATACTGTATTGTACCTGTAAAACAGTAATAATTACAACAATCAATAATTAAAATATATAACTACTTATCAGGTTCCATGACATAACATAAATCAAATGAACATAACATATAAACATAAATATAAAGATGAACAGAATAGAGGAAATGAATTGTATTGTTCCTATTTTCTTTTTCTTTGTTGGCTTATCAGATCATGTGGTGAGAAAATTCGCATTTATGTCTGAAAAGCATAAAAAGATGGCTTTTTGTTATCTCCAATTGAGAGAGCCTGCTATACAAATTTTCAGTCTTCTATTGTATCCAACGATTAGATTTAATGAGAATAATTTCCAAGGTAATGCCACGTCAGAATAATTTAAAATATAATGTAATCAAGTTCTAATCAACCTACCAGCAAATGTTTCAGCACAAGGATTAATACCAGCTAAACGTCGAGATGTACCGAAATCTGAGATCTTTAAAACACCACTATAGGTATTGACTAGTACATTATCTCCCTTTATATCACGATGTACTATTTTATTGTCATGCTGTAATAAATATATCACCTCTGTTATTATTTGCCCTGTATTTTGTTAGATTAAATCTACCTTTATCTATGGGTAGTTCTGAGTCAGCTATCTTGAACATCAATCTTTCACTTTCCTTTCAGGGCAATGCCATTTGACTTTGCCAAAATTGATTTCAATCAGGTAAAAATTCTTACCAAATATTTCAAGCCCTCTAATATCTGTTTAGTATAGTGTACAATAGTTAATTCATTATCTTTTAGCGGCCCCCATTTAGACTGTAATAACTGAGACAGACTTCCTATAAAATATAATCATTCAAAGTTTTGTTTTATATTACATCATATCTCAAATAAACCTTTCAGAATAAAGTAATCACCATAATATATCATGAAAGATAGTGGATACAAATATGTCCCCTTTGGCATGCAGTGGGTGAAATGAATAACTTCATGATTTGTTCAGACCGAATGACACATGGACATGGAAACCATCCACCTAGAGAGATATAGGCATATAAAAAGGTCTGATATATGAAAGAATAACACATAGAATAACAACAAATATATACCTCCAGGAACTTGCTCCATAAAAATTTTAAAGAAACCATCTTCACTCATGGAACCTCGATATTCTACAATATTTTTGTGTTTTAATCGACTATGTAGATGAATTTCTTCGTGTAAAGGTTGTACCTCTCTGTAATGAAAACAAAATATTTTAATGACCCTCATTTGGTGGCCTTGAACGTTTCAAAAAATTTTTAAAAATCAAAAATTTCGTGGAGGACTAATATTTACTTACTCTTTACATTTCTCAGGAACCTCTTTAACTGCTATTTTAATTTGTCTTTTATCTCTAGCAGCATAAACACAACCAAAGGTTCCCCTTCCTAGCAGTATCCTGTTACCTTTATCATCATATTCATATACATACTGAAAATAATACAATAATAGCATTATAATAATATTCTGTACATACTGAATAGAAAACAATAACATTTTTTAATAAAATCAATTTCTCATTATTTGGAGGATCAACTAAATTCACATTTTCATGTAGACATAATATAACAAAACGTTACCTCAACAACATCTTCAACAACATCATCCACAAAACAAAATGGATTCTGAGTTAATTCACTAACTAAACCATAAAATCTGAAAACATAAATACACCCTTTTCATTGATCATATATTACACATCAGCCATTTATTTGGTAGTTAAAGATGAAAGGGTAAGCATTCAGCAAGCCCTTCAGAAGTTTTCCAAGTGTCATCTCAATCCCAAACCAATTATAGTCTTTATTTCCACATGTTTCTACAAGCCTATTTTGATATAATCAAACAGATATCCACAATGGAAACAAATCATATATGTCTTACAAAAATTTGTGTTAATTTTTCATGCCATACATTTAAAAAGAAATTGATGCTAACCACTTCATCTGAAAAAAGCAATCTTTCATTCCATTTGAATTTTGTGAAAATAAGCATTCATAAAGTGATTATAATTAGGTGAAGGTTTACTTACTTCATTTTCTGTACACAGGAGGGAAAAAATATATGGAAATCATCTGAATTCTCTTGAACATATAAAAATACAGCTCTCACATCTCTTTTATACATACTATTAAAAATAACAAGATATCATGTGAAAGGACCTAAAGGTGAACTTTTCGAGTGTTTAGTTGTTTATATTAGTTTATCTGAACGGTAGGAAGAGCTCAATTTTGACATAATGCTTAAAAAATAGATACTACCGTAGATATTGAATATAAGCTCATGTCCATTATAATACATAACCTGACAATTCTTGTTGGCATTGCAATCCAGGTCACAAAGAGACTTTCTAAAATATTTCATTTATTTCTCAGCATTCAGAGCAATGAATAATAATTCTACAGCTAACCTGACACGTTTGATAGCTTGTGATTCAAATGTCCATTCACAAGCTGTTTTATCTTCTGGTACACTAACAACATGCCATAACTTTATACACTGTAACATCATGAATTTATAAACATGATAAATTTGAAATTTAAAATGAAATAGGAAATGTAAAGGTTTGTTAAAGCATACTTCATACCACAATTACTAAATATCTTCACAGAAACTTGGTTAGATGCCTGAGTAAGATGTTTGCTCGCTAACTAATATTTTTTCTAAGATCAATATGGAACTTCAGAATTGTTTTTCTTTTAATAATGTGGAATCCAGGGCTATCATTGAAAAGTGTCTTATGGGTTTGAAAAGAACAACAATTTTCAGCATTTCACACTGCCAATCTTCAATAGCACAATTTGGAGCCAAATTCATTTCATCATTTTCATTGTATATCTTATATAACTTCTCAATTCAAGTTTTAGTTTCATATCAGACAAATTACATTATATCTTTTTAGTACTATAAGTATACTATAACTGACCTTATCTTCTGTATCTTTATTTATCTGTATATAACTAGGTTTATATTGTTTATTAGGTTCTAATATCAGCACCTAAAATAGATCACAAGTTGTTAAGTTTAAAATCTAAGATTGCATTCTAACTTTAACAAATCTTTTGTCTAACCATATGTTAGCTGTTTTTAAATCAATTACTATGTTTTTAATCATAACTTACAGGAAAACGAATTCCAACTACTTCTTCCTCTTGTTTTATTGCTTCCACAAAAAAATCCATCCAAAAATCAAACAACTGAAAAAGAAAATGACAATTACAGAATAACAGGAATCAAGCTAGCACAAAGTTAAGATCGGTCCTATAATACTTGTCAGATAATACTTCTTAAAACTTTCTACTTACCGGATCAACTAACCCTGCTTTCACACTTCTTCTAAATCTATTGATTAACAATATATTACCAACAGTTGATTTTAAATACCTACAATATAGTACAGAATAGTGATCAATAGACAAGCTTATCAAAATTATGCCTAGATGTTTCCTTTTCATTTTTTAGTTTATTTCTAATTAATTCTTCTTTAAATTGTATTCCATCAAATTTTGACCCATTTACATCACAAATCAATCTTAACTTAGTCTTCAGATGTGGTTTACTATAGAACATTTGAATGATATTTTGTAAAAGAGAGCTGATTTAATAAAAAAGAAGATAGTCAATCCTAATCTCTTACAACCAAATTGTCACTAAAGTTACATACCAGTCTGGTGGTTCTAGTTTAAACATACAATATGCTGCTTGTGATGCTTTAGAATAATCTTCTGCTAAAACACTGATTTCAAAAAAGGTTGCCACATCCCAATAATCTGTTAATGATTGTAAACTTCCTTTTTTACCAATCAAATTATTTAGTATAATACCTACAATTAAAGATTAAAATCTATATCAAAAAATGTCAAAACAAATATTCAATATTCATTGAGGGCATTCCTGATGCTTATCTTGATGAAAGTCAAATATCAACTTATTTTTACTACAAAGTTTCTAAGCTCATATTCATCATGTACAATAGAAAAAGTTCAATCAATGTGAACCAAAAAATAAATATTTAACTTACCAATTCTTTGTAATTCTTGGCAAGATGAGAAATCTTTTCCTGATATAACTAACAGTGTGGCAAGATTAATACCAGCATATTCATTGGGTTGTACATCAAACCCTTTCCTGTACCTGAATAAACACACAATTGTACATTTACTTCAAATTATTTCCAGAATAATTTACATTCAAAGATAACATGAAAATATGATACTAGTTCCAAGTCTGATAAACAACAATACATACTAGTCCCAAGTTGAAAAACAGCAATACATACTAGTCCCAAGTTGATAAACAACAATACATACTAGTCCCACGTTGAAAAATAACAATAAATACTAGTTCCAAGTTGAAAAAAAAAACCAATAAATACCTGCCCCTAGTTGAAAAACTATAAATACTAGTCCCAAGTTGAAAAACAACAATACATACTAGTCCCATGTTGAAAAACAACAATATATACTAGTCCCAAGTTGAAAAATAACAATAAATACTAGTAAGACATTCTAACCCTAACTGAACACCTGTTGGTACTCTGCTGCTCGTTATGGCAACTTGACATTTCTTATTATATTTATGCAGTTATTCAAGAATATCAAAAAGTCTTACCATTTTATAGCATTGTCTAAAGCTTCATTATCTTTATAATCTGATTCTACAAACTTATCTTTATATATTCTACCACATAAACATATCATATCAGGTACAGCATTATCACTCATATCTATTGCCTATAATAAATATATATATAATATAATATATCAGTACATGTGTATGTACAATGTTTATGTTTTTCATTTAATGCATTTTTGAAACTGCTATCTCATAGAAAATATTTTGTATATATACATATATCATTTTGATCATCAAAGCCCTGCAAATTTGGTAAATAAATAAGAGTAATGCTTATCCTTTGAGTTAAATAAAACCTTTAAAAATTATTATGAAGGGAAAATTATTGAATATGGATGTATGAATATTCTCATACAGCTCAATTTCAGCTATCAGTAATACTTTTCAGAACAAAAATCTGATTCCTCATTCTCTACAATTCACCAACAACAGGCAAAAAATCTTTTAAACTTTCTAATTTTCCAGGCTCTTAATAACTGCATTAGGCAGATATAATAGATTTTATTGAATCAACATTCAAGAACAACTTCATGGTGAAAGTTTAAAAAGGAAACAGGTAGACAGAATCAAGTAAATATAACTATATCCCTTTTTATAATATGTATTAACTTATTTGGAGACTTAAAACATTTCACATGACCTACCTTTAATATGACATCTAGAGCTTTATCTCTATCTCCAACATTATTTCTCCTAAAATACATAGACAAATGTAACTAGTATTCGTAGTGATAGCTAACCTCATGAAATTTAAAATTACACGTCTTGTACACATTAAGCATGATGAATATAAACTGATAATTATGTTTAATAACCATCACTAATGTACCATAATATATACTATACCTGACAAATGTACAAGGTGGTTGTGACTTTTTCTAAACATAATGACTTTAAAAAAATATGCCTCTAATAATGAATTTACTGATTGTGTATAATAATGTTAATGTGTCATTAGACAGTTGTGACAGATTTTAATTTCAGATGTAAATTCTCATTTCAGATAACAATCTTCATAATGTTTATATAGTTACAAAACTGAATCTAACCTATTTAGGGCAAAAGCATATAATTGTAATATTGCTATTGTTGATGATATTTTACTGTTTGGTATCTGTTCTAAGTCTTCTACTAGCTTCACCATATTATCATAATCCTAATTAAAAATCATGAACCGTTACAAATGACAAATTAATCTGGTTTCTCACTTTAACTAATTTTCAGATATCTAAACTCAATAGTAAATTTTGATTTAATGTGATACAATAAACATACACCTTCTACCTAAAATTGTCCAAAACCTATGCCGGGAATGAACCCGGGACCTTCAGGTTAACGAGCAAACGTCTAACTCACTGAGCCACTGCGGCTCCCAGATAAACAGAAAGTTTTATCCATTATCTAAAGACTTCAAATGTCTTTGGCAGCCAAGATTTAAAAGAAATAAATGATGTCTACTTAATGCAGACTAGTCTGATATTAACTCATATGAAATGGCGACCTACCTGAACTTCTCTATATGATATCAACATATTAACAATAATATCTACAGATAATAACTTAGGATCATCTAATCTTCTTCTCATACCAGCTAATGCCTAGAAACATACAATAACATATCATTTCATAGGGATTCAGTCTTTAGGCAATATGCCATGTGGATTCCATATTACAGACAGACAACTATTTCAACTTGCATTGCACTTGAATTTGTTCACAGAAGTCTACTTAAAACACCAAACACAATTAATATTATACAAATTTAAGCAAATGAACTTGAAATAAATACCTCTTTTAGATCTTCACCACTATAATTAGTTATTGCTTTTCTCAAATCTTTTAAAAATCTCTCCTTAGAATGAACCCTGTAAAAAATAGATCATATACAAGAAATAAGAAAGTGCTTCTTACTTAGATGACAAACAATTTTTTTCATAAAGTATACATTCATCCATTGTCCCCACTTTCCTCAATAGAAATGACTAGTGCAAATGATAAAAGAAACCAATCCAGACATAAATTTACTTACTGACAATGTAATTTCAAGTAATAAACTATTGAAAACAAATCTTATTTAGGTGAGAAATAACCCAGAGAATAAATACCAAACAAAATATATACAGCTCTTTTTCAATCAGATGGAATAAATTCTCCTTTTCTGAAAATATTAATGTAAAAATTAATGATCAATATTAAGCCTTACCTATTGAATTCATCAACATCACTTAAAGCAGTTTTGAGTTTTTTCATCAATGTAGGTACGTCTGGATGAGCACAACTATCTTTTAATATAGGAGATGAGGAAGGGTCACCAACAACACATGAATTACACGCATCTATAGTGTAGGCAAAAAATGTTGTACCAGTTCCACAAGACAACTATAATGACAATATGAGATGTATGTAATACAGTCCAACTGATAAATTATGGTGAATAAAACCAACATAAGTTACCATATTTTAAAGGCCTTGGTTCGTCAGTTTCGCAAGTTGATTTGCGTTATGAATATATGTAAATAGTCTTCGAAAGTACTAGAAATGTACTGAAAATCCCATAATTCCTTCAAAAATACTACAAACTAAGAATTTCATATTTCTATATATGTCTTTTCTATATTTGGCAAAGTTAGAAGAGAGGACAAGATGTCATTTAAACTATACATTGAATTGAAGCCTTAAATTTAGATGGTGAGCTGCGAACAATTTCACTTATTAGTTTACGTATAGCTTCTATTTGCATCATTCTGATTCAAGATATGGTTCCTGTTATTCTAGAAAAGCTGAACCTGATTATCCAAAATCAAAATCATGTAACCACACTACACATACAAAGGACAATAAAAATCCTCTTTTTAATTCTTTAAAAGATAGTTTATAACATGTAGAGTATAAAGAGAACTTACCCTCAGGGACAAAGTTAACTCTGGATCCACATCATAACATATGACAATATTATGTTTCATCCCCATACTCTCTCTTATACCCAGGTGGTAGAATAATGAGGCTTGTTGTAGAGGAGTTGTCATATCTACTACAGCAACATCAGCATTATAAAATGTATCCAATACAGCTAGTTCACCAAAATCTAACTTCTGAAACACCACTGTATCTAACTGAGCTTTGTAGCTGAAAATATATGATTAAACAATGTAATAATGGTGTAAAAAGTGGTTGCCTAGCAAGATACGCCCACTTTCCTCATTTGTGCAAGATATTGTTGATTTAAACAAACACACATTATTTAATAAAATCCTGACATAAACTATCACCTCTATCGCGTTAACAAGCCAACAAATTTTGATGCATTTTTACTTAGTCAAGGGCAATAACTCAAATTCCGTTGATCCAATCGTCAAATTCAATCTTATGATTATAAATGATCATACCAAATTTCATTTAAATCGGATGAAAACTGTAGTCTCTGTTGTGTTCACAAACAAATTTTGACGTGTTTTTCATAAATGAAGAGCAATAATTCAAAAACGCTCATCAAAAGATCGTCACATTCGAACTTATCTAAGATCTAAGATCTTATCATTATAATTGATCACACCAAATTTCATTAAAATCAGTCGAAAGCTGTAGTCTCTTTTGTGTTACAAACAAATTCTGATTTGTCAAGGGCAATAACTCAAACACCGTTCATTGAAAGATCGTCAAATTCAAACTTGTCCAAGATCTCATTGATATAAATGATCACACCAAATTTAATTGAAATCAGATAAAAACGGTTGTTTCTATTGCGTTCACAAGCCAACTGTGGACGGACGGACAGACGGACGGACGGATCAACGGACGGACAGGGGCAACGACAATAAAAATGGACAACAATAAATATTCATGCAGTCTTGGTTCATAAAGGATTTACTTGAAGAATATCATCACCATTTATTTAGTCATAAAAAAACTTACCATTCACAAACTTTCTCAATTTCGGCAAAGGCTCTTTCTTTTGCTTTTGTTCTTTCCACCAAATCAACCCCTTTTTCAGCACCTCTAGTTTTAGATCCTGAGGTTTCTCCTCCATTTCCATTACCATCTATTATACAAACAACTAGCATTGTGTATTAGAAGATAATTACACTGCTGATGAAATCTGTTTTCAAGAAAAAAACAATAACACAGTAAACACTAATATTTTAATAAATGAGCTAACTACATGAAATTTTCTAGGGTGCTTAACAATCTATATCTATATCTATCCAACTTATTATCATCTGTACTATTTTGACAGAAACTAAAAATAAAAACAAAAGACTACAATATCCATATATACATTTCAAAGGGGAACAGTACAACAGCTATCTTTTAAGTATAATAAACTTCATCTTATACCTTGACTGCAATAGCTATTATTCTTGTATTTAAGTAATGCAGCGATTTTATTGCATTGGATTGTATGCCAGCGTATTTTGACTGTATTCGTTAACTTACAATTTAATCAAATCGCTGCATTTACAACTTCATGATACAAGAAAAGTGGCTATTGCAATCAAGGTATAAGACGATGTTCATTATTTTTATTTTAAGATTGTGTCATAAAAATAACATAAAATCTTCATGGATTTCATATATTCACAGCATTTCTGATGATATAATCATCATGAATTTGTGCTTTAAGTTTTTTTTATTTCTTTCAAAATTCTCTAGTCACTGCACCAGTGATATTGTTACAGTCATGATTATGACTTAGTAGAGCTAGTACTACTACTAGGCCTAGGAAAAAAACTATCTGACCCCTTCGCTGCCTTTCCAAAAAAGATTTGTTTTCAGTCAATATTCCAATGCAAAGTTGGAATAGCAAACTGTTCCAATATGCTATTCATAGCACATAGCAAGAAAAAAAAATTCAACTTGACAGTAATTTCATGCTAGACCGCAAGAACTTAAGTGCAGAAAAATGTACTCTACTAGAAGAAATAAAAAGAAAGTGTGTCACTCATCAAAAACGCAAAGTTCTCAACCTAAGGCCCAAAGTGTACCTGCAGCATTATCCAAAGGCTGTATAAATATGAATAATTAAAGAATGTAAACAAACTAGCATGGTAGCATCGAGTTCTAGGCGTTACAGAGACAATGATGATCAACCTCAGTAATTACAAAGACGCCATTGCTAAAATATCTAAACATCAGTGACCTCCCTTCCTTTCAAAAGGTCAAGGACATTTGAATCCTGTTTCTGTCACAGGGGCATGAAATTAAGATGACAGTTACACAGGGGCTAGATAGAGGTACTTTTAAGGATCAATGCCAAAACTTTGATCTTTATATACCAAAGGCAAAAGACAAGCAACAGATATTTCCCCAATATAGGACCTTGAAATGGCCACATTGTTAAGGCCATTATATCCTCGCGTAATGATAATTTGAAAGTGCATGGGGAGAGTGTGAGGGGCCCGGGTCATCGAAGAGAAGTTCTAAGTTGCCTAAGCAATTGTTACGGCGGGTACCAAAATTGAAATTTCCACACGACAAATAAAATTGAAAGTGAAGAAAATCTGTTATGGAATTATGATGCATTAATATTATATGGTTTGATCGTGACTGTACCAAGTAGGCCAATAGGTCAAGGATTTTAGACCTTATCTTAAAGTTTAAAAGAACCAATTCTAAGTGTCATTATACTGATTATTATTGAAAAGAAATCTCTGCTGGCAATATGTTGAAATTTACTATTTTCACTCTTGTCTGTTGCGCGACAGCAATTATTGCTGAAGGTAAGCGGATGATTATGTTATGTAGGCTACTACTTAGTACTTATACATAATGAACAGAATCGTCGCAAAGCACAGAAAATAGTCAATTGTTTATTCAAATTTCAATAAAATATTAGATATTTGTCAAAAACAACAACAACATTAGGCAAAAATGATTGTTTGAGTATCTTTGATTGTTTCAAGTTATCGCTATGACATATCAAGGTTCTGATCGCGTGATCCTTACAGATGGAGGCTGAAAGTCGGTATCTTGTGTACATGGAGTGGAACAAACGATTTACAGACAGCATTGGAATCTGCGCCCAGGACTGTTAGGAAAGCTGCACCGAGTTCTGCTGCATTTCTTGGGAGCGTTTGGATCTGGTTTAGTCGTCTTTGGATGTCATCCTACAAGTGGTCTATTGGGTTTAAATCCGGGCTGAGTGAGAGCCATGGCATTAATCTGATGTTATGCTGTTGAAAGAAGGTTCTGGTGGCTATGGCAGTGTGTGGACGGGCGTTGTTATGCTGGTACAACGTGGGGTCGGAGAACCTGGTCGATGTTACGGACGGCTGTGAATCCATGCCCTCTGTCTGGGCCCATATTCTGGAAGACAACAGGTTCAATTTTCTGATTGATGCCGATTGCACCCAAACCATAATGCTTGGGGTGGAAATGCAGTACCGACTCTCATCCGAGAGGCGTGGATTCTCCACTGTTGATGCCGCCAATGTTGTCGTTAGGTGGCCCACGCAAGAAGTTTCTGACGGAGTGAGCACCGCACCCCTGTATGGACGGCGACAAGACAGGTTCTGGGAGGCGAGTTGATTTCTAACGATATCAGCACTGATAAGTTGCATGTGGCCATGCAATAGTCTGACTGTGCCACTGTGGTGAATCTGTCAAGCAGGTGTTGCCGCGGGATATAGCAATCTTGTCTTGGTGTTGTGACTCAGGGACGCCCACTACGTGGACGGTCATAAGTGCTGATGGTGGTATTGTATAACGAATCCAAAGCCTCCCAATGGTTCGTACACTACAGTTAAATACTTTGGCAATGACGTTGTCTGGCATTTAATCGTCCGGCGGCTTAAGTTCACGTTTTTTTGGAGGTTAGTGCCATAAGCTCGCTGTCTTCACAGCAACTGAAATCTCAGTAGGCGTCAGTTTGTTTTTATACAGAACTCTGGTACGTGTTGCACGTGCATTTCGATTTTCCTCAGCATCGCTTGCTCCCACGGACTTCTGACAGTTCCCAAGGTTCGTAACCGATATTATCAGTTGAATGTCATAAACTTCCCTTTTTCTTCCGTCGGTCCGTCCGTCAACATTTGCTTGTAAACTCTCTAAAAACTAGAATTCGGTATGTGTATACATATTCATAAAACGAAGATCAAGTTTGAATTTGAGCTATTTTCGACCGTTAGAAGCAGAGTTATTGCCCTTGCCCCAAAATTTTGATTATGCTATTACTCTCTTAATTTTCAACCGATTTTAATGAAACTTAAAATGGATGTTATTGGACCTAAATCGAAAGGTTTGAGAAAGTTTAGTTTACTTCTGATTAAATTCAAGGCTTTTTCAAGATTTAGACCTCTTACGTCAGTTTTGAGGAGTTATCGCCCTTTAACCTCTATACAGTAAGTGCTTCTATCAACATCAATTGCTTGTAAACGCTCTAAAAACTAGATTTTATGTGGAATCAAATGAAATTCGGTATGTGTATACATATTCATAAAACGAAGAACAAGTTCGAATTTGAGCTATTTTCGACTGTTAGAAGCACAGTTATTGCCCTTGCCCCAAAATCTTGAATATGCTATTTTTAGTTTTCAACCGATTTTGATGAAACTTAAAATGGATGTTTCGTTTTTACCATCCGCATGTCGTGACGGCGTATATGGTTGTGGTCCACTATCTTTAAAGTTTAAAAATCATATTTATAAAGAAAAATAACAATTTTGACCGTGCACGAATAATCTAAAAATGCGACGATTCTTTATTTCTGTTCAGTATGGTAGCCTATTATAAATTGTTACATCAAGAGCCACAAAAATGATATTAATATATCCATTTTTTAACACGAACTTTTGAATCACTTCTGAAAAAAATTGCAATGGGGCTCTGTTCTAGACTAATTCGACAAGCTACAAAAGTCATTTAAATATAAGACCCAAATTATATCAAAACAACGGAGTACTACTATTGAGATTTATTGTTTACAACGTTTCAATAATTTACATTGACATTATCAAGCATGAGGTGTGAGAAAAGTTACCACATAGATAACTGGCTTGTGGCAGCGGCATTGCATTTGTTCTTACATAGCGTAGAAATGCTTCTCATTCTCCCGAACCATTGTGATAACGGTGAAAATAACTGTAGGTAATAATTTATATAATGCTACATAGTGCAGCGTAATACAGATTTTCTAACTCAGCGCTCAGGTTAATAACGTCTTTGGAGCTTCTTCAAGCGGATAATAACGAACGTAACAACTGGTGGCTAGAAAAATAAGTAGGCTACAAAGCCAGGTATATGAATAAAATATAAATGTTTCATATAAGAAATGTGGACGTATATTGCCGTCGCCCCTGTCCGTCGGTTCGGTGTGATCATTAATATTGATGAGATCTTGGTCAAGTTCGAATTTTACGATCTTTCGATGAACGGTTTTTGCCCTTGACTTAGGAAAAATGCGTCCAAATTTGTTTGTGAACACTGATTTTAATGAAATTTTGTGTGATCATTTATATTGAAGAGATCTTGGTCAAGTTCGAATTTGATGATCTTTCGATGAACGGTTTTCGAGTTATTGCTCTTGACTTAGGAAAAACGCGTCAAAATTTGATTGTGAACACAATAGAGACTACAGTTTTCAACTGATTTTAATGAAATTTGGTTTGATCATTTATATTCATGAGATCTTGGATAAGTTCGAATTTGATGATATTTCGATGAACGATCTTTGAGTTATTGCCCGTGACTTAGGAAAAACGCTTCCAAATTTGTTTGTAAACACATTAGAGACTACAGTTTTGAACTGATTTTAATGAAATTTAGTTTGATCATTTATATTGATGAGATCTTGGATAAGTTCGAAATTGATGATATTTCGATGAACGATCTTTGAGTTATTGCCCTTGACTTAGGAAAAACGCTTCAAAATTTGTAAACACATTAGAGACTACAGTTTTCAATTGATTTTAATGAAACATGGTTTGATCATGTATATTGATGCGATAATTTCATGTATTTGGGTTATTGATATTGATTTTTAAAAATTTGGTGGAATTTCTCAGTATAAATAACTGGCATATATATATATAATTGAATTCAAACTAACAAAATTTCTTTAATATGAGAAAATTCGTACTTTAGTCACTAAAGACTGTTTTATCATTTCTGACAGCTGCCAGTGGGCGTATTTTACCTTGCCTGGCAAGCTATCTTAGGAATATGTATACACATACCGAATTTTATTTGATTCCATCAAAAAATCTTGTTTTTGGAGCGTTTACAAGCAAATGTTGACGGACCGACGGACCAAGATTTTGGGGCAAGGACAATAACTCTGCTCTGCAAGGGCAATAACTCGGTCGAAAATAGCTCAAATTCGAACTTGAACTTCATTTTATGAATATGTATACACATACCGAATTTCGTTTGATTCCATTTACAAGCAAATGTTGACGGACGGACCGACTGAAGGACGGACAGGGGTACCGACAATATACATCCACATAGAGATGTGGGGGTATAAAAATAATATCAATGTTTAATAGTATAAAAAAAAGAGCTCTTGGATTTAACGTACATAATATATGAAAGTTTTTACCGTTTGACTTTCAGGGAGAGGTTGTAAACCAGTTAAAGGCGTTTGGGGATGCGCCTACATGCCAAATTGTTTTGGCGATTCTATGTGCGGAGAAGGCCAAAAATGTTGTCCACATCCATGCGGTGACCATTGTCAATTAATAGGTAAGTAGGTCCACAATGCGTTCACCGAGACCACCAAGAATGGCGTGATATCATGGTCAGTTCGTATCAAAGTTTGCCATAAATATTCTTGACAATATTACTTGAAATTTATCAAAATACGTTTGATAATATTAATATCCTATTTAGTTCATAATAATTCGAGAATTTATTATTTAGTTAATTGTGATAAAATTAATTGTCATCTAACATGTCAATATGGATTTGAGCGAGACGCAAAAGGCTGTGACGTATGTAAATGCAGAACAAGTAAGTAATTTCAAATTTTGAATCATCAAGTATTAGGCCTATATAATATATTTGTAATCCCTTTCTCCACATTGAAAAGAGTGCAGAGCATTTTTTTATTTTGATTGTGCAGTATCCACAAATCTAATGAACATCGATTTCTTACTGAATTATACATAATATATTATTAAAATGCCTACTTAACACCTTATTCTAAGTTATTGGTATAAACCGATATTTATTAGTAAAAATTGTATTTTTCAGCCAAAAAATGTGTTGGTGTAAGTACAAATCAAATATTGTTAAAACGGATACCTAGATGTACATGGCAATTTCGTCTTCTCTGGGACCAGATTCGTATATACGATTCCCTCTAGAAAAGTGCCTACAACGATCTTCACATTATATGTCCTCATTGTGTCCAAAACCACGCCCCCATTCGCCATAGGCCTACTTCCCAAAGTTAGTGAGACCATGTCAAAACCCATATTCTTGATACGATGGTACAGAATATGCAATAATTCTATTGAAAATACTGACTAATCTAATTGTCTTTCAAATTGTTTTTACATAAGAATATGTCAACAATATAGAGAATCTTTTCTTTTTTTCAGTTTTTCTGTTCATTGGATTTATTAAAAGGAAATAACTAATCATTGTTCTAATATTTTTTTTACGTTGTACATGCTGGGCAATCTCAATTTCCAAGTCTATCGATGGCGTCAAAGTTAAATTCTCAAAAAAAGTAGGTATGTCCCAGCGTTACCTTGCTCGTTAGTGATATTCTCTCGAGGATTAAATGAAAAGCTTCATTAGTACAGTAGCCCAAAATCATATATATTTATAAGATAAAAATTTAGCATACTCTACTTCAATCAAGACTTATACATGAAAGCACCAATTTTTTTACTTTCATGAGTAACTGGGAGAGCTTTTATGAAACCGTCAAGTAGAAATCCAATGCATTATATATGATGTTGCGTTACTATATCAATGACTATTAATTTTAATAAAGATCCAAGTAGTTGGCAATTGCAGGTAATTCTGAAAAAACATGACATGTTATCCTTTATCTGAATGTAAAAAATATCAACATTACTCAAGTTTTTGCACATAAATATATGACACACTATAGGCAAGAGGTAAGAAAGCAATGGCTTTGGCATGTGAGGCCCTGGTTTGCACTAAATGTTTAACCAGAAGGGTTATGATATCATTGGGCTTAATTAATGAGAACTTCACTTATAAAACCCTTTAATATGTCATAATATACTATAATACTAATAAGTAAAGCATAACAAATATAAATCATTCACAATAACATAAAGCTTTTATAATAATACTGCTAATACCACAAAAGGTAAATATTATAGGTAAATTTGGTTTGAGCGAGCAAGTTCTACTAGGAAATAATATTGTATCAAATGTGCAAAGCATCACAAAATGACCTTTTAAAAATATGAAGTAGAGAAGTGTAACCAACATGAATTTTTTTATACCTTAAATTACCCCCATCCTACTCATTTTTTGAATATAATTTGTCCTTTGTAAGTATTATTTAGCTATGTTTATTACAAACATTACAGTAATATGAGTATAAGTAATATCATGACAAAAATGAAAAAGATATTTTATAAGTTAAGGTCACCTTTATCATAAGTGACATTGAACACTGTTTACTTTATTTTTTTAAGAATATTAAATTCCTTTATATTGAATTAACTTCCTCAAGCATTTAGTAATTGGAAGATAAATTACTGGACAGAATAATATGGATACCAATTACTTTAATGAATAACTTTTGACATTTTGACAATGGTAATCTCGTTTTTATCAAGCAATAATAAAAGAATAGCACAGCAATTCACTTGGTTATTTAATCACTTTTACTTACTTTACTTTAAAATAATTGGTATCCATATAATTGTGTCCAGCTGTACTTTTAATTGTTGCAAGTTTTTTTTTAGAAAAAAAGAGATAGGTCACAATCTGATTGGTTTTCAAAACAGGTCACAATCTTATGTCACAATCTTATTGGTTTTCAAAACAGAAGCTGAAGTAAACAGATGATCACTACATGTAATAATTTATATGATAAATTTCAATTGATGAGATAACTTAATAAAATAAAATCTTTCCCATAGGATTTATTTTCTTAAAATATAATATATATATATATAACCATGACTAGAAAAATATATATATTTGACCAAACCATAAATGTTTAGTTCTAAAAATATATCAATAATCTCAAAAACAAGGCACAGACACATATATAATACTGAATACAATTCGTATATATAATACTTATTATATCAACCACCAATATAGTTTGATCATGAAATCTGTACAACTTGATAATTACTTTAGGCCTGCACCAAATCATCTCACGAAATCAGTACAAAAAGCAATTAATCATACAATGACATGTAGTAATTTCATGATCAAGCCTTTAAAATATAAAAATAGCACAATCATATATAATAATATGTATAATAAAACTGTTCACTGATAGCTGCCAAGTGAAAGTTAGTTTTCTCGAGATATCTCGGAATGTTGAATTCTCAACTTTGCGTTATTAAAAGCTATAGGTTTTCTGTTCTTTATCTTTGCCACTTCCTACAAAAAAATTAGAAAAATTAGAAAACAAACATGCTTATTATTACTATGTAAATATTGTCTTAGAGCACACTGTTGCTATCGCACAATCAGTTAAATTACCCAGAATTTTTTTGCAATTGGATACATCCAAATAATGGTAGTCAATCAATGAATCATATGTAAATTTTATAATGTACATACCAGGAGCCTTCCAGTTAGGATCAAAATGTTTCTGTAGAGGTTGCCAGCATAAATAATAGTCTTTATCAACTTTTGTTTCATTTCCCCATTTAGTTACTGCCATACTGAATGATGATTCAAACATAAATGCCTGGAAATAAGATGAAACATTATTAATTTCCTTATCATTTGTAAATACTAATCTAATATCCAGTTTGTCTACAAGTGATTAAAACAAAAATTTTACTTTTCAATGTGAGGTTACATTAGTTTTATTTGAATTTCTAAAGTACCCAAATACTGAGATTGTTAGTGCTCTGTCAAAGTTTTGAGAATAGTTTTGGATAACATTAGCTTAATGGGCACTGCGTTCCACAAATAAGGTTAGTTGAATTTAATTGTTTTGCCCTTTTCTGAACTTTTCTGAGCTTCTCCAGCAGTTTGTATTACTTCATCATCATGGTTTGCTTCAGTTTTATAACATGTCATAGTATAAATCTTATAGCTACATGTACTTTTTTTTAATAAAAATTAAAGTTTACTTTTTTTTAATAAAAATTAAAGTTTACTTTTTTTTAATAAAAATTAAAGTTTATCGTGTTACTTAGTCTAACCATACACACTTATCTCAAACATGAATTGGTAACAAAAATAAGACAACTTACCATTGTGCCGCCAGCAATATATTCAGGCTTTAAGTCAGCATTTGAGGCTTTTTCAAAACAATCCTCATCCGGACCATGTGGTGTCATCAAACTATGTAAACTTGCGCCTCCTGGATTGAATCCCCCTTCCTGCAAAGTATAGTGAAGTTTGAAATAGACCATTCCAATCAGTATATAAAAGGTGAAGGTAATCTGGACTGGCCTAGGTCACAAGAAGAGAACATAAATTTACATATCTCTAAGAACTTTAAGTAATAAAAATTAAATCGAGTACATAATATGATTTTCTAAACTGAAATACTTACTTTTGCTTCATATTTACCATGAATAAGACCCATAAACTCACTCATACAGTTTCCTGCAAAAAAAAAAACAACAGCAAAGGCTTGGTAGTGATTCACTGTTTATCATAAATGACAATAACATTTTCTAATGTTATACCACATCAAAATGCAGATGTTAACATGTAAAACTGACCTTACTTCCTATAAATGTCATTCTCAATGGAATTTGCAATAAAACTTTTGTCTTAATAAAGAAGAAACTTACTATGATAATATGGTGGTCTAAAACTATGTTCTTGTACAGACCATCTTGGTGGGAATATAACAAAATCAGCAATAGCTACACCAGGTTTAGCTGATGGACATGTCAATACTGTAAATATAGATGGATCCTGAAAATAACAAATAATATTAGTAAAATTTACACTGAAATAGATAGATCTCACCATATGAGCTATGTAGACTCTCTAAAATGAAGTTGACATCAGATATTATGAAAGGGTGACAATGTTTGTCATGCTAGCATCCAAACTCGTACAAAACTCAATAATATAATCATGATTTATAGAAATAAAATTAAGGATCTACTTACAGCATGGTCAAAAGCCACAGCATTAATCACCATGAAATTCTTTAAATCATATTTATATGGTGCATAATTACCATGCCAGGCCACAACATCAAAAGGTGAATGATTCTAAAATACAAAAAAAAACCCAATCATATACAGTTACAGTCCATAGACAAAAAATAATGCTTGATTAGTGTCAAGCAAAACCAAGACTTATATATATTCCTTATTTCATTTATTACAATTGTTTTTACACAAAATTGTTTCCTGATATCTCAAAGGTCATAACCTTAAACAGATATTTTGGTATTCAATTGAGCAAACAAAGTATCTTTTTGGAAATTAAAGTTACCTGTCTAGCTTGAAATAAATAGCCATGATATTTATTAATAACTTGATAGTGTTTGACATCTCTATCTTCATACCATGCCACAGGCGTCAGAAAATCTCTAGGATTAGCTAATCCATTAGCACCTAAAATATACCAAATATCTATAATTAGAATTTCACTATCCTACACTGTTTAAAGACAATGTACAATCAAACTGACACTGTACAATAGCTTACTAGGTCATCAAACTGACACAGTACAATAGCTGACTTGGTCATCAAATTGACACTGTACAATAGCTGACTTGGTCATCAAACTAATACTGTACATTAGCTGACTTGGTCATCAAACTGACACTGTATATTAGCTGACTTGGTCATCAAACCGACACTGTACAATAGCTGACTTGGCCATTCAACATGACACTGTACAATAGCTGACTTGGTCATCAAACTGACACTGCACAATAGCTGATATTGCACACATGGTCATTATAATAAACATGGTCCTGTCTTCAGCCCAAATACAATACAATACACAAAACTTCAATGGACACTTTGTTTAACAAATACACAAGTACATGTGTATTAAATGGACAGACTAAGCTGTGATAAAATACATGACCACAAAAGATATATGAGCTCTCACAATAGATGACTTGATCATTCAACATAACATGACCTTGTACAATAGCTGACTTGATCATTCAACATAACATGACCTTGTACAATTGCTGACTTGATCATTCAACATAACATCCCATTGTACAATTGCTGACATAATCATTCAACATAACATGACATTGTACAAAAGCTGTCAATCAACATAACATAACATTGTACGATAGCTGACTTGGTCAATCAACATAACATGACATTGTACAATAGCTGACTTGGTCAATCAACTAACATGACATTGTAGAAAAGCTGACTTGGTCAATCAACATAACATGACATTGTACAATAGCTGACTTGGTCAATCAACATAACATTGTACAATAGCTGACTTGGTCATGTAACATAACATGACATTGTACAATAGCTGACTTGGTCATGTAACATAATGTACGGTATTGTCAATAGAAGTATCATTTAACTTTGGATGTGAAAATAGAAAAGGTCTCACCAATAGGTCCCAAGTTAGGTAACTGGAAATGATCATTGAAAACTTCCAGAACATATCCTCTTGTTTCACCTTCCACTCCAATATTAAACCTCATTCCTCTCTGAAACAAACAACATCGATTCGCAGTATTTTCGAAGGGGAAAAAAACCAAAAATTTATTTCACTGTGTATAGTGCGCACCCCTTCTGTACTCCATTTTAGGGAAAAAAAAACTGTGCATTATATTCGTTAAACGCAAAAGAAAACCACACCAGGAATTATCCTATGTTATTAAAATACGCTTGCGTTGCAACAGTCTTTAGTGACTAAAGTACGAATTTTCTCATATTGAAGAAATTATTCATGCTGAATAATTCCACAAATTTTTTTAAAATCAATATCAATAACCCAAATACAACAAACAATTAAATCACACAGCTCTAATCAAGGGCAAAAAACAACTTTTGAAGCGTGGTTACAAAGTCAAGGGCAATAACTCAAAAAATGTTCATCAAAAATATCTCTTGTTAGAACTTGTCCGAGATCTTATCAATTCCAATGATCACACCAAGTTTCATCAGAATCGGTTGAAAACTGTAGCTTCAATCCTGCTCACAAACTATTTTTATCAAATTTCGACGCGTTTTAACAAAGTCAAGGGCAATAACTCAAAAACCATTCATCGAAAATGCGTCAAGTTAGAACTTGTCCGAGATCTTATCAATTCCAATGATCACACCAAGTTTCATCAGAATCGGTTGAAAACTGTAGCTTCAATCCTGCTCACGAACTATTTTTAACAAATTTTGACGCATTTTAACAAAGTCAAGGGCAATAACTCAAAAACCGTTCATCGAAAATGCGTCAAGTTATAACTTGTCTGAGATCTTATCAATTCCAATGATCACACCAAGTTTCATTAGAATCGGTTGAAAACTGTAGCTTCAATCCTGCTCACGAACTATTTTTAACAAATTTCAAGGCGTTCTAAGTCAAGGGCAATAACTCAAAAACCGTTCATCGAAAATATGTTAAATTTGAACTTGACCGAGATCTTATCAATCTAAAGCATCACACCAAGTTTTATCAAAATCAGATAAAAACTGTAGTCTCTATAGTGCTCACAAGAAATGTTGACGGACCGACGGACAGGGGCGACGACAATATACGACCACATATTCATGTGGGCGTATAAAAAGCAATACCTGAATAACACAGATTTCATTCGGAGAAACTTTCATTTTACCAAACTCTGTTGTTATTAACAATTCACCTTCTTGTGGAACTAAAATAATACACAAAATAAAGACAGATTGTTAAATAAGATCACACCAGATCTATGGAACCAATGAAACAATTACTGAGTTTACCCATTAATTTTCATATGAAATGAAATTTCAGCTGGAGAAACTAGCATAATATATGATATGATAGTGTGTGAAATATTAGGTTTAAGAACACAGATCTAATAAATGTCATCAATCTCTTTCAAAAACAGAATTGCGTCAACAAATCAGCTTGATACATTTTATTTAGTTAAACTAAAAGACAAAAATCTAATAGAACAATAATCTTACCTATCAAGAAATCACCATCTGAACTATATAGACACCTACATAAAAATATACAAATTGTAAAGCTTTGATTCTAATTATAATTCATTTTGAAAAAACAAACCCCTCAGTTTAGTTTAATCTACATAAAGATAATTTTCATTGCTCATTTCAATTAATCAGGTACTAATCATCTCAAGATTCATACTCAACTTACCTATCACCCATAGAACTATTACAAGCATAGATATAAATACTAATACCACTCCTGGATTTAGGATCTCCTGCACCACAAACAGTAGCCAGCCCCTATTAAAGTTACAACAAGTGTTATATGCAATTCCCTTAGTATGTTAGAGCCCAGAGTTTCTAGGGGATTCGAATATCATTCATTTTTTCATGTCATGGAACCTAAAATAGGAACCTATTATTATTTCTCCTAAAAAAGTTTCAACAGACACCAAACATATTCTCACATATGGATCAGGCCTGTCTATTAGGCTCTAAATGATAACAATGACTGATAAGCCTTGAATCTTATATGGCATGTCAATTGTGTGAAGATTATTTATAGGTCAATGTAGAGGTATGTCATAGTTTGACGGTATCAGCTGGTCTCATCAATTCATTCAGTTGTTGGTACAATTGAAAAACCTATAAAAAGAGGAAAATAACAGCTGGAAGCCAGCCCAGCACAGTACCTCTACGAAATCTACAGAAACTGCACCTTTCTTTGGTATATCAAATGGTTGCCATCTAAGCTGAAGTGAAAGCAGAATTAAACAGTTAAAAATGTCTTTTTTTGAGAAATGGGGTGTTCAGTTTATATTATCATGTAGGCTTAAAAAAAGTTTAAAGTTTTTAACTTTGAAAATTTCTCTTCAATAAAAATTAAACCAGAAGTATGCGACGTTGTGCAATCTTAACTTAATAAAGAACTGTAGAATGATACCTGGTTTGGTAATAGGGTGTGAGAGCCTACACAGAAAGCACTGGCACAGGTATCAGAATGTTTTTCTTACCTTGAAGAGGATTCCAACCCACGGCACCTAATCGCCTAGCAGACAACAATCCAACTCGCTACTGACTGAGCTATGCCACAAAAAGACAGTGTTCGAACCCAGCGTTAGAGGGAAGTATTGTTTAAGAAGATTTAAATCAGTACCGTTAGTATGTCACCTTGGGCAATCTAAAAATAATAAACTGTAGAATGATACCTGATTTGGGTTTGGTTCAACTTCATCCCAATTGTGGGTGATATTGCCTCTCTCAAACTTGACAAATGGTTCATGTAAAACTGATGGTCTTATTCTATACAGCCAGCTACCGATACCAATGAAAAAATACAAATATTACATTATGATGCTTCAGACCAGCATGACTGATTCAGATGCATTTGTTGCACATGACTGAGTCCAGGTTGAAAATGATCAGCTGCGACTTTACTTTAAAGGATACTTCAATAAAAATAGTTGTAATGGAGCATGGAGGAATTCATATTGTATTCACAATGGACTTGGGAAGAAAGGATTTTAAATTTGGATATATTTCAAACATTTACACTGATTAAAAAAGAAGTTATATATGTTTTATAATTAATTTCCTGTGTATAATGTAAATAAGCTTATAATAATAAATAAAGACAATTGGATACAAAATTTCATGTGACTTTATAAAATTTAAATCTTACATCAATCAATTATTCAATTGTATTCAAAATTACTGTTTACCTTCTTTGATTGTTGGTCCTTGGTGCAGTAAAAGCATCACCTGAGAGTTGCTCGGCATATAAACCATAAGCACATTTTTGAGGATTATTCTGTAAATAAAATTTTATAATTCACAGCTCACCGTTGAAATTTGAGCCTTCAAATCCATCAGTGTCCAAAATTATCTGTGTTTGAATGTTAAAATGACGACTCGTCATTTTAAGATACTCTGTGATATATAGAAATGACGAATATAGAAATTGTGGGTAAAATTCCAAGATAGGGATATTTTTGAAGGAATTATGCGATTTTTGAACATTTCTATTACATCTGAAGACTATTTGCATATCACTCAACCCCCCAAAATGGCGCACCTGTCCCTTTAATCAAATTGTTTTTTTTTTAAAGAATCAATATAACCTGCATTTTTAAAAAAATTACCTGGCCTTCTGGTAAAGCTCCTGGACATCTGGAGTCCTCAGAGGCAAATTCATTTCCAAAACCAGACTGATACTGGAATAAAATATATGCAATATACATAATATCTACAATTATATGTCTTTCTCAGTATATATCATTAATAATTAATAATAATAATTTCAAGTTATAAAATTTGCATAAACTGTTACTTTTTATTAAGCCAGTTGTGTGTTGGTGTATTTTTGGTCAATGCAGAAAATACTCAACATTTAATTACAAAGTTACCACAACAACATGCAAGTAATGCAAATGGCAACAGAAAATTAATGAAGATGATGTTTTTATACAGTAGATATTGTATTCTAAACTTTCAACTTTAGCCCAGCTTAGCACAAACCATTTTATCATCAATGCAAATATAGTCAGTAGAGATAACATTACTATCATAATCCTATAAATTACTAAACAAATAGTTCACAGCTCACTGTTATGTATATTATATTAGATTGAATGTAAAGAATGATAATAATGTGATGTCCTACTTACTCTCAAATCTATATGATGCCCTTTAATTCATAGATAAATACCGTATAGTAACATAGCTATATGCTGTATCAATTGAAACTCAGGAGCACCACAGCAGGTGCAATCTGATGAATTGATGAAAAATTAGCTTTTTTGCAGGGCGTTTGTAGGCGAACAATTGATCAATTTGATGGAATTATCGAATTTGAGTAGTGCGCATGCGCATTACCAACTTTCTTATTTCTTATCCGATTTTCATTAAACTTGGTATTTATGTGTATAAACATATTCCAAATTTGATGGAATTATCGAATTTGCGTAGTGCGCATGCACATTGCCAACTGTCTTATTTATTATCCGATTTTCATTAAACTTGGTATTTATGTGTATAAACAAATTCTAAATTTGATGGAATTATCGAATTTGCGTAGTGCGCATGCGCATTGCAAACTTTCTTATTTATTATCCGATTTTCATCAAACTTGGTATGTATGTGTATAATCAAATTCTAAATTTGATGGAATTATCGAATTTTTGTTGAGCGCATGCACATTACCAACTTTCTTATTTCTTATCCGGATTTCATCAAACTTATTCTTTATTAATTGACAAATATTCTTTTATTCCTAGTAAATATACTTTAAACTCCAGGCACTTTTGGATATTTGCATTTAGAGATGCAGAAAGGTATTTACATAAAGTAATTGCAATAGACCATCTTCGTATGTACCTGAATGTCGTAACCCACCCTGCATCAGTACTGTTATTAGAACAGTTCTAGTTTATTATTTCTTTGTGACTTGTGTAGTGGTATACATATACGGTACATATGCCTTTTGCAGATAATCACATACCGGTATCACATATTAGGCTACATAAAGAATTCACAACAAAATCTTATATTAGATTTTTTGTTGTTGACTAATGGAAATTGAAAATAAAAAAATAAGTCCTTCAGGATTACTTAGAGGTGAATATTCAACACCTTATTAGCTTATATTTCTACCTACCAGGAAATTCTAAAGTTCAATGACAACATGCAATAACACCTTTCATTTTGAATATTTGTGAAATAAAAGGAAAAAATTGATTTCAAGCTCACTGTGGTTGTACAATAGCTTTTAATAAGTTTAACAGCACACTGGCCCATAATTATACAATACTATTGCCTAGGCTAGCCTAGATCTTGATAGTACATGTATAAAAGTTATAACTAGCCTATTATAGTCACTATAGCTATGTACCCATCATAATGTGTTTTACAATGTTTTAAGTCTAAGATATAAAAAGTCATGTCTCAATATGAGCAATAACCTATAACAATGTTATTGACATGTTATAATTTCAAAACCTATACCTTAAATTCCATGGTTGTACTGGCCTATAATCTCAGGTGATGTGTGCCACAATGACAAAGTAGTAGGGTAGACCTTTAATGATATTGATAGTCTTAATTATCCAGTCTGAAATATCATGAACGAAGTTCGCAGGAAAAAAACACATTCAAGGTTGCTAAACTTCGATATGCGTGTATTATCATTGATGCACATAAAATCATATGCTAATAGATTTTAAGAAAATATATAATTTATTGAAAGCCATTCCATTTGAACCTAAACTCATCATTATAAGCATAAAATTTAAAATCCTAAGATTTTTCGTCTGCAAAATCTAGAGTTATCTACCCTCATAAAATAAGTAAGTCAAGGTCATTTACGCCAGATGGCCCTATCCAATGATGAAAGAAAAACTAGACAGGAAAGGAAATAAAATATAGTAGTGAAAATATGAATTAGTCTAATAAAAAGGCCTACGTAACTGTTATATTTTCGATACCTTGATTTTGAGAAGAACAAAAGAAATGCATTGTCAGATTTGACTATACATCTATGTCAGTATTTCGTCAGAATCAATATATTTCCAATGGGCAATATTTGATAATAGTCTAACTACATGTATTGTAATTGGCCTAATTTGTAGCACATAATAATAATAGGCTATCACTCAGGCTCACTTATTGTTGTCATAGTGAAAATGAAATCGAGTTTTGCATCCTACTTTTCTGGAACTCTATCTTTCTAAGAAAATGGATAATGTTGTGCAATGAGGAAAAACATTTCCAGGATGTTGGCAATAGCCAATTTTTATTGCCAACTGTCAAGAGTCCAAGAGATTTTTTTTTTTTACTTTTTTTAACTTTTTGTACACAGTGCTTTAATTTATTGTATCATTCCCAAATGCTTTTATCATGTCAGTTCCAGCGACTTGCATCACTGACAGGGATAAACTAGGTTGAAAAATCTGAAGTTATCTTGACTAGGCTTATGTCTTCAGACTTCAGGTAAGCAAGCAAGAGTCTAACTTACTATAAATCAGTCACAGCAGCTCCCTCACTCAATAGTATCAGTTTTAAAGAGATGATCTTTAGTTTATAGTGTATATATGTATGAAAGTCCTTTTCTCTGCAGTTAGTAGGATGAAGAAAGATACCAGTTTATGACACCATTACATTTGGTACTAATATTGTGGTACTTATAGGAACAAAACATGCATATGTCAAACATGTCCAATGATACCATTGATATTATGAGCTATGGCTGTGTCACAAATTTTGAAACTGTGGCATGTATCAGGTATGTTTGATAATGATATTTCTAGCTTAGTACGAGTTTGACACTTCACATTTAGAAGATGTTAGAATGGCTTCATGTAAAAACGATTTGTTGAAATATGCAAATCTACTTAATGCTAGGTTAACAATGTACATGTAGATGTACATAACCTTTGATTAAATTTCTTGAAGACTGAGATTCGGCACAGATTGTGTTAAATAGGGAATATTATACTGAAGTAGATAGCAGACGACATTTCGGGAGTAGAAAAGCATGGATGGCTTACGTGGTGGTAAAAACTCATGTTTCATCAACACTCCTATTTGTAACAAATTATTAACAACTTAAAATATCCAACCATAAAAAGGAAGGCAAACTTGATAACGTTACCTGTATGTGTTCCCAAACGTAGTATGTAATAAATGCAGAAGTAGTATATCCATATATCTTAGTGTTTAAAGGGTGTGCATTATTTACGGTGACAGATTTTTCAGATCTACTCTAGCGTAAATACATTTGGGGTTTAAGGTCCACTTCATTAATAAGTTACTTCATAAGTTAGTAAAAAAAAACTATCCCAGAAGAAATCGCTCCACTTTTTTAACTGCTATGCAATTTTGGCCCATAGAGCAAATAACTGCTATGTAAATGAAAAGGGTATTTTGTTCCAAGTGCCAGTAAGCCCATAAGTCATTGTGCAATTAAAATGCACACGCTATTAAACAAAATTTTTTTTTTTTTGCTTTTCAGAAATGGTATTTTGTCGTCACTAGGACTGGTTACAGCAATACTCTGTATATTTAAATTGATTCGCTTCCATTTGGCTCATCATAAATCATGCCATCAATACTTTATCTTTTATTGCGCATCACTCGAATCTTTATTGGGGTGAATATATTTGTGATTTGGATTTGATCTGTTACTGTGTAATCTAAATGTTTTTCTGTGATCATTTTTGGTGATAAGAAAGGTCATAGGTATTTGATAACAATAACAAACATCTCAACATTTCTATTGAGATTCATTTCGATATACCTATCGCTCTCTGACCTAGGCTAGTGTTTTCTTTGAGACCCTATCCAAATTTCAAAGATTTGAAAATCATTATGATTAAATTCCACTGGAGATGGATATATTATGCAAGGGAATATGTCTGTAGTTGTGAAATAAAAAAAAAAAAGATTTAAATCTGACCAAAGTCTCTTAAGAAATTCCACAATATTGATAACTTAAAATAATTTTGTGTCAATTTTAGGAGTGTCCACTGGTTATTAAGTAGTTTATGTCAGTTTGATTTTGTGTTGCAATATCTGAAACTAGTACAGTTTTTGGTGATGTGCCATTTTTATTGGACATTAGCTACACGAGCATTAAGAAGAGAGCAGCTTTCAAATCGGTATGTATTTTATCTCACTACAAGTTTTGTATTTGTGCCAAGACTAGAGCGGTCAATATTATTTTTCAAGCTGATTTTGATTTTGTCTTATTTGTTACCGGTACTGTTATAAGCTTATTACTGATTGTAATAAAGAGGACCAGTTTTTTTAGTTTTTATACCCCCACATGGATATATACACGTATATTGCCGGTGCCCCTGTCTGTCGGCACAATATTGTGAACACAATAGAGACTACAAATTTTCTCTGAATTTAATGAAACTTGATGCAACAATGTATATTGATGAGATCTTGGTCAAGTTCCAATTTTTTTTTTATGAGCGTTGTTTTGAGTTATTGCCCTTGACTTAAGGATAAAGTGTCAAAATTTTTTGTGAACACAATAGAGACTAGAGGCTTCAACGGATTTTAAGGAAACTTGATGTGATGATGTATATTGATGAGATCTTTGTCAAGTTTGAATTTGACAATTTTTTTTTCGATGAACAGTTTTTGAGTTGTTGCCCTTGACTTAGATAAAATGCTTAAAAATTTGTTCATAAACACAATACAGATTTCATGATTTTTATGCTGAAAAAAATTAAATGAATGGAGTTTTACATCTTATTATTTATATTGATGAGATCTTGGTTAAGTTTGAATTTTCAACAATTTCATTCTTATCAATTTTTTGCGCTTGATATTAGAGCTGTGTGATTTCATGAATTTGGGTTATTGATATTGATTTTAAAATTTTGTGGATTTACTCAGCATATATAACTGGAAGTAAATATCTATATCATTGAATTCAAACTAATAAAATTTATTATGAAAAAATTTGTACTTTGCCAGTGGGCGTATGTTACTTTGCCTGGCAATCTATCTTTTGTTATTATTGTGTTTTGTTATTTTAGATATTTATTACCATTCCTGTTAATTGCTTGTGCATATTTTACTGTGATCAGTGTTCTAGGTATAATCAATGTGCAATCAACATGGGTAGAATGTTTACGTGAGTATTTTTCTAGTAAAGCAGATGAGTATATAACCTCATTAACATTTGTAAAGAAGTGAGATAGAATGATAGATATGGTGATTTGAAGCTTATTGCAAGAGTAAAATGAAGTATAAACATACTGATAAAGTGAAGACATATAATATTTTGTATTTTCTTTACTAAGAATATTCTAAGAATGTCAGCCTTCCATGGATATTTCAGATATCTCATGTTGAAAAATCACTGATTCTATCAGTCAGTTATATTATATTAATGAAATTAATTATACATCTTACATTTGTCTTTTAGAACCATACTGGATAGAATTATCGGCAGCAGAACTAGCTATTGTACAGTTGTTTGCTGTAGCAGGGTTCTATATCACCAGAAGATTAAATGAAATCAGTACACTAGATTCTGTTCGCTGGTCACAGAAGAGAGATCTTTGGTGGTAAGCATTCAGTTATTTCTTTTAATGTAGACATTTTGCTGTTAAAGGAATGAGGATTTGTTCTACTTCTGTTAAGTTCCATACAATATTATTACTTCTTTTAATAATTTGACAGTGAAACTACCATTCTGATGTTGATTCAGGAAATTTTTTGAGAAAAATTATTTGCCTTTAACAGCTCACACCTGATAAGAACTTGTAAATTGCATTTCAGTATTATAATAGTTTTTGAAATATCAGCTCTAATTGGATTTCTGTATGATGTCACTTTAAAAATTGGTAGGTAACTATACTATATTAATATTGATTATACTTATATTAGAATGGTGACAATATTTCAATATTTTTTGTCCACAGTAAATCATGGGACATAGTGTATCTGCCTTCCTCCAATGACTATGATTCAGTACAAGTACAAATTTTAAACCAAACAACAATATAGTAGAACATATTTATCTTTTTAGTTGGAGATGAAGAGAATGGGTGCAGTGGAATTTTTGTAAGTGAAGTTGTAATTGTAATTTTTGTTACAAAAATACCAACATCAATCAGTGTTCCTTTTACTTCAACTTAAAAATCACAGACAAATTATATATGGGCATGGATGTGGCAAACTTATACCTTGTTCAATACCTGTCATAAAATGGTTGCTTTCTTGCAAATCTGAATCTCTTGCGCTTAGGTTGAAACCGTTCGGGCAATATTCACAACTTTAAAACTAAGGGCACGCTCACTTATTTACTTTATTTTCGAATTATGTATGGGTATTAGTGCATGACAGGCCTATGACAAAATTTCGGTTGGGAGTGAGATATCTGGTGTGTTTGATGGAAAGTCCTCCTGGACGTGCCTTGTCTGGAAGTGTACAGGGTTAAGTCAAAATATGGTTAGTGTGCGCTGGTCTTCATAACATTTGCTATTTATACATGAGGTCAAGGTGAAGATCGGAGAAGATGTGAAAATTGGTGTCGAAAATTTTCTCCATTGTCAGGACTTTTCAAAATAGTAAAAACAAGAAAAATCCAATATCAAACGTAAATTCACAACATTGATTCTATAAACACGATTATCACAAGAGGTATTAAACAAGGTATTAGTCCCCAACCGTACACTAAATAAGGTACATTGTAACTGGATAATATGTATTGTTTGATAATGTATAATTTCAGCTTCATACACAAGAATTATATTCACCAATATTTGTCACTTTTATGGTAAGAACTATATCTCTAACGTTTCCCAAAATAATCCAAATATGTGTTTTAAGGGATGTACAAATAGGCAAAGAATAGATGTATTTGAGATGAAAAGTGCTTTAAATAAATAATGGTTAAATCAGTTGAGATAAATTCAGTAGGATTAATGTTTTTTTTTTTAGATATTGAAGCTGTTGCTTCCT